ATGGAGTTTCAAGACTATTGATACACGCATTAGATGGCGCATCAGACTACTGCAATAATTAGCCTAGTCAGCCCACCAAAGTAGTCAGCAGGTGGCGGCCGCCCAGTGGCTTGCCATGAAATTAACAAGCATTGTTCCGTAACTATTGTGGAAGTGTACAAGCTAAGATTCAGATAAATTAATTTCTGCTCCGTACCCTGCATTAGTACAGTAGTAGAAGATATTATCACTAATTGTCAACATTAGCCTCACTTCAAACAACCCAATTTCGTTTTCGCATTTATCCGGTTCGGTAGCTGGGGTCGAAGTCTATACATGCTAACTAGTGCTCCGTACGCGTTAACACATGACTTAGGAGTGATTATGGAGGTACTTGTGCACAGGGCTGAAGGATCAGGATCAGGATTGCAGGCCGCCCTTGCGGCCCCCAGTCGATCATTGTTCATACATAATCTCTCCGCATCCTCTCCGCAATGAGACATACTTGTTTTAAGGTCAACCCCAGATTGCTTGTCTTTGATGGAAGTTGGGGTAAATCTAGCTAACATCGCTTAGGAGTGCGGAGTAGACAGTACTCGGTTAGTTATCCACCGTTCTATACTTTGTACAGATTCTTCACGATGACGCAAATTCATCTCTGCTTGCGGAGCTTCCCACGTGGAAAACTCACCTGTTCGTAGCTACCGAACTCTCTATTCCAGCCTTACCAAAGTTCGAGAAAGAACCGAATCATGACGGAAAATACGGTATTTGACTTTCAATAATGGGCGATGGCCCTTAAGGTTTCTAATTAATCGCCACCCCCGGATCTAGCAATAGTAGAATGAAAAGAAGAAAAATCGAATAAAAACCTACTCTCCAGTCCAAGCCTCCAAGCCTCCAAGCCTCTAAGCATCCAAGCCTCCTCATGCCACAACTTCCGTTCTCCCGCTTACGAACCAGATTTTAGGAATCCTCACGATCTTCAGCCATCCTTCTCCCCACATGCGGTGCGATCAGGCCATGTGCGGGGAGAGCTCTTCCGGCTCTGCACCGAGCAAGATCAACATGCATGGTATTGGCGACAACTCCAGAATTATTGAACAGAACCACTGTTTTCCCCACATTTATCTCATCTGACCGATCCTCTGTGCGGGGGGAATGAGCCCATTGAGTTCCCCTCTGCCTCCTCACCAACGAACCACAGTCTGCGACCGCACAAGCCGAGTCCGACTTGACATCATTGACGGCACGACAGTGGCTGCACGCCGCCGCCGCGAGCCGTGCCATGTACATGTGCGTGTGGTGCCACGCCTGTCCGTCTATCCGGCGTTTGAGCAACATGCGACGTACGTATTCCCGGCGAGCCAGTAGAACCAATGGAATGGAACAGTATACTCGGCACCATGAATACCCCGTCTGGGGTCATGAATAGGACCCGGGGGGTATCTTTTCCCCCGCCACCTTAACCAGATCCGGGATCACGGGGACTCCATCCCCACGAACCGTGGAACTGTGGATGGAAAGCCCGTGAGGCAGGTTTTTCACCTTTACCGATGCCGAGAATATTGCTAGAAAGTTGCTCGTTTTCGGCTCGGCGGAGCGGAACTCTGGGCTGACTATCCCACGGTTATGGTTATGCCATGATTTTCCAATGTCTGCTGATGAGCCACAAATGGTGGATCCCCCGGCCGCACCGGATATCCCCCAGACAAAGCAAAACGAAGAATGATTATTTGGTACGGCCGAGATATGCAGAATTCTTACTGGCAAAAGAAAGTGTTGGGGTCGATGGTGTCATGCGGGGGAATTACTAAAGCTAATGAATTGGGATAGGCCAGGTCAAATACAGACTCAACCTACGTATGGAGACTACTCAGTAGTCTGTGCATCTGCAGACACACTCGGTGACGATTGTGCCCAATGCCTGGACAGCTGTAGCACAAGCTACCAAGTAAAGCTAATAAAAATGCAGCTCAGCTCAGCTCAGCTCCCAAAAACAGAGTCGTGGAGCTCTGGATCCTGCGATGATCATCGCTCTTTGCAGCGCACCAGGGAAATCGCTCATCCTGCGGTGAGCTCTGGTCTCAAAAACAGGTCTTGGATGAGGTCACAACAGCGATGACAATCCATGACAATCCATCACAATCCATCACATCAATCCTGAGTCTGTTCATTCTATGTATCGAGCTAGCCATCCTCTTGTCAACACAGTCCAACTTGATCAACCCACCCTACTCAACTATTGCAACTTCACTCTGATCATTGATCTAAACAACACTCGTACTCACAGAAACCGCTCACTTCATTATAGCTGAAAGATTTTATGAATTCCTCCAGCTTGATTTATCACTGACTCAACCCCCTCGCAGCAACTCGTCGTGCGGGGTTTGCAGCAACCGTCGCTTCATCTGCCGCACCTTCCTCATCAGGCCTAATAACCACGACGCGTCGACCATTGAGAAGCACCTCGGATATCTACCATATCTTCCATATCTACCATATCTACCATATCTGCCACCTCTGGTATATTTAGCATACCCTAGGGTACCTGGTCACACTATCTGCCGCTCTGCCCTCTCAGATTTGGCATCGAGAGGATAATCGCAGCCAACCATGATCTGGGATGTTCTCCCCTGTCTGTGCACCTCTCTCAATGGCGGAATATCCCGTCTTCCCCGCGTTCTCGCTCTATCTGTCCGGGAACAAGCTTCTACATGAGGAATCGCCGCGGCTGTTATCAGTCGTTGGATGGCCCAGGGTTGTAATTGAGCTCAACCGAGGATAGTGATAATGCTACTCTAAAGATGCACTGACGATGGAGCGGGGAAGGAGGGGGGATATCAAAATGGGTTGCCCTCGCACTGGCCGAGATGAGCTTCTTTTTTTGAGCGTTCGAATAGTTTCTTTAGCTCGAAGACAGCAATTGAATGAGTCTACATTTTTGAAACATGGGAGTCCCCGCAGAGAAACACGACCACCCGGTCCGCAATGATGGTATGGACATTGACGTGAAGAATGGGATCATCCAAGATGAAAAGGCAGACGCTGCCCTCGACTTTCTCCGCGCGGAGGATAATATCGATGCGACAGAGGTAGATGAGAAGGCCCTCGTTCGCAAGATTGACTGGATGATTATGCCGCTCATGTGGGCGGCGTATAATCTGCAGTATCTAGACAAAGTGCTCAGTAGGTGCTCAATAGGATCAACAAAGATGCCACCTTCTCATTCTAATACGTCGGTTTCAAAAGTCAACTATGCCTCAGTCATGGGGCTGTTGAGCGATACAAATATGCGCACCAATGAGTTCTCTGACCTGACCTTGGCCTTCTACGTGACATACCTCGTCTTCGAATTACCCACTGGTTTTCTCATGCAGCGGCTACCAACAGCGAAATATTTGGGACTGAACGGTACTACGAGCCCAGACATTGTTAAAATGGAAATGGAAATTGACCGATCGATCTAGTCACCTTGTGGGGTCTGATGACCACGTTGAACTGCACCGCGAAGAATTTCGGAGGATTGATGACTCTCCGGGTGCTGCTGGGATGTTTTGAAAGTTCAATTGCACCAGCGTGAGCAAAATCTATAATTCAGCATTTAAGAGACTATCATCTTCTAACACCCTTCCAGGCTCATCCTCATCACCTCCATGTGGTACAAACGAAACGGTATACCTCTTCCATACCCATCACCCATACATCCTCTAACACTCTGAACTGAACAGAACAACCCAAACGAATGGGAACTTGGTACCTAGGTACAGGAACCGCCTCAATAATGGGCGCACTAGTCGCCTACGGCCTCCTCTTCTACACAAACGACCAATTCAAAGCCTGGCAAATAATGTTCCTAATCTTCGGCCTCATAACCATCGTCGTAGGAATCTGCATCGTCATCTTCCTTCCAGATAACCCCATGACATCGCGCCTAACCCACGCCGAGAAGGTCCTCGCCATCGAACGCCTCCGCGAGAACCGCACAGGTATCGAAAACAAGCATTTCAAATGGCACCAATTCGTCGAGATATTCTGTGATCCGCAAACATACCTGATCGTCATCGTCGTGGCCTCAATGAATATCTCCAACGCAGCCGTGAGCAGCTTCACCTCACTCATAATCAAGAACATTGGCTTCACGACGAAGGAAACAGAGCTCTTGAATATCCCCAATGGAGCAGTGAGCATTGTCAGTATCGTGACGGCCTCATACTGCGCCTCGCGATATGATCAGCGCTGTCTCTGCGTCATCGCTTCGCTGACAATCGGTCTACTCGGCGGCTGTCTCCTCGCCTTCTCGCCAAAGGATATGAAAGCAGCTCAGTTAGCAGGTAATTACCTAACACAAGTCATCGGATCCGCCTTGCCAATATTATACTCCCTCGCCGGCGCCAATGCCGCCGGCCACACTAAGAAAGTCACCATGAACGCCATTCTCTTGATGGCCTTCTGTCTGGGTAATATTCTGGGCCCGCTCACGTTCCGCACGAAGGACGAGCCGACTTACATCCCTGCGAAGATTGCGCTTGTCGTTACCGTTGCGCTGGCTATTATATTTGCATTTTTGTTGCGCTTCTATTATGGGTGGGAGAACCGGCGTAGAGATGCGCGCCATGAGGGTGAGGTGCATCAGGAGAATTCGGAATTCTTGGATTTGACGGATCGGCAGAATAGGGAATTTCGGGTATTTTATTCCTTTCTTCCTTTCCCTTGATGGGGCTGTTTGCGATTTAGACTGTGGTTGCTGACTTGCCTCTAGTATAAGCTTTGACTGGGGGGTCGTTTGGGTGGTCTATACTTTCTTTCGTCTTAGACAGGATCACAGTCTTCTTTGGATCGACGTAGATAACGAACTTGTCATACTTGGTAGAAAGATGAACTCGAGAAGCAGTTTATATCATGCATTCATTTAATTTATACTAGGTATATAACAAGAACAACAGATTTAGCCTTAGCCAAACAGTGATCCACTCAACGCTATGCAAGAAGCACATTTAAATCTAACCCACGAGAGGCCCCTAAGCCCCTACTTGGGTAGTCTTAAACTCAGGGCTAAAGTCCCAATCTATATAGCCCTTAGATGACCCGGCATTATAGAACGTATCCCGGTCATAAGGCACAAGCGGGACATTAGCCTTGAGTCGGAAAGGCAGATCCGGGTTCGACGTCCACGGCCGACCAAACCCAATAATAGCATCATACTGCTGATACTTGCCATCAATAGCCTCCAGAGCCGTATCAGCCTTATAACCACCAGCAATAATAACCGGCGTGGCATTTCCATACGCCTCCAGGAAGAACTCCAGTCCATCGGAGGTCTCCTCGATGTCGGCATTACCCGCAACCCGGGACTCGACAATATGCGTATAGGCAAGCTTCAGCTTAGCCATCTCCGAGGCCAGATAGGTGAATTGAGGAATCGGGTCGGCCATGCGCATTCCTGGAAGGTACTGAAGGGCGAGAATCGGATACCCGTACGGTCTGCGCCAATGGCATCAACCACGGCCCGAGTGGTCTCCAGCGCGAAGCGAGCGCGGTTTTCGACGCTGCCGCCCCAAGCGTCGATGCGCTTATTCGAGACATCCTGGATAAACTGGTCGATCAGGTATCCATTTGCACCGTGGATCTCGACACCGTCGAAACCAGCGGCGACGGCATTACGCGCGGCTTGCGCATAGTCTTGGATGTAGGTCTGGATCTCGGACTCGGAGAGTGGGCGCGGCTTGGCTGCGCCCTCGCCGGCAGGGATGTCGCTTGCGGAGACGACGTCGTAGTCGCCTAGTTCGGGGAGGTAAGTTGGGTCTGTGACGCGGCCGAGTGCCCAGAGCTGGAGGTAGATGTAGGAGCCCTTAGCGTGGACGGCGTCGGTGACTTCCTTCCAGGCGGCGATCTGGGAGTCGGTATAGATGCCTGGTACGGCTCTGTAGCCGCCGGCTTGGGGGGAGATGATGGTGGCTTCGGTGATAAGAAGGGTTCCTGGTGTTGAGCCGCGCTGCTCGTAGTATTCCTTCACCATGGGCAGCGGGTTGTGGTCCTCGTCGACACGAAAACGAGTCATCGGGGCCATGGCCAGGCGGGTGGAGAGCTCCATGCGCCCGACCTGGATGGGTTTGAAGAGCTTGCTCATTGTGAGGTGTTTTTGTTCAAGTTGTGATCTGGAAATTTGTACTCCGTAGATATACTGCAATGGGTATGGGGTAGATTGAGTGTATGCTTTAGTATGTCAATTGACGCCAATGAAGAATGAGCTGAAGTAGTAGATATTGAGGTGCACACGGAGTTCTTATATTCGATAAATGTTCCAAGGTTCAAAGTTATCTCTAGATTTTAAAATGGTACCCAGACCCACATGGCTGATTTCCAAGCAGCCCTGAGCCGCGAGTTGCGAAGAATTCACCCACAAAAAGTCTCCGAAGTGGAGAATCGGCAGATTCAATCCCGACCGTCTATCCGTAAAGAGAGTTGAGTCTTCGATAGGCTTCTAACTTGAGAATAGGTATCACTGTTATGACTCGCGGGAAGAAGCAATTGGATTTATTTCGGGGATACCGGGACTAAAAGCGACGCTGACAAACCGTCGTCACACTGTACAATGCACATGCAAGGTTATACTCATACTTCCACCCCCGAACTTGCGAAGGAAAGAATAAAGTAACACAATCACTAATCGCTAATCCCTGCAACGCTGATTTCCCTGGCCCGGCCAGGTAGGTGGTATCACGAAATTGACAAATATGGCTAAAAATACTCCGATTACAAATCCATCATGATCTCTCCAGCTGTCGTGCCGTCGATTCTAGTTGCGCATTGAAACTCTGGATTTGGTGGAGGAGACCACCTTGTGATCCAGGGGCGCGGCAGCTTACTTCCTCAGCCACACTCCGAAGTAAGAATTCGAGCTCCGTTGAAGATGACTCGGTCGATGGTGACCCGCGATATTGGCTGCGGTCGAGTGCAAGCTCGAGGCTGTGGATGGAATTGTTGATAGTAGAACGTGTCTGTAGTTCAATCGTCAGTCAGAGTTCCTGGTAATATCCAGGTGAATAGCAGCAACAACTTACCGTTTTCTCATTCTCCTTCTGCATGTGCCTGCTGCGCACCCGGTCCATCTGTAGAGCGATACCTTCTCGCTCCCGCCGCACCTGGTGTAGGTGGCTCCGCATTTCCATCATGTCGCGCTTCGCCTTCTTGAGTTGCACACCAAGCACGAAATTGCTGTCCAAAATTTCACTCAAGTCTAACAGGCGGCCGTCCAGCTCCATGCCAAAGGTCTCGACAGCTTTGCGTTTGCGTGACCATTCAGCACGTCGCGCGGCGTTTGTTTCGTTCTCAATTCCTGTTTTCAGCGTCGTGAGCGTCTTTTCTAAGGTCTCGCGACAAATCTGGCTCAAGACATCGGCAGGATTGACGCCTCCGCGATTTGGAAGCCTGGCCTTCTGGTGGGTCGAGGACTCATCGGTAGGCCTGTCTCCTTCCTCTCCAGGGTCATTTTCGGAAATATCAAAGGCACCCAGTGCAGAGGCATTAACAAGTCGATGAATGGTAACAGGAACAGTCTCTCCACGAGGTTCCCTTGGCTTTCGCTGTGTTGGGCGTGATATTTCGGCCTCTGTCTCGGCCTCTGCCTCCGGTAGCTCTTGTGGAGGAGGCGCTTCTGTTCCTGTTCTTCGGTTGGCTTTCTTTCCTTGGCCGCGACGCTGCTTTGGTGGTTCGGGTTCCGCCGCTCGTTCCGGCTCCTGGGGCGCCTCTTCTTGTTGCGTCTCTGGCTCTGCCTGTTGCTCGAGAGCACGTTTGGATTTGCCCCCAGATCTACCCTTGCGGGACTTCGACTTTGCAGACCCCGCCTCTGGTTCTTCATCAACCTCGGGGTTGGGCTCAGGTTCAGGCTGGGTCTTCTTCCTCTTTGCTGGCTTCCGCGTTTGGCGTGCAGCTGTTGTAAATGATTCACCGGCAGTTGGCGCAGAATCCGCTGGGCTCTGAGATTGTGATTCTGTCTCGATATCATTCGAATCCTTCGCAGGTGAAGGTTGTCTGCGGGGGCGCTTGCCTTTGGCGATATTGTTGGGCTGGACTTGCTGATCTTGCTGATCTTTCTGATCTTGAGACTCAGATGCCGTATCCGGTGGTGCCCCCTCTATGCTTGGTGATTTGGAGCGATTGCTATTGACCTGAGCCGCCACTTCTCTCGTGGCCTTCCTCCCTGTCGCCGCCTTTGTGCGTGTCCGCTTGCCATTTACGGCAGCGACAGATGCATCGCGGTCGGCTGTAGAATTTGCCGTAGAGGCGTGGCTAGCCTCGGGTGCCTCTACAGAATCATTGGGCGTTTCTTGCACATTTGACTTAGGTTGTTTTTCCCTCTTGGACCGAGGCGAGATAGATTTCCGCGGGGCTTGCTCTGGCTGGTTGTCTGCAGTTTCTTGGTCAGGTCGGATTGGCGATTTAGGTTTCTGTCGTTTCCTTGACGATGGCTCATTGGGTTGAGCTTCTGCTTCGATCTGTGGGGATTTGGACTTTGATAATCGGGTCCGGCTGGGTGCTATATCGGGGGTGGGAGTCTCTATCTCTTTGCCATTGACAGTCGAGGTTCCAGCCTCTTCGGTTCTCTCAGGTACATGCGTCTCTGGAACAGGTGGAGATGGTACGGGCACATTGTCCGCAGTTTCCTGCTGGGGTGCCTCCGTTAGGGCTTTCACACGCCCGGCTTGTGTTTCTGAGTTCGCTGTAGGTGGCAAGTTTCCATGCGGGATATTTTCAACAATTTGTGAAGGTGTGTCTTTTTTCGCGCTAGGGGGGGTCTTCGATATGGTCAATTCGGGAATCAACCAGTAAATAATGAATCATGGCGTAACCTACTAATCTTCCGTCGCTTGTTACTGCGAATTTGCTCAGGGACGTCGTCAGGTGGTATGTCATATGCAGAAGGACGCTGCGGGCGATTATTACGCGCACTACCTGGTGTGCGCTGAGGGTTGTGTGTCTGCGACTGGGGTTGCGACGAAGCTCCCTGGGGCGGCAGAGTTGAAGCTATGGGAGCAGGTTCGGTTTGCGGCGGTATTATGGTCTCAGGTATGATAGCAGGCTGTTCAGGCTCTGGGAATCCAAGGCTTGGTCCTCCAAATGAAAATCCAAAGTTGATCTCCTTGGTTTTGCGCGTCCTATGTCCGAGGAGGTTAGCCAAAGCCTCTGTGTTATGGTCTCGCGGGGGAGGGGCGCGTACGCAGCTCCGCGCTGGCGCATTTGTTGCCGCTCCTCGCGCGCTATAAACCATTAGCTATAGTTCACACGGCATTTCACATATCGCGCACGTACTGGAGTCCATTGTTGAGGAACGGCGCCGAGAAAGACGCGTCGTGGTGGTGAAGAGTAAAAGAGTAAAGATAGAAGCGCCAACGGCGGTCGGGGCCCAAGTCGATCGGGGCCGATCCATTTTTGTGCCGACTTCTCCGCAACGCTTTGCTTTGCGCCTTTCTTCACTTCTCAAATTCAGACGCCCGCAACTATACTTTTTCAACAATGGGCTGGTTCTGGGGAAACAATAAAGATGACCCTGTCAACAAGCTTGACCCGGGCCTTCGTGAGTACCTGGAGCAAGAGACGCCCAGCAAATATGAACCTGCGCCCAATCTGAAGCAGCCAACACCTCCCCCCACGCAAACCCAGACGCAGACGCAGACGCAAACCTCCGAACAGAGCGATCAGACGGAGGATAAATTGCCGGCCGCTTCATTATACCAAGATGGTCGCTACGCGCACCTGTGGAAGACCTATAAACCGCTGGCTGGTGCGGAGGAGGACGCTGCCGCTGGCGGGGCGAGTCGAGTGATCGAGAAATTCAAGGAGCGTGGAGATACAGTGCAGCGGGCGGCGATGGAAAATTGTGCGCTTGAGCATGAAGCCTTGACACTATGCTTCCAAACGGGCAATTGGCGCAAGCAAATTGAGTCCCGGTTAACGAATTGCGCCGCGGAGAACGGAACATTTTCGCGATGCTTCGTCACCCAGAGTGTAAGTGGATCTCTGACCGATATGCCATGTTCTATGGTCTTGATACAATACTAACTATGCGAAGAAATTCCTCCAGGCTCTAGGCTACGCCTCGTCCTTCCAACAGGATGCCGAAAAGGAGGAGCGGATCCAGATGCACGCGGACAAACTTTACCACCAGATGCTCAACTATGAGAAACGTGTAGAGGAGGCCAAGGCTGCTGGTCAAGAACCACCACCTCTCATGTCGCTCTTCGATCCCAAGCAGGCACCCAAGACCAGTGGCAAGCGATCTGATATCGATATCCCAAGTGGTGTCGCCGTTCCGGAAGGGTTCAAACCTTCGAAACCAATCCACCAGTTAACACCACACGAGCGAGAGCTAGAGATTCGAGCCCACAATGCACAATTAGAACAACACAAGCTCTATGCGGAGGAGGCCGCACCCTTCATGAGGTCTCACGAGGAAAGCCGGGCTAAGCGGAAGGAGAAGATGACCAGTTGGTTCGGCGAGAGCATTGGAAAGTGGCTCGGATGATCAATTGAGGGAATTTTACGTGAAGTGTATTTTTATCTTAAACTTGAAGCTCCAATTATTATTTTGTAACTTATGACCTCGGATGATTCACCATGGTAACCGGGGGCGTTGTGGCTATTTGCCGCTTTAAATCCAAAGCCCCTACTAGTAGTAGTCTTTGAGCAGTCGGATTCCCTGGTAGATATTACTAGTACTAGATACCCAGGTAAATTATTTTCTACCTAGGTATGTTCTACATGTAGTATAGACTACTGCCTAGTAGTAGTACAATTCAGTCTTGTGGGTGTTCATGCCCACCTGGGCAAGCTATAGCTACACTACCTAGGTAGGATACATATATATCACTCATAGTCCAGTCACAACACATCATCCATCACGTTCCGGTTGACTTTTAATAGACTCCACTCCATAAACCTTACCTTCAGGATACTGGTATCACTTAAGCTGATAAATAGGGTCTGCTGCTTCTAGTTATAACCTAACTAGATCGTAATTTAAGGCAAATTCTACCTCGTGGAGGCGTTGTCGATCGCCATCAAATCGGGGGCTCGTCAGTGGTGGTGGCTATCTAATCGTGTTCCGGTCGCGTTCCCAGCCCGCGCAAACCAAACTCGAGGCATCATCACTGTCACTCACTCCCTCGCCCTTCTTTCTCTTTTCCTTCCCCCTTCTTCTCCCAAAAATACCCTCTCAACCTATTCTTCTTCCTCTGTCAACCCCTTACCGATTCCCCTCGCCTATCCAGGTCGTGGATCTGCCAAACAACCCCCCATCAACCGACTGGCACGAGCGAAACCCCCATTGAATTCGCCGAACCCGCGGTCGAAATCGTCCCTAAACACCTCTTGACGATAGATCTCCTCGATACAACGGTCCTTGAAAGCAGCTCACGGAGCTACGGTGCCCACCATGAAGGCCTCCCCGTTGCTTATCTCGTGGCACAATGACAATGCTCCCATTTACTCCGTGCATTTCGATCCCAATGGCAAGGGCCGCCTCGCGACGGCTGGAAAGTAAGTGCACAAAGAATACATCGCTGGAAACCATTCACTGACTTACATTCATTAGTGACAATAACGTTCGAGTACGCCCCCATAGTTCCCCGATATCCTATTTATGCCCTCCTTGTCTGACACTTTACAGCTATGGCGAGTCGAATCGACCGGGGAGGAACGAAATGTTACATACTTGAGCACGCTCTTGAAGCATACACAGGCTGTCAATGTGGTTCGTTTTTGTCCCAAAGGTAGGACTCCCCCAAATCCGACATCATCAAAGCCACACCAGATCTGACACCACATACCTAGGCGAGATGTTAGCATCTGCTGGAGACGACGGCAATGTTCTACTTTGGGTTCCATCTGAGATGCAAACACAGCCCGGACTTGGAGAAGACCGATCGGATGACAAGGAAACCTGGCGAGTGAAACACATGTGCCGTTCGTCCGGGGCGGAGATCTACGACTTGGCCTGGTCGCCCGACGGTGTTTTTATCATGACAGGGAGTATGGACAATATCGCTCGGATCTACAATGCTCAAAATGGTTGGTGTCTCCGATGTTATTAAATAATACTAAACTTAGCAGCTAACAGTGAGCTTTGCAGGGCAAATGGTACGGCAGATTGCCGAGCACTCTCACTATGTCCAAGGCGTCGCGTGGGATCCGCTGAATGAATTTGTGGCAACTCAGTCATCAGATCGATCGGTTCATATCTACAACCTGAAGACTAAAGATGGTCAATTTACATTGACCCCGCATGGCAAGGTTCTTAAGATGGATCTGCCAGCGAAACGTTTAGCCTCCAGCAGCCCTGCTCCCCCGGAGCCGACAAACAGACCACAGAGCAACACAAATTCATTTGCTATTGCTTCGCCTGCCCCGTCTACTCCAGGAACCCCAATGGCATCAAATCTGCCAATGGATCCTCCCCCAGTCTCCCACAGTCGCCGTTCATCCTTTGGATCCTCTCCCTCCATTCGACGCTCCGCCTCTCCTGCGCCATCCCTGCCATTGCCCGCAGTGAAACCTCTTGAGGTTTCGTCTCCCAGCCTTCTGGGTGGACTCGGAGTGAAAAATGCCAGCATTTACGCCAACGAAACTTTTACATCCTTCTTTCGGCGACTGACCTTTGCCCCCGACGGAAGTTTGTTGTTCACGCCGGCTGGTCAATACAAGACCAGCCATGTGTCAGCGACGGATCCTTCAAAGACGACAGACGAAATCATCAACACAGTGTATGTGTACACACGAGCCGGTTTCAACAAACCTCCAATCTCTCACCTTCCAGGCCACAAGAAGCCGTCAGTCGCTGTCAAGTGCTCTCCGATCTTCTACACTTTGAAGCAGAGTACTCTACCTGCCAAGCACATCACCTTGGATACATCATCCGAGGGAGACATGTTCCCCCCGTTGCCAGACTCGGTTGTTCCCGCTGCTGCGTCGTCCACCAGCCAGCCAGCTATGGATCCACCGGCCTCCACACCGATAGGTGGTGAAAAGGCCCAACAAACTTCCAAGACAGCCGAAACGCAGGGCAATGAAAGCACGGCGGGTCCTGTATTCGCGCTTCCATACCGCATGATTTACGCCGTAGCTACACAGGATGCTATTCTAGTATACGATACTCAACAGCACACCCCCTTATGCGTTGTCAGTAACCTGCATTTTGCGACCTTCACAGACTTGACATGGTAAGCACTTCATTTAATGTGTCTAGGAATTCTCTTATCTAACAAAACATAGGTCAAATGATGGCTTGACGTTGATCATGAGCTCATCTGATGGCTTCTGTTCTACTCTATCCTTCGCACCCGGGGAGTTGGGTCAGATCTACACAGGACCTACGGGGCCAGCTTCAAGGGATCCTACCCAAGTCGGCTCTGCAACTCCGACGAACGTCACTCCCCTCGCTACCCCTACACACCTTCCGTCTCCCATCAAGGCCACACATGTACCAGTACGCAGTGGAACGCCTTCAGCGCCTGCAGCTCAAGCACCACCAGCTAGCCCTGCTCGTTCCAACTCGGCGTGTTCCCAATCATCTCAACAGCAAGCGAATGTGGTCAACAACCCGACACCGACCCTTGGGTCTGTTCCTCTCGTGACAGCTACTCACTCCGCGCAACCACTTCCACTCACCACCCCGCCCCAAACACCCATGCCGACCGCAACCCCAAGCGGAACGGCGACTAGTACAAGCAGTGTCCTAGGCAAGCGTGAAACCCGAACTGCCAGCGAATCCGAGAAAGATGAGAGCAAGGGTACTGAATCCGACGCTTCAGCCCAGCAACCGAAGAAACGCCGTATTGCACCAACCCTCATTTCTGCAGGAACCGCAGGAACCGACTCGGCCTCAACTTCAAAGGATCCCAGTTAAAACCCACAAAATTCCGAATGACTTTTCTCGGATAGTCTTCAAAAACCCTCGATCTTAGTCGAATGCATTGACTCGACAACGAAGCATAGTCCTTCCAGCTGATTACGGCTACTTTCATGAATCATGTTCACACCTCCCTCCTCCCCGCGCCCCTTTCCTACTACGCAAGCCTGGAATTCTATCATTCTAGGCCCTCATCTCGCTCTCCATCCATGTATCTGACAACCTTATGCTTTGATCTGCGAGCTCTCTGAACCCAATCGCGCATGATGTGCTATATTTCAAACCATTTGATCCTGTTTGCTCACATTTATCCTGCGATTGTATCTCATTTTCGTAATTTCCTTTTCCAATCTCCTACCTCATTTCACATTTGTTTCTCTTTTTTCCCATCCCCATGAAGTTCTGGCGCGGCGCGATCATCATTGCTTTTGATTGTTTTAGCTCCTGATGAGTGTTCTATCGTTTTGTTTTGTGCGATCATGTTCATGTTCATTTTCATTTTAGAAGGATATGATGTTTCAATTCCTCAGCTCCCTTTGTTTCAACAAATATTATGTACTTTGCCCTCTGCCCCCCTCTCCTCGGGTCGCTGTCGGATTTCATCTTCCGGTTCGGATCTAACGGTGTGAGTGATATTGAGATTGACTAGTAAAAAACGAGAGGAAAAAAAAACCCCTTGAAATAATTTTCTCCATTTCTGCATGTAATCACCATAGGATAATGCTAACACAAAATATTGCTTAATGCTAACTACTAGTAAGACCCGGGAGGATGCTGGCCAGGCTAACTATATGATCTAGCTAAGAAAGGCATAGCTGATCACCACCGCCACCAGCTTGAAGATCTTTCCTCTCGGTCACTATGTAGAGGCAAGAGAACGGAGTACATCCAATAAAGAATACGCATCCGGCAACCTAACTTTCGCCTCAGTAGCATGGGCCCCTGCAGTCAAAATAGTAACCGCCACCGGTGCAGCATCCCGCTTCAACACCAAGCGATTAGCCCAACGGAACAACGCCTCATCGGCCCTGGCACCACCAGCCACAAAGACAAGCTCGAAAAATTCTGTTTTCCTATCAATGGGAGAATGATTCAGGATCCAAGATGCGGCCGCGGCTTTAGATGCGTAAAGTGGTTCGACACTGACGGCTCCAACATCGCGTATAACACGGATTGCTTCACGGCCTCGCGCGCCGTTGATTTGGTCTGCGAGTTCGGAAGCTTTTCTTGAGGCGGTGTCTTTGTCTTCTGCGTGGGCGAAGTGAAATGTTAGTGTGCACCGGCGTTCTTCGATGATGCTTCCTTCTGTGCGCTCGGCGAAGTATGCGATTACTCTTCGGATCCCGGCATGCCAGTGTTGGGTGCGTGTCGTGTCTACTAGTGAAGACCAGGTGGTTGTACCTGGTAACTTGACGAAGCAGCCATTTTCCGCGATGATTCCGAGAGTCTTTGGTAGGCGGTTGGAAGTGGAGTCTAGTTGTTCTGGGCTGCGGTTACTGGTCAAATAGACCGTGTTCTTAGGGTCACTGACTAACGACTCGAGAACGGTGATCACTTCCTCTGAGGTGTAAGTAAGATCTGTATGTGTCGATGTGACAAAAGCTGCGCCGTCTTCTATGAGGAGGAGGCGGGATTGGGAGGCATTGTAGGTATTTTGGAGGTTTGTGATCTCGAGTGGGTGGATAGCATGAGCAAAGCGTGACTGTTGCATGCCGTGAGCTTCGACAAGTGCGGTTTGTAGGGACGAGTACCAGGCCAAGGCTGTAAATGGCGTTTTACGCTCTTCAAGATACTTCCAGTTGCGCTTCTTTTGCTCTGGAGTCATTTCGAGGGCTTTGTTGATGGCCTCAGCGCATTGCTTATAATCCCATGGATTGACGATGAGTTCGTGACCTTGGAATATAGCTGCACTGCCGGTGAACTCGCTGAGGATAAGGGAGCCGTATTTCTGTAAGGATATTTCGCCGTCTTGGCAATGGATGAAGTCATGGCTTGTCAAGTTCATACCTTCGCGGAGGTTAGTAGCCATGAAAATTTCGGCAACACTCAGTAAAGCCAGAAATTGGGCGTAGCTGATATCTTGCTGGAGCAGGACCAGAGGTTGATGAGTGAGGGTTGAATATACCGAATTGATTCTCATCGCGATCTTCGAGACTTGCGCTTCGAGCTCTGGTATGTCGGAGACTGAAGCTGTGACCTGTACTAGTACCACCTAATTTGCCGTCAGCTCGTGTTAAAAAATAAAATTGAGAACAAGCTCACCTCGTCTCTCCATCGAGGGTACGTATTCAAGAACAGCTCGTAGGCCATGAGTTTCTGCTTGATCCCCCCCAGGAGCATCCAGGCGATCTCGCGCCACAATCAAATGTTTCCCCTTGTACCTCTGAGCAATACTCGAAATCCAAGCCTTGACTTCGATAGACTGACGCAGCAGATTAAGAGACTCATAGTCGATACCTAGCGGTTGGCTCTTGACATACACGAAGCGGTTATCGATTTGAACTCCATTGACCGAAACCTCCAGCCTCCGAAGCCGACTGCAAGAATGAAGAAAATGATGACAGTATTCCTTTGTTTGGAACCCAATTAGATCTGCACCAAGAAGTCCATCTAATAGGGCCTCCCGGGAATTCAAGCAGCGAAAGACTTCCGAGGAAGGGAATGCCGCATGCAAGAAGAACCCGATCTCCGCGGTGGGCAATCTCTTTCTCAGCAAACCGGGTAGGGTAAGTAGATGATAGTCATGTATCCATATGCAGTCTCCAGGCCGCCAGTTCCTTGCTATCGTATCAGCAAACGCCTCGTTGACTCGGAGGTACTGCTTCCAAGAGTAATCATCATACTCTGTGTGTCGAGGACTCTCCTGCATCTGATAATGCAGAGCAGGCCAAAGCACTGCTCGACAAAAATGGGCATAATGGCCTTCAAACTCACTGTCGCTGACGAATACGCTTAGCGATTCAAATTCTTCTCTTAGGGCTTCCTCGATGACCTTCCAAGTCTTCGGCTTGAGGGAGTCGGTTGGCATGCCCAGCGTTCCTACCCACATTTTATCCTGCAGGACACCCGCCTCCTCTGCGGCATGGATGGCATTCTGAAGACCGCCGTGACCTTGCTCAGCAGCCTTGACAGCCCAATCATCATCCGCCAGCATTGCCCGAGGGCTTCCAAATGGGTCCTTGTTCACAATACCTGGAGCGCCATCTAGGAAGGAGTCTCGGGACTCCTGGTGTGAGCATGGACGACTTAGAATAGATGGCTGGGGGGAAAATGTTGCCTTTGAACGGGGCTGGTTGAATTTGCGACTTTGGCCCCAGGACACAGCCCGAGGCTCACTGGGCCCGGGTCCGACTGGATCATCGGCTGTGAGGATTTCGCCTGCGGATCGTGAGTCGTAGCCCTTGAAGATCTTCTCATCATCAGTTGTCGCTCCGGGAGTCAGTGACAGGCTGCTGGATCTGGGGCGAAGCTTGCGCCGGGGATCGGGCTGTCGCCCATCTATAGGGCCGAGGCCCGAGTTGTCCACAGCGGAATAGCTGGGCGAAGGTTTCCGCTGACGCCTGCCAATTCGACGGGAAGATTCAAAGTCAATGGTATAAGGGAGAAAACTGGATGGCGGGATGTGAGGTGGTGGTCAGCGAGAAGGGGGACATGCTACATACAGCGATGCAATGAAAACCGTCATGGTTGGGTGGCGTGAGCTTGAGACGAACCGTGACAATGAAAGTATCACAGCTGGTGTCGCGTAGATATGATGGATAGGGAACTGTTGATGAAGTGTTGGGAGGTGAAAGCGTTCACTGCTAGCCGAGGGCTCGAGGCAGCCGAGTGGTGTGGTTGGTGTTTAGTATAGATCACCAACTCGTAGCTTCCCGTCATGTTCGGCTATACCACGGTCTGATTTAACCAATTATTCCAGTTCTCTCTCTTCATATTCGGCTTGTACTCCTTCACAGCGCTCTCTGAACGCAGTATCGAGTCACCAGGTTTCCATTGCGTTCCGGGCGAGCCCATTTCATTGCTGGTCACGGTTCCTCGACAAGGATGGATGCTCTCCTAGACCGACAGTCTCTGTAGAACTGGATTAAATACTAGTAGTACGTCGTAGTTGGTCACACAATATTGTCCCGTGGAACATTGACGATTCCAAGTTGTTTCGAATAAACTTTGAACTATAGGATCGCTGGCGCAGATCATCCAACATCTGATCTCCTTATGCTTCTAAGTTTAATGAACACAGTTTTTAGCTTTGATCATATGTTTCTTGGGGCTCCGGCACGAGACTTAGTAATTATTTAGCTTCTAGAACCAAGGACTGTCAATTATGTTACAGCAAATGTCTGAGCTCACACGCTATTCCAATAGCCTAAAACGACCACAATGACGAAGCTCTTGCTCCCATATTGCCAGGCAGTGCTATATATAACAAGGCATTAGGTATCGCGAAATAGGCGCATACAAACCACGCAGCTATCGATTTTTAGATCACGGTCGGCCGCTGGTGACAGACTTTGGATATGAAGAACAGAAAAGTTCGTCCTAAACCGGCAAGCCCCCGACACTAAAAAATCGCGCATATAAATTAGGATTGAAAAAGCCGACGCTAACACCGCTATCGAAGGGAGCATACGGAGTAGAGGCAAAAGAGATTCGTCAGCTGAGATAAAGGATCACTGGAAGGAGAAACATCTTTCGCAATGATCAACCCGATCAGCATCGGCATTGTCGTCTTGCAGCGTCGATCCTAAAAGTCGCATCAGTGCCGGCATCACGCTGCATTCGCTGACGAGGCGCCGCGCCTTTTCGTCCGGCCCCTCTTGGGAAAGAAAATGTTTTCTGCGAGGTCAGTAGACCTTTCGGTTAGATAGACCCGCTACATAGTATCATCGGCCCGGTATACTTGCGACGACGCAGCGAAGCGAAGGAGCGTGATAAGCGGGGTTCAGCCAAACGAGCTTGCAGTCACAAGGCTGAGTGAAAAAAGTGAAAATCATCATTTTTTCCACAAAAGAGGTAGGAAAAGTTGTCGGTTAGATCCTCAAATCACAGGGTAATCGGGCGAAACGTAAGTCGCTGAGCGGACTCGAGGCTGACGCGGAAGGTGAAGCTAACGTGCGGTAGTGCGCGCTATGGGTGGACCAGGATAAAAAGAAATCCCGACGAGCTTGAGTACAGCTATTTTCATCTGTACATAGCTTCTCTTTCTACGTCATGGATTCGTTCCCAGTGAAAATCGAGCGGAACGAAGCGAAGAGGTGGTGCGTGCTTCGACGACGCTTCATGGATCTTGGGAGGAGCTCGATAAACATCTTTGCCGAGATCTGGCGAAGGACCTGCGAATGCGGATGGATCACCGAAAGAAGACTTTGCTCATCACCGCCGACTTGCGTATATCTTTTCTTGGCTGACGGCGGCGAACGTAGCAGATTGGTAGGATGGCCCGACGGGAGGAGGAGAAAGCCGCGTGCGCGGGATCCTCAAGCTTGAGTCCCCCTAATGTTTCTCGTGATACCCAGTCAAGGTTATTGATGCGAAGAGCAGGTGCATCCGTTATTAAAGATTGTTTGTTAGCGATTTTCTCTGGAGTGGAGATGACAGGAGCTTTTTTTTCTTGAGTCCTGGGGACGCGAGGATGCGGACGGTGATACGTCAGAGCACGGGGATAAGCAGCGCCCTAGCTTCCTTTGCTTTTTGGCCCATGCGCGGACGATGACGGCTCTGGGATCTTGGCAAAGCAAGCACTGACGGAATTGGCTCGTTTGCTCGGCTCAATGATCCTGCCCAGAGTGACCAAGTCACCAAGAGACGGGTTCCTTGCATTGTCGCAGACCAGTCAATTTTATTGACGGGGGGTGGGGGAGTCGTCGCCAAGTACGGGGTACCATAGATAGAGAGTGAAATAAGGATAGGATGATCGTAACGTCCATACCGTCCAATGGTTGTACGGGGGAGATGAATGTAGTACATACGTAATTAGGTGCTCGATGCGGTAGTGTGTTGACCACGACCACCGGTTCGGTGGTATCAAACTAAATGGATCGTGCTTCATGATCGATTTTTCTGCACAGCACTGACATAGTTCATCCGATTTTTGGGGCCTCAGCACAGCATACTTAAATAAATGCTCAGTATGAACGATTCGATGTGACTGGAATGGTTTGCATAGCCACAAGTGGTTGACTCGAGCTTCGTTCGAGGGAGGCTGTGAACCCAGGCGCCGCTGTTTCAAGTTGGGCAGACTTCGAAGAACCTAATTGAAAAAAGGGTAAATAGGGAGCCGTTTTCCCAGCAGGTGACGGTAGGCATACGGAGTACAGAATCCAAGATGGGATATGATTGGAGTGACGGTTCCCGGCTGCCTCGGGAGTGGGGAAGAGCTTGGTAAATCTTCGGGAGAGCCTCCAACGTGAGACGTGTCGGTGGGGGAGAAAGTATCGGCTTGAAGCGCAGGCTTGCGAATCTTGCGAATCTTCAGATCACGGGACAGGCTGGGCTCCGCTTTTCTTGTCTGTGTGGCCCTTTTGATTGATTCATTTTCTGTTTTGGAAATTATTATCAATTTTTTAATTTAATCCTTATTTTATTTTGAATTTTCTTGTCAGGGTCTCTTGACCGTTCGGAGGATTTCCACGGGCGATGATTGGCGATCGCAGGGCTGCGTCACCAGGGTACACAATGTGGTGTGGCTATCTACTACGAGGTCCGTACAGATGTACATACTGGACATATTCTGGAAGGGAGAGATTCCCCCTAATTTCGATCTGGAAGATTGAAATAATGAGTGCTACGATCGACAGGAACATCGAGCCATACCAAGAGCGACAAGAATCTATTCTAGAGTGTGACTGGAGCATACGCCAAGAAACCCCTGGGGTCAGTCATTGGAGAGTTTGGGAGAGCCCAGTTGAGCCACACAGCTTAGCGGGTGTGTCAGCATGGGGTACTTGGTAACAGTATGGGAACTACATACTGTCGAGAAGTACCCTCTAGGTAAGACCTCTCAGTAATCGACAGAGATGACCACGAAAGTAGTTAGCCCCGGTGGGTCCCCCAGCGAGGCTTCTAGCCCGATCGCGTTGACCGCCAAGACGGACGCTTGCGCGTCTCCGCCACCAGTGCTGGCTCTGTCCCCGTCGAGGCCCTCTAGGAAATTGGAGAGGCTTCGAAACGCGTACACGGGATGGTGATGTGCATACTTTGATGATGAGTACGACTTCTTCTTACAGATTCTAGTACACGATATGTATAAGCTCAACAATACATACTACAGAGGACTGCTACTGGTACTCATACTCAGAATCAGAATCAGAATCAGAAATTAGACTCAATAATTAATACGAGTGATCTTCTTGTAGAAGACCCTTATTCTCATGCCAAGCAGCATACGTGTGCAAGGGAAAAATAGGCAAAAATACGGAAAAAGGGTCTTGTCTTGGCCTTTTTCGTTTCGCACACGCGGCCGGGGGCGCGGGGCCCGTGATTGGGCGGCGGACGGCTGACGACGCTCGTAATACGCAGTCGCAGTATCCCCCAGTATTACCACTGCCAGTCCACTTCCACTTTCAACTTGTACTGGCCTTCTTTACTACTCCTCCTCCTCTCCCTTCCACCCATCCATCTTCCACCACATCTCTCTAGGGTCGTCGCCCTCGTCTCTCTCCCCCCATCCTGGAGCATCGATCTCGCCTTGCCGCCGGCGTTTCCTCCTTCATTCCGACCATGGCGGACGGCAAACCCCAGCACCGGTCGCCTCAGCCGGCCTCGACCAACAACTACGACGCCAACTCACTCACATATCAGTTCGAACAGCTGATGCGCACCAAGCGCTTTAACCAGCTCCAAGAGAATGCTCGATCACGATCCGCCTCGCAGTCGCCCGCTCCTTCCGCCAACAACTATCCCATCCCGCCACCCTCACGAGCTCCTCCACCACCGCCTCCTTCCACGGGCGCAGCCGTGCCCGCAGCCACACAGCCATCGTCTCCATCTCCATCAGCTGCGATGCGCACTCTTCCGATCATTCCATCCCCGCCTCAGGATCCCGCCTCTTTGAAATTCTTCAACCTGCTGAAGGGCCTTTCGGTAACCCCTACGAAATACGAGAACCCCGGTCTCCTCGACGAGGCCCTGTGTGTCATCCCTCTCGATCGCCTTTACTCCGAAGCCGAGGATGAGTTCCAAATCATTCAGGCCCAAGCAGCCAGCGTGGGCGGAAAACCCGAATGGGGATACCAAGATTGTGTCATCAAGGCATTGCTAAGGTGCGCCACAGAACCATCCAGACCCCAATCGACCGTACCCATATTGACTTACATCCCTTGTTTTACAGATGGTTCAAGCGATCTTTCTTCAAATTCGTCAACAACCCCCCATGCACGCAATGCTGCATGCCCACCATCGCCCAAGGCATGACTCCCCCTTCCCCGACGAGACCGCCCGTGGCGCCACCCGCGTTGAACTCTATCGTTGTTCCGAACCCCGATGCGGCGCCTACGAGCGATTCCCCCGTTACTCCGACGTCTGGCAACTCCTTCAGACCCGCCGTGGCCGAGCAGGCGAGTGGGCCAACTGCTTCAGCATGTTCTGCCGCGCGGTCGGTGCTCGTGTTCGTTGGGTCTGGAATGCAGAGGACCATGTCTGGACAGAGGTGTACTCTGAACACCAACGACGATGGGTGCATGTGGATGCTTGCGAGGAGGCATTCGATAACCCCCGTCTCTACGCCGAAGGATGGCGCCGAAAGATCTCCTACTGTGTCGCCTTCGGGATTGATGGTGCCACCGACGTGACCCGCCGCTACGTTCGCAACTTCAACAAGCACGGCGAACCTCGTCAACGTGCATCAGAGGAGGTCGTTCTGTGGTCCATCCACGAAATTCGACGTAAACGCCGCGAAAACATGTCCAAGACCGACCAGGCTCGCCTCGTCAAGGAGGACGAGCGCGAAGAAAGAGAGCTGCGAGGCTACACTGCCTCCGCCCTCGCGGCCGAGATCAACAACATCCTCCCACGGAGCCTTGTTGGTCGCCCCGATGCCCAGAAGCACGCCGATGCTATCCAGGAGGCACAGAGTGAGTGGCTCAGTGCTCGAGGACACGGTCACTCTGGACCTGACCGGTCGCGCGATGGACGGTAATCGTTAAGCCGTCGGTCTTATTACATTCTCTCCTAGGGGTTCTCCAGTAGAGCCCTGAACTCTTTGACTGTCGAAACATTTGAGCGACCCTATGACCATGCTTCTCAGTTGAACTGACTAGAGTTCTGGTCGGGCGCCTCGACCTCCCAACCTCTCGCAACGTGGACTCGCTTGTTCCCGATCGGAGCCAACACGGTCGCACCGGGTAACCTTTGCGCCCGGCATCCCACAGCAGCCACAACAGCTTGAAACCGGCGTTACTGGTGAAACTCCACTGCGACCGCGACTTTCAAGGCCCGGGACCCCCGAGCCTTCCGATTGAATCGCTCACCTGAAGTTTCGGTGATGCTGAGCTCCAAGCAGCCCACTGGTTCATCACAACCACTCAAACCATCCAAACTATTCACCACAATGACCGATAAATGTCATAGACACGAACACATATTTCATTATATTTGAACATCATTCCGAATAGCACGGACCAGAGCAACTTTTGCATCTTGGCTGGGTTTCACCCAGAGCCCTCCCCCTTCTCACATCATGGCAATGGCTTGGGCATTTTTTTTGTTTCATTTTGCACGGCGCCAGAGGTCACGGTTTCTTTCCCTTGACACTTCCTCTAATACGGGGTTTTGCATTTCCATTTTCTCTTTGCCAGACGGCACATGTTGTACGAGAACACGGCAGCAGATCTTTTTCCTTTACGTTTCTTCTGATCTCTGGTCGCAAGATACCTCCCCTCTCCGGGGAGCGACCATTCTCCCACTTCTTGTCTTGGGGATATATCAATCCTCCCTTTCCTTTTTCTCTTCACTTTCTCTTCTTCTACCCTTCTTGCTTCCAATGGTTGCTTTACTTTCTATAACACTATTATATTGATACCACAATCTTATTAATTTTTTTTTTTCACAACTATCATCACTCCAGCTTCAATCAGTGTATCTCTCGTAAACTCCGCTTTCAAAATCCGAGTCCGCTTGGCAAACTCCGCCTGGACCCTGTTTCTACCGAGTAATACATAAATTACCTGTTTGATTATGATGTGCGATCATCCCCCCGCGATGACTTTGCTAGCGCCTGCCACAACCCTGCGAGTGGGTCCACCGTGGACTCAGCCGTGGAGCCCCTGGCGACCTCCCGCACCGGGCTGCGTGTTCTCGAGAATCACTGCCACGCTGCGTGTCGTCGCCCCGCTTCCATTGCGTCTTCGTCTGCACGAGAAGTGATACTCTATTTGAGATGAAGGATGTGAAAATCCGAATCAGATGTATATTCATACATTCCATACCAAGATAAATTCTGCCCCAAAGTACATTGAATAGGGCTGGATAAGGCCGAGTTAAACTCGGGCAGCACGGGCCTGATGGGGACTCTGGAGGGTCCAGAAAAGGGGGATATTTTTAGATGCGACCCATGGAACACAAAGTGGGTCCAGGGTCTTTGAAATCGGGTTAGGGCTTGTTTGCAAGATAGGGGCAATACTAGCACTAGTAGTAGTAGTATGTGTAGACAGTAGTATCTACTATACGAGTCCTCGCACTTAAGTCCGTTTTCTACGTATGTACGGATACGAGCATTCAAGTTCTCTCACAACTTGAAGGATCTCGAAATTTAGGTTTGCGACCGCAACGCGACGCGTGTGCTGGGGTCGTGTCGGCCCTGTGCCGAATAAAGTATATGCCCCCATGTCCATTCTGGAGCCCTGGTTTGTTCCATCGCCAGGACCAGAACTACTCTAGTAGTCCATAGTATGGGGGAGTATCATAGTTCTGTCGGTCTGTGGCTGGGGCTGGATTGGGCGGAGGGGTGTCCCTTGATCTACAAACATACGTACGAGTATGTACTCGGCACACATGGCGGGGAATATGTCCCCTTTTATGCGAGGGTGTGGTTGCAATGTTGAAGCCGGAATCTTGCACTGTAACGAATCGACCAGATTACTAATTTACTACATAATTTGGTTGTTATCTCCGCACCAGCTAGAATGGTTCTACTAGATGGTGAGCTGGACTACAATAGTTATCTAATGGCGTGGACTCGGAGGTTTCATTCCGACCTAGGACAAATGTAGGAAGCGAAGGATAGGGATCAGCACAATGCCCAATGCCCAATGCCCAAAAAGAAAACAAGACACACACACACACACACACACACACACACACACACACAAAAGGAGAAGAAGCAGAGAGAAAAAAGGAAAGCGAAAGCGAAAGCGAACTGGCCCGGCTGCATGATTCACTCCGAAGAATGTGGGCTAGATGCAACGCTTCCCGGACGACCCTCCGATCGCACAATGCATATTTGCTGGCTGTGATTCCCGACCCCGTAAAACAGGGCAGACTAGAGTTGTATTAATGAGGAGAACGCGAATCCCTCCTTCTCTCTCTCCAACGCAATCGTGACGTTACTCATTGGCCTCGACTCTCCTTCCCCCTCACACCATGGAAATAACACAGTCGATCCCTCTCCGTCGCAGATCTTCGCCTGCTCGCCCCATCTCATGCAAATAATACGATTGACCCTGCAATCGCAATTCCCACGATGGCAGCGGTCCCAACGGCGCGGGAATATCCGACCCAACCTCGGCTGAAACTAACGGACGAACACAGGAGGAGGACGACGCTGGCGACGAGCGCAGACTGCTTTCAGAACCATGTGTAATACTTATCAAACCCAATTCCTCGCCGGAGGGGAAACTTGAGTCTTTCCGCAGCCCTGGCTTTAATGAGAGTGGCCCATCACTCCACCCGCAATGCCGTTGATGCTGAACACGCAGGCCACGCAATGGTTCGAGAAAGATGGGTAGTTTTTCCACAGGCTCGCTGAACCAGTTATTCCCCAGCACCAACACAAATGACCGCAGGCTCGGTAATCGGTTTAAAGTGCGACACGTCTCGAGCCACTGCGCTCGACCTGCGGCCACATATACCGCGCGAACAGGGTCTTTCGTCGGTAGCCAGTGACCCGGGAACGCCCAGCGTAGCTCGACGGAGCGGATCGCTTCCCAGGAATCGAGCGGGAGGGTGGGGCGGAAATAAGGTAGCGTCCACGGGTTGCTAAATTCGAAGGTATTGAGCGTGTAGAGTAGGTGGGTGGATTCGAGAGATCTAATCCGCAGAGGTCAATTAGAAAACGATCCTCACCCGGAGACAAGTACAGTTAACCCGCGAGGAGGGGGGGGGAACTCTTCAAGTCAGTGGGTAGTATAGGCTTTTTTGTTGTTGTTTTTGTCAACTGTACATTTGTCGGCATGTCAATGACAGCGCAAGAAGCTTGGTTCCATTCGCACCTCGTCCCGCCCGAACTAGATCGGCTTCCTTTGCGGGCTGGGGGGATTCCCCCGCCTTGGCAGATCTCACAGAAAGGACTCCCCGCATGCGCTGCTTTATCGGGGATTCCTGTCGCGCTCAGTGGGCAGATGATGTAGCCGAGGCGTTGGGGACTTCGTTGGATGATGTGAAGACGGAGGTGGCTTAGGGCATATCCCCAGATTATCATGCGTAGCTCCGGGGAGAGGGAGAGTAATCGGCATTGGGGTTGTTGTGCGGGGGACTCGGGAGTTGAGATGGTTCGATAACGATGTTGGAGGGGAGCTGGTTTGTTACCTGTCGCGTGCGCAGAGATTGGAGATTAGAATGGAGAAGCCATGGGGGTAGGTGATTAGTAGGTAACTGGAAGCCATTGAGTGGGAGATCACACTGACTCTGGTATCGTTGGGCGAGTACGTCCTCCCAGGAGAAGACACCGTGTTTCATGCGCGCCATGTTGTGCTGGTGTTGGTTGTTGGGCTGAAAGGTACTCCGTAGTATACTAATAGGCTGTAGCAGTTGGTACCTTTATATGAACCCGGGGTAAATGCCTTCGTATCCGGCCTGTCCTGCTGATCAAAGCTCTGAGCTCAACCGGGCCGCTGGGAAGAAATCCATTTGATCCGGAAAATCCGGGGCTTTTTGCATATGTTTATGCCAAGTCGATACACCTTTTCTTCGAGAGTCGGTGAGCCCTGAGTGCTGGGAGGACTAGTACTTGTACGGTGTGTACCTGTGGCCAGGAGAAGGCGATAAAGGATCCCTGCAAGATAACGACAGGGAGACAAGATAATCACTCGGCTCCACTCAGTTCAGCCTACTTACTCCGTCGATCCATGCAGACTTGCAGATTGTTAAGAGGGAAAATTGATTGATTCTATGTACAGATGTTGTTCCCTAACTGTGAGTCCCCAGATAACTCCGTAGAAACCGCAGCGCTAGGCATACGGCACTGCATGCATTCGATTGAGTCCATTCACAACACACCTAAGTGCTAGTCGAAGTAGCAAGAGCCGCATTGAGAGTGTTTGTCGGGCACGCGACCTTCAGCCCCTTTGACAACATTGCCAACCCCTCGGGCTGCAGTCGGTCGATGGTGGCTGGCGCCGGCAGAGTCCCAACATATGCGTTGAAGTTGTAGATTCCGAAAATGCAGGCATCCGAAACGTCCTTGAGACTGATTCCTGACAAGACAGTGCTTCCACCCCGGGTGACGGCGAACTTCTGCTTCCCAACTCCCATCGGGACGGAGTGGGCGCTGATACCGGCTGGGGCTTGGAAGGTCTGTGACTGGTCACCAGACTGCACATGGACCTGCGCCGCGGACTTGAGCAGCGAGACTACAAAGACTTCATCTTTCATCGACTCCCAGCCATTTGGGCGCCCAATGAAGAAGTTACCACTGGCGTTGTTCGCGCCGCCCATTGTGGTGTCGGTAGCATCGCAGTTGACGTCCCGTTTCGTCGGCCGGTACCAGTAAACGAGCTGGTCTTCCTGGACAAAATGCTCAGGCGAGGTGGATCCTGCCTTGAAGGCAGCGATGAAGGGCTTCGCCATGTCCAACCATCCATTGTGGGGCCTGTCTTCTGTCAGTAATTGTTGACGTGAAAGGTGTTGATGATATCACAAGTGAAAACGCACATGTCCATAGCCCACTTGGAATTACCATCGTCCCCATGGGGCGATGAAAGAGGACCAACGTAGTGCGACTCGCCGTAGTCATTCCAGGTGATGATCTCAACGAAGCGAGGACCTAGCTGCAGGATTTCCTGCCAACGCTCGTACCACAGAAGGTCCGAGGGAAAGACCCAGTTCTTGCTGTAAGACACCTCACTACCATAGTGGGTGGAAAACCAGGGAGAGACAGCTAGAAAGATAGGTCAGCCTTGCACCATGCCAAAGATGTGTCCTTGTCAATATATGTTCCAACTCACGTGCGATATAAGGCTTTCCACCGAGGGCATTGACGTATGCCTCATCACCAGCCGAAACGGTTACATTCTGCCCAGGAGTCGGTGCCTTGTTGTAGCCATTACTAGGCCACGCCATCCAGTTGAGAGCACCTTGGATAGAACCGAAGTTTCCCCTGACCGGGGTGGAAGTTGGGGGCAAAGAAGATGTCACTTCCTGCCGCAGAGACGATAGACTGGACATCGACGCCATCACCTGCAAAGGAGGAGACAAAGACCTTGTTGTCGACGTTGAGTTGCGCCTCGTAGCCGGCATATTCTCTGACTTTAGCTCCAACGCCAGCACCGTTGGAAGGAGTCCACCAGTTGAAGTCGAAGGACAGGAATACTTTCATGCCATTTCGAGCAGCAGAAATGTACGCAAAACGCAGCTGTTCGTCGGTGTAAGGATCGGTGCCAATGTTCAGAGCGAAGGCGTCGATACCCGACTCCTTGGCTCTTTTCATGTCAGCATCATAGTCGTTGGCACTCTTGCGGCCGCCACAGATGCCGACCTGGGGTGAGAAACAAGTTAAGTTGGATACAATGAGGTTCCATGAGTTTGTTTCGAGACTCACCATGAAGTGACAGAAGACGAGCTTTTCACCACCGGAAGCACTCGACGAAGAGACAGCAGAGGACGGTGAGGTACTGCCCGTACCCACGGGGCTGGTCATGGTAAGTGACGCCATGAGGGCCAGCAAGAGAAGCGAGAGAAGCCTCTGAAGCATGTTGAGTTTGATCAGTAGTGAGATTGGATGGCAGATCAGACGGAGAGAGACGAGGTGAAGAGGGGTGAACAGAAGAGAGGCAAGAAGAAGGGAGGACAAGATGGAGGATGAAGGAAAGGATGAAGGAGAGGAGAAAGGAAGAGAGAGTCGAGGTAGAAGGAGGGGGGAAGGAGCAAGTGAGAGATGAAGCAGACGACTAAGCAGACAACTGGGTGATGACCGAGTAGATGATGGGATAACGGACAAATCAATTGGCGCGGGTCTCTCTTTGGCATCAACGAGACACATACCGAGTTGGGAGATTGCAGATTATTTAAGAATGTTCTTTGTCCTCGTCAGGATCTCTCTCGCGATCCTTCTAGTTCCTTAATTTCTTCTTTCTATTCCTTTAGTTAATTTAAAATTATAGACAATGCGGATAGAGTTTGGATCTATGACGGGGACGAGAATATATGCGAGAGCGTCACGGCGCGAAGTGGTGAAGGCCCAAGGGTGTTGAGGAGATCTGGTGGCGCATCATGAAGCATGCGCAAGCGCTTAGGTTCTCGTCGAGTCAGGTTGACTCCACCGACACGAGATCTAATGCGCTTATTGGCCCGGGTCGCACCGAAGGGCTGTTCCCTGGAAATTTTGACATCGAAAAGGAATAAAGGATGCTGAGAGTCCCTTGATATATGAAACAGCCACTTTCTATCATTAGTGGTAGGGGGCCAAATGAAAGGGTTCAATTTGTTTCATGCCCCTTCCAAGGTTACGACTTCTTGTGAATAACGGGGGCCATCGGTAATTGATGGGTGTGCATTTTAGGGTTGCAGTAATTTAAAATAAACCTGATTAGACAAAAAGGTAGAAATCGGGCGCAGTTTGAAGTTAACGAACTGATTATGATTGAAATGAAGATGATCCTTTCAACATTTCGATTCTAGAGTTGCCGAACCTCCCCGGAATGGTAGGTATTGATAGTGGTATACGTTTTGATGAGCTCCTTGTGGCAAAAACGGTTTTTATAGGCGAATGAAATAAACAAAGCAGTGGATGGAGCCATTGAAAGCAAACGACAGACAAGACAACGCAATATTTACATGTGGGAGCGCAAACCCCGCGTGGCATCGTAGATTAAAATCCGCTAAGCTGGGTTTCACCCCCGCCATGGGCACGCGCCTCCCCAAACCCCACAAAATCGGGACATAAACCCTCTGGGCCTGGCCACTACCCATGGCCATGACTTCCTGATGCATCAATTACATAAGAGCGGTGGCATGTCCCTGAAAACGCTAGAGTGTTTATGGGAGCAGCTATTGGAAAAAACAATTCAAATACTTTGGAACATATCGCCAAAGAGTATCTCGAACCTGAACCAACGGCCGTTGAAGTCGATCAACATACTAAGGCTCCCAACAAAATCGAAATCACTGATATTCAGGCTAAGCATGTCTATATCAATCAGGAACGATACTGCGTTTATTTTGTGAATGTTTCATTCGTATTTCATTCTGCATCATGCTTGAAGCAAGCATCTTAATTGTTATGGAGGATCCAATTACAAAAGCTGTTTTGGTGACCAGTCTATCCGACTTCAATCTATAAACAGGACCTATGAGAAATTTACCGTGTCGTATATCCATGTCGATTTTGTAAGTGTTGATGAGAACACTTCCCAGACAGCATTTAAGACTTGACCTCTTCCTTGACATAATCGCTAGTCTCGCCCCCACTCTCAGAGTCACGTAGACCAACGGGCTGGTCCGCTCGGATGGTGTTTTGCATGCGGCGTGCCACGCGAGGAGGGTCAAAGATGTTCTTCGACTGGGCGAAAATTTCATCAATTTCCTCAAGTGTCCGCCCCTTGGTCTCGGGGAAGAAGAAGTATACCGACGGAACGATGATAGCATTGATCACCGCGAAAACAATATAATACTGGTTTCCAATAGTAGCAAATCCGATAGGAGTCACCTCTGCGAGCAGGAAATTGAAAACCCAGACAGTGGCGGTCGAGACGGCGCTGACAGCAGCACGGACTTGCAGAGGAGCCAGTTCAGCAGCGTAGAGGAAGGTCAGGCCTGAGTATCCGACTGTGAAGATAAACTGAAAGCAGAAGAGTGCGATGACAGCTACGATCAAGGCGCCAGTGCTGTTTTGAGCCGAGGGCGACGTTGTACCAGCAAGGACGGCCATGCAAACGGACATGGCTGCTGCGCTCCAGAGCATGAGTGGTCGACGACCGAGCCTGTCGATAGTAAAGAAGGCAAAGAGACCACCAAAAGGCTGCATCAAACCCATTGCTGCTGCCAAAATACGGGACTTTACATCGTCCATGCCGAGATATTGCTAGAGATGTGTTAGTAAAAAACCTATAATTTGACATCCCGGCAGTCTAACGCCCAAAGAAGCCAAGACCAGTGTTTCAGTAGAATTAACTTACCTGGAAGATACTGGTTGCATAGTAGGTAATCAGATTAACACCACACATTTGCTGGAAGAATTGGCCGGTGGCTGCGAGGTATGCACGATGGAAGAGACGTTGCTCTCCATTTGTAAACATGGCAGTCCAATTAGTGTTTCCACAGACGGCAAGAGTCGTTTGAACTTCATTGATAACATCGGAAATCTCAGCACAGTCAGGCTCAAGATCTTGGAGAGCTGCCATCACATGGCGAGCCTTGTCAAGTTGACCAGTCATGATCAACCAACGTGGCGATTCTGGCATAAATGGAATAGCAGCCATGGCCATAATGCAGAACAGCGAGGGCAAAGCAAAAGGCACACGCCATGATGCAGAGTTGTCTTTGACAAAGTAAAAGCCGAGATCAATCCAGAGCCCTAGCGTGACACCAGCGCCGACAAAGACGCCATCCGTCACGACATTTGAACCTCGCTTGCTGGGTGGTGAGATCTCTGACTGCCAAACTGGCACAGTTGCTGTATATCCACCAATTCCCACGCCAAGGATCAATCTTGCGATAATAAACTGGACAAATTGAAAGGAAGTGGCCATGAGAATGCAGCCAATCATACAGATCAAGTTTGTCGCAAACATGATCTTCTTCCGTCCCAGTTTATCACCTAGATGAGCGCATGACAAGGCCCCGAAGATACCACCGACCGTATAGAGAGCAATAACCGTGCCTATTTTTTTTTAAATCATTTGTTAGAGGAGTCAGGACTATCGCTTCAAAATCAGGACCCACCTTGAATCGTGGAGTTCTCCTTATTCAAGGCTCCCGTAGTGTTGATAGTGTCCATTCGGGGGAACTGCTCATTGAAGGCAGGCAGGGTCAAAAGACCACCGGCCACACTCATATTGTATCCATAGCAGGTAAAGGTTGGGAAGACGACCAGTGCGACAGCCGCTCTGAGAAGTGAATTGCCGCGAAGGCCAAGATATGGACTCAAACCCATATTGGAATAGAAGAAAAACACGACAAATTGAAGAGAGTGGATTGAAAGAAGTGAATGTAAAATTAACTCCGTGTAATAACTGTCCGCCTGCTATTATATCAGTAATATTGCTACTTGGCGTCCCTATGCAAGGTGGTGAGCATTGGTGCTTCGTGGATGTTCGCTTGGGAATCCGGGGTCGAAATCCTGGGGTTAGAATGTCGGTCATCGGCGGTTACCGTGGGGTTACAGGTCTAGAAATTGGCCACTGGAGGATCCCTGTATGTGTATGGCGAGTTCATCGTAGGCCACTGACTGGCTGTTCGTGTCGAGGTACAAGCGGCAGTCGGGGCATCCCCCGGCGGACAGGCATTGATTCTTTTGAACCCGACGAAAATGAACAGGGTCATAATTTTCGAAGACAAGAAATCAAAATCTGAGGTTTAACCTAAGATTAAATCCAACCGAGCAAGTCGAGTTTGATGTTTGTTTTCGCCAAATGCATCAATGCGATACTTTCCGCCCACGGGTGGCTTCCGTCCACCATCTCACAACGGGAAGCCACCATCTCACAATTTCTTGATTTCAAAGCGCCTTTAGCGCGGGTATATTCGCCCAAAAGGTGAATGGAAACAAACCCAGGCCAGAAAAGTTGATCTAGGCGAAATATCCCGCGACGAGTCGCCTAGACAAGAATCTCGATGTCTGAGCCTTGGCCCTGATAAGAAGTTATATCGGCCACATTGCTTTTTCTTGAGTCTGATTTTTCGACTCCAAAGCAGCATTCGATATCACATCTCATCCCATCACATCGAGCCATGAGACAGGGATCGGCCACTCATGCGTCCCTGTCTGGCGGTGACAAGCCCGAGGAATCCCGAAGAGAAGTGAAAAAGTCGCGATCTCGGGAGGACTGCCCTCATTCTTGTACCTGCCCTTCTTATATCTCGTCAATGCGCAACAATCGGAATCAGCCGAACACCGAACCCAGAATATTCGCAAATGGGTGCGATCGTCAGCCCCTGTTGATCCCGTTATCTCGTTGTTCTACAGGAATTCTACATTCGTCAGAGGATGCCACCGCGGCGGAGACCGTTCAGAAGTGGCGTCCCCACAATCTTCACAAGTGTAATGCATCTAGAAGCCGGCTTCTGATACCGGTATCACCGGTCTTACGGCCCTTCATTTCCTGGATTTTATCAAGATATATGAATCCGCGTTGTCCTCGAGATGGTGAGGTGATCCAGAGCATCAATCTACGTTCGTTTTACCATGTTTCAAAAATTCTTCAGCTCCTCGCTGGGAGTGTCTGCACTATGGCTGTCTTCAGCAGTGTTGAATGCCTGCGGCACTATGGCTGCAGCAACTCCTTACACGGTCTATCGTGGAACATTCATTCAGCTTCCTCAACTTGATTCGGATAACTCGACGCCGCAGCTTGCTAGAACCCAAGGAGTCCTGTGGGTCTCTTCCAACGATGGCCGCATCAAGGGCTATGATTGGAAGGTCAATGATGACGCCAGCTTTCAATCGTGGCTGTCTCAGCCAGGGCTGGACCGAATCCGATGTCACCGTCGTGAAATCCGACGATGAACGGAACGAGTTCTTCTTCCCTGGGTTCATCGACACCCATATTCATGCGCCGCAGTATCCCAATGAGGGTCTTTTTGGCTCCAAAGGCCTTCTGGACTGGCTGAATGAGTATACCTTCCCAATGGAAGCTAGCTTCGGCTCCAAGTCCGACCCAGAGAACAAGGACACCGACCCCAAGGATACACCCCACGAGGGCCTGCGCGTCTACGACGAAGTGGTGGTCAAGACCCTTTCCCACGGCACAACAACCGCATCCTACTTTGCTACTATCCACGTCCCGGCTACCAATGCCCTCGCTGCTCTTTGCCACAAGCACGGCCAACGTGCTTTCATTGGCCGTGTCTGCATGGATAACAAGGAGCAATGCCCATCCTACTACGTTGATTCATCCGCTGATGAAGGATTCAATGCGACTAAGAGGACTATCGATTATATCCACACCCTTGACCCCAACGGAACTTTGATCAACCCCATTGTCACCCCCAGATTTGCTCCCAGTTGCTCCAACCACTCTCTTACGGGTCTCGGCGAGCTTGCCGCATCCTATAGCCCGCCTCTGCGTATCCAAACGCATATCTCTGAGAACAATGACGAGGTTGCTCTCGTCCAGCAGCTGTTCCCGGATTCCACTAGCTATGCTAATGTCTATGATACGCATGGCCTGCTTACCAACCGTACTATCCTGGCCCACGGTGTCCACCTCACCAAGGATGAGATGACTCTTATCAGAGAGCGTGGCTCGAAGGTTGCTCACTGCCCTGCATCGAACTCTGCCCTGGGCTCCGGTCTTGCCCCTGTCCGCTTCATGCTCGACCAAGGTGTCACCGTTGGCCTGGGCACGGATGTTGCCGGAGGATACAGCCCCAGTATCCTCGAAGTCGCCCGACAGGCCAGCCTGGTGTCCCGAGTTGTTCAGTATAGTTCCGAGTACCAAGCACTGACCGGAAACAAGACCTCTGATGGAAGTGAGAAGCTTCTCGTGGATGAGGCTCTCTACTTGGCCACCCGCGGTGGCGCAGCAGTCGTGGACATGCCGGATGACATTGGCGGCTTCGACAAGGGAATGATCTGGGATGCGCAGCTGATTGAGTTGGGTACCGCAAAGAACAGCACTACCAGCCCCCTTGATGTCGCTACTCTCGCTGGCCGAGCTGTCGAGACTGGCCCCGTCGGCAATGTTGATATCTTTGGAAATGAGACCTGGCAGGAGCAGGTCCAGAAGTGGATGTGGGATGGTGACGATCGAAACGTCAAGAACGTGTGGGTTCAGGGAAAGCTGGTCCACACCAGAACCTAGGCCACGAGTTAAATCTGCGGCTATGATTATATATGGGTAGGTTTATCGATCTATTATAGTATAGTATACTATTAAGTACATAGGGGAAGTTGGTCAGTGAAGCCGAATGCTGTCGCCGTCAGGCATGCCAGTCGTTACCTAAATATCTTTATCTATTTATACAAATCCTCCATGGCTCTATTTTTTTTTGGATTCTAGTTTAGTTGAGGCATCTCTAAGCTGCGATAGTATAAGAAAATAGTTTAATGAATAAGTATAAGCTAGAGAAGAATTACGTCTGACCTTGAGGCTCATGAGCAGAATTCGAGACGGAAGCGGATGTTCCCGTCTCCGCTTCCGGACGATTGTTCAGGATCAGGCCCGACACGCCGTAGATCTCTAGCTTAAAAGTTTCCCTGCCACACTCTTCCTGTTTCAGATTCTCTAGTGTTTTAATCACTCACTCACTACCTAGGCATTTCGGTTCCTATTCCATGGGATACGAAGGCCTTGGACTTAACTATGTTGGACCACTCGAGGCCCCGTGTTGTGATAGCTATCGACCTTGCGTATCTTCGTCGCGGAAGTGAATAGAAACTTCAAACAGCCCACAGCCAGTTTGTTTTATGAATCAAATGGCCCTAATACACCTAGCCAAAGAAAAATCTCCTTTCAAATATGATTAATTGAGGGTATTCCCACTAAAAACCAGGCAAAGCTCTTTTCCAGCCTAGAACACGGAGTGGGCCCGGAACAAGCAGTTCCTGTTCCGTGCTCCTTCTAAGACGCCGTCAGAACTTTCAACAAGGGGCATTGACAGATTACTCGCTCCAGATGCACTCCACTCAATGCGGGGAAATAGTTGTCATATAATCCGGGGTGTGATCGTGATGTGATGGCCAACGAGCTCAAGGACCAGGCATCTATGCCGGGACTGCCTGTCATTGTTCCTCCCCCTCCCTCTCACAGAGATGCCTGATGGAGGCAGAAACTGTGTAACCGAACAAGGATTCGGGGCAATTCCGCCCACGAGGAGTACTACATTAAATCAATTATAACCTTTTCCCGAGTATTTCTTTGCTTCTCGTTTCCGTGCCGAACAACTCATCGGAGACGAAACCAGAGTGGGGCGACCTCGATAAGAGATTTTTCCTCGGCGGAGGCGATTCTCAACATTCACGTTACAACAACCCTTTCGACCTTACATCGCCAACATGGAGAAAGTTATGGATCCGGAGAAATCGCTAGACCCCTTCGCTGGGGAGGAGGCTGGTGGAGTGCAGTATAGGAGTATGAAGTGGTGGTAAGTTCTCATTTTCAGAGATCGCTGTCCCAATGCAAAAAAACTAATGATATTCATTTATAAGGCAATGCGCAGTTTGTACATACTACCCAGTCCTTTTGACTAGCAATGCAGTGGGAAAGCTAACCAAATCATAGTGATGATTGCCCAGTCTGTCTCATTGGGTGTTCTTTCTTTGCCCTCTTCAATGGCAGTCTTGGGTCTGGTCCCGTACGTCCAATGAGTCACTTCTCGAACTAGCATACGATGAACCCGTACTAATTTAAGCAGCGGCTGTATTATCATTGTTGGAATTGGAGCCATGACGACTTACACCGGATATGTCGTCGGTCAATTCAAACTGCGATACCCTCAAGTCCACAACATGGCTGATGCGTCAGAGATTTTGTTCGGCCCTTGGGGCCGCGAGATCTTCGGAGTCGCCCAGATTCTTTGCTTCATTTTCCTTATGGGTGCTCACATCTTGACATTCTCCATCATGATGAACACTCTTTCCAACCACGGTGCCTGCACTATCATCTTTTGTGTGGTGGGAGCCATTCTCTGCTTCGTCCTGACGCTCTCGAGGCGCTTGGAGGAAGTGTCTTGGCTTGGAATCATCTGTATGAAGATCACGTTCTGTTTCTATATGTACTGAATCCTGCTGACATATCTTAGCTTCGGCCTCGATCTTCACGGCCGTCATGATCACCATGATCGCGATTGGCATTGAAGCACCTGATCCTCGAGCCTATGCCATTACACACCCAAGCCTTATGAACGGATTCCAGGCAACTCTGAATATCGTTCTGGCCTATTCGGGTCATATGTCCTTCTTCAGCTTCCAGTCGGAGCTGGCTAACCCGGCTGATTATCCGAAAGCTCTGATTGCTTTCCAAGCCACCGATACTTCGCTATATCTTGTCACTGCCCTAGTCATCTACCGATATGGCGGGCCAAACGTAGCGAGCCCCGCTTTGCTCAGCACCAGCGCGCTCGTCTCTAAGATTGCTTTTGGTATATCCATCGGAACAATTGTTATTGCTGGAGTCGTCATTTGCCATGTAGGTGCAAAGTGCATCTACGTGAGATTGTTCCGTGGCACCCACACTATGAGCGAAAGATCCTTCCGTTCCTATGGAAGCTGGGTTCTCATCACTTTCCTCATGTGGGTCGTTGCATGGTTGATCGCCGAGGCAATCCCTGTTTTCAACGACCTTCTCAACATGATTGCGGCTGCATTCTGCAGCTGGTTCTCGTTTGGCCTAGAGGGCCTTTTCTGGTTGAAGATGAATCGTGGGCAGTACACTGCGAATTACAAAAAAATGGCCTTGACTGCGTTGAATATCTTCCTTGTTGTCGTGTGTTGCTTGATTGTAAGTTTCTTTCCGACTCGTTTAGAGTTACATTTACTAATCGTGAAACAGTGTGGAATGGGTCTTTGGGCTACAGGAACAAGCATTCGAATCAATGCCAAGTCTGCAGGTCGTCCGTTCTCCTGCGCCTCTAACGCCTAAATTATTATTATGGTTAGGTCCCTACGGAGGCGCCTCATGAGATCCATGTCTTTCTATCATAGCCCTTACCTGTACAGTCACTAGCCGAGAGGCATTGTTCATAGAAATGGAACTGAATGCGATTGAATGATTCAATCCGAATATCTAAACCCTACTTCGTTGAACACCATGAGGGAATTAAGGAGACTTGCGTCGTGAAAAGGCCTGAAGTCCTATAGCACTGCAAAGGCAGAGACATAGCTCACAGAGCTATCTGACACATCTTCTATATCGGAACTCCGCTCGTATCTCAAAAAATGGAATCGGCCTTGGTTGCCTGCGGACTGATTGGCAGTGGCCACTTCAAGGGCTGCCATGATCACGCCAATGGGGTGGCGGCCACAGACAGTGTTTCCTGTGCGATCAATGGTGTCAAGGAAAGCATGGGATGATCCGGTGGTGATGGCAGCCATGGTAGCAATATCGAATGCTGAGATGCTTTCATGGATAGTGGGTTCTTTGCTTGGGATACGATCTCGACGCTGTAAAGAGTGTCCGGCGGAAACTGAGTCAATATTTCCCAACACATCATCGGCATTCATGCCCGGCTGTGGCAGACCGTCACTGGATAGAGGCAATTGAGGTCCAGGTGTCGGGGCCTGGGGAACATAATATGTGTATCGGAAGCGGAGGCCCCAGTGGCAGAAATCTGAGCTTATGACAAAAGCATTAGAGGGGTCAGCCAAGTATGGAGCTAATAGTGTGCCGAATGCTTTCTCGGTCTCAGCAGAGGTACTTCCGACCATGATTGGGACCAGCGGAGGGTACTGCGCGGTTGGAGTAGTGGGAAGCTGCCGTTGAAGAAGACGGTGGATGTAAGGCAGATGCATCTCAATGCTGTGCTCTTCTTCATCGACAGACTGGGTCATGGTCGTGAATTTAATACTGGTTCCATTTGACTTCCTTGCGGGGGTCGCCAGGAGATTCGCGATGAGCTCCGTATCTAGAGGGAGAGGGTCATCGGAGAGCGGGGTATAGTATGAGGTGACCTGCGGAAGGGCCAGCGTTGACAGCGGATAGTGATGCGATGGGCCTAGGACGAAGATCCTCTTCCTGTGAAAGAATGGTATGAGATACACCGTACCATCCAGACAATTAAGATAAGCTCACGCTTTAGATAGATCAAGTGCCTTGTATGCGTAGGCTGCGCAGGGCCCCGAGTACGAAAACCCCGCATGTCTGTTTGGTCAGTATGATGATTGCCAGCAGTAATAATTTGACCTCGCAAGGAATAAGACATACGGGGCTATCACTATTCGCGCTCCTGGTACAGGAAGGGGACCTGCGTGGTCCATTGTATCAGGCACCTGGCCTAACCAGCCGTCCAACTGCCCGGCCAAGGTATTGGCGTTGTTCGAGTACCATGATCCCGCGTGCGAAGCTTCTCTGGATGGCATAGTGATGTCTTGAGCGGTGTTGATGTATGGATGAAGAAAGTCGCCGTAGCTGTAGTTGGGGAAAACAACTGGAGAGCTTCGGTAGGAGGAGAGGCGGGGGAAGAGCAGCGTCACTGGTGGAGCAGGTGCAGTGCGGGATACCGAACACCACTACGAACTAGTAGTAGCTACTAGTACGGCATGCCGAGTGTCTAAGCTGGTTAGAAACATAAGATTTTTTAATTTTTATGTGGAAATCGCAATTTATTGGAATACGAGCTTGAAGGGCCCGGGAGAGCAAAGTGTGGTCACAGACTGATGATCTAGCTACACTGCTGGGCTGATGATGCCGCAGGGTTGTGGTAGGCTGCACAACAACAGTCATACGATTTCCTGTCCCTTGTGTCAGATCCAAGATATCACGGAGTACAGACTATGAACATTGAACACCAATGACCATCACTTTAAGCCTCAGCAATCATTTCCTCCAGAGCATACTAGTAGCATCGTGTCGCGCGTACTTGTTCAATGTTACCTCTTCCGGTCTAGCGTGTCCCTAGCAACGCGACGCGGCCAATCGCATTTCCCCGGTTCATCCCCAGCCTTCTTCGCCCAGTGCAACCCAGGAACTCGACTGGACTTCCTCCCAGAGAGAGTGCAGGAGACACCTTGATCAAGTCCTATAATCTTTTCTTTACACCTACATTGTTATAATGTCGCTCAAGCGGAAAGCCTCTTTCTCGGCAATGCTGTCTAGCCCATTCGTCCCCGCGTCCAGTGACTGGGAGATGACCGACAGCTCCAAACACCTCCACAGTCGGACCAGAAAGCGCTTTCGTGATGGCCGTCCCAATGAGGAGGCAGTATATGGTGTGTTCATCGCTTTTTATCCTTCTTAACCGCACCCCAAGACTGTCAGGCGAGCAACCAACCAAGCTCGGCTAGTCACTAGTCACAAACGCGAACATGAGAGCTAACAAGCAGCAGCGAAAACCCTCCGCTGGATATTTTCGGCCCAGAAACAGCAAGATGAAACTTTAGTTGATGCATGCGACGAAATCATGGACTCCGAGCCTACCGAAACGATTGATCCGCGACAGCAATCGCTACTTCGATTCTTCCAGCCGCGCACTCAATCGGGTCCCTCCTTCAAACCATCCCGCGAAGCATTAGCTCCCCGAGCCAACGAGACTGCCATGGGCAACGATGATGCTTTGCGACGCGAGGCCTTCGAACGGATAAACTCGGTGGGCAGCGCCAGTGGGAGCGAGTCCACGAGTCCTGGGTTCAACCAGATGGATGTCGACATGGATATGGATACCGATGAAAGCTGCGAGATCTCAACCCCTGGTACCAATATGGGTGTGACGGGTTGGATGTAATGTTCAGATATACGGATGACCAGAGCTTCCTCAACTGAGCGCGGGCCGCTTTCTGAGTTGATACTGCTCTATGGTCATTTCATTTGTCGGCGTCGTTTCTTTCTAAGGAGTTAGAGGGGCTCTCTTCAGAATCTCTTCAAGAGAGGGGGCCTGTGATTTACAATATGGGACCTTGGGTGATGGTCCCGGAGTTTTCTTTTTCGTGCCAGGGCCTGGCACAGCATAATCATGTGGACATACTATCTATTATCAATTATATCTGAATCACACATTACTTTCACAAGGAAGAAGGCTCACCATGTCAAAGAAAGCTCGGTGGAAAGGGGCAGCAATAATAGACACTTGCGACCTAGGTACTTGGGCAGTACTAAACTTCTCCATGTGTACGATTGGTACCTAGTATATTATTTACATCCGAGGAGACAATCACCACTGGCATTCACATCTAAGCACTGACAAACGACTCTGCGAACTTCTCGTCACGAGCTGCTTCACATCTCTCGAAATACATCCGCATTCCTGCAAGATAGTACATCTGCTCGACGGGTTTTCCGGGTATGTTAGCACCCTGGTACCAGGACTTGGCCTTAGGGAACAGCGTCATGTTGGCAATTGCCTGTACCTCTGCCCGCCATTCCTGCGCAGCCTTAAGTTGAGGGTCAATGTAACGAATGCCAGTCTTCTCCATTTTCTCAATCATACTTCGGATCCAGTCGGTCTGGAATTGGATGAAAACAGGCCCGTTGGTGAATGGGGTTGGAGACTGGATAGAGTAAGGCAGGAACATGTTTGGGAACCCTGGGACAGTCATTCCGTGGAGACTGATAATTCCATCTTTCCAACGAGTCCCCAGGTCAACACCATCTAGATCGTGAATACCTGTCCTGGACAAGCTTCCCGTACTTGCGTCAAAGCCCGTAGCCACAGCAATAGCATCTACTTCGTAAATCTTCCCATCATCGGTCATGATCCCCTTGGGAGTAAACTCGACAATTGGGTGCTCCTTGGTGTTCACAATGTGGACGTTCGGCTTATTGAACTGTTCGTAATAATCCTGTTCCAATGATGGGCGTTTCGTACCCCATGGGTGTGGGGCCTCTAATGGTGCCAATAATTCAGCCTTCACCGGATCATGGACTCTTTCGCGAACTCTCTTCGCCCAGATATCATAAGCGAACTTGTTGGCGTCTTCGTTGATGGTGATGTCGGCAAGACTGGCACTCCAAAACTTGAAGCCACCTTCATCATACATTTGATTCACGTGTTTCGCGGCGTCGTCCAAGTTCTCCCAGTCTGCCAGTGCCTTTGTCGTGCTGTGAAAGTGCATACCACCCGTTGTGCTCGTGGCGTGGGCGATCAGGTCACTGGTATCTTTCTGCATCTGCTTTTGACTAGCCGGATCTAGAGTCTTATTGTTCATGGGCAAAGCATAGTTAGGCGTGCGTTGGAAAACGAATGTTTCAGCGGCTTCTTTGGCCCACTCCTGCGTGACTTGTACACCAGTTGCGCCAGTGCCGATAATAGCGACTCGCTTGCCTCGTACGTCGACCCCATTACGGGGCCAGTGAGCAGTGTGGTTGATGCTACCCTGATAAGATTCATATCCCTTCCAGGTCGGTAGATAATTCTGCGAGGCAAAGCCCACGGCAGGAAGGAAGTACTTGGCGACGAAAGTTTTGCCGTCCTCTGTCTTGACAGTCCAGCGAGCAGTAGTGGTATCAAACCGGGCGGAGTTTACACGTGAGTTGAAAAAAGTGTCTTTTCCCACGGACAACGCTTTGTCGACATGTTGGAAGTAAGCCTGGAGCTCTTTTTGCCCCGGGTACGCTTCAGACCAGCTCCAATCCTTCCAAGTCTCCTCGATATTGAAGGAGTAGATAGGCGAAGGAACATCCACTCTGGCGCCAGGGTACACGTTGGCGTGCCAGGTCCCGCCCACATCCGACCCCGCTTCAACAATTTTCACATTGAGGTGCAGTTGGTCGCGGAGTCGATGTAGAAGGTAGATGCCCGAGAACCCCGCTCCGACGATCAGCGCATCTGTCTCCAAGATTGTCATAATGGTGGATATACAAATATGCAGATAAAATATAGAGGGGATGGTAGTTTCAATTTATGTCAGGGATGAGGGTGACTTGGAATTTTGGCATCATACGTTGGTGCTGATATGTAGTATTTTCTGGTGGATATGTAAGCCCTACTCCGCACCGGTATATCGACACCACAATCCAACCTCGGCCTTGGGATAAGACCACATACGAGTATTCGACTGATCTCGAAATTCCTGCTCCACAGCTTACTCAGATACCCACCCATTTCACTCAAAATGGCGGGCGATACCGATGTCCTCGTATGTACAGGGAGTAGAAGTTGTGAGTCGAAAGATAATTCCACCTGATGCAATCCTGCGGAACCCATTTTGATACGCCCATGCGCTGATGGCGGGGGAGGGGCTTCTCAAGGGCTAGCGGCCGCTGATCTTGTTATCTGCCCCTCGGAGGATATCTCTTTAGGCTACTTCGAAAGTCAAGACTTCCATAATAGAACGGCAAGAATATTGTATCATTCGAATTGAAGTGTATTGCTCCCTTTTACTATGGAGTTGAAAATGTGGCATTGAAAATGGTGTCATCTAGCGATCTTAAAAGAGATATCCTTCTCTTCAGCCGAAAGGAAAAGTCTGAGGCATACTTAGCTTCCACATTGGAGACCTTGAGTATAAAAAAGTGAAATATATGAGATTTTAAGATTCATATTCAGCTATGCAGATAGCTTGTATTGACGTCGTTTGTTCTCTCTGGCTTGAGGAAGAGCCTTTTTTCCATTGCCGTCTACACTGGCATTGCGTAGTTCAAGTTGAGCATACCAAAGATAAGTAACTAGTTTGTACCTCTGATTTGGCTTCCGTAGAAGTAAGATATACTTCTTCGAAGTGAGAATGTTTTTGTGCAGATGTTCCTGCTTTATGGCTGCTCTGCCCCAGATCCACATTTGACGCCTGAGGCCACAATACTGCCTGCCTGACGCTTTGTAACCGCCGCGCACCTTCTCTCAAAGCTCCCACCGACAATTTGCGGGAAACTCGAAGACAAGAGTCTCTGGGATAAGAGATTTACGCTACACCCCAATATCAAACATCACACAATCAATTTCATACCACAAGCCTCCCGCAGTCATCGGAAAAGCGACGCAACTCCGACCTTGACTACCCGACATTGACTACCCCTCCGACGACAATACCCTGTCGATTACCCACAACAACATCGAGGCTGCACCATGGAGACCGGACACGCTGTGCAATATCTGGAAGGACTTCTTGGTCGCTCTTTGCGTGTACACACCACAGACAGTCGTATGTTTGTTGGCATCTTCAAATGCACTGATGCGGTAAGCAGCTTTCGCCAACCACACCCACCCTTCTCTCTGTGTGGTTGCCTCATATACCTCCCCATTTCCTGCATTCCATGCTGACAGAATAAATGCATCAGGAACGAAACCTCATCCTGGCCAACTCACTTGAGTACCGCTTCCCCACCCCCTCTGCCGTTGAAGCGGCTGCGAAGGAGCACGAATCCTGGGACAACGCCTCCGAAGCCTCAAAGGCCACCGTCAAAGTCAATATGACCAGCCGTCTTATCGGCCTGATTGTGATCCCGGGCAGACATATTACAAAGGTTGAGCTGGAGTAAAGGCCCGACCCGAAACATGGTGCACGTTCTGCATTTTTATAAGGTGGCGTCTTACTGTTTACTCCCCAGTGAGAATTTACCTCTGGCCGACAATGGATACGACTGCCTCGGTGAGATCACGCCTTGGGATATTGCCCTCCCAAGAAAGATCCCAGCTTCTCGGTAAACCTGGGTTCTGCACTACATGCCCAGAGATACTATCCTTGCTTTTCCGCCATACGTGGGGCTGCCAAGAATGAATTCCTAGCGGACCTATGCTCGTCCCCTCACAATCAACGTGGCAGGGAGAACACCGCATCTGCATCGCGGCATCAGGCGGGCTTGGCCAGCAGGTCCGCTGCGAACGATCGACCAGTTGGGAAATTCTTTGTGTCAGCTCTAGATGGCCTCGCGAAGGTCCTGCACTGTGGGAGGAGGGGATGCAAAGGGCGGTGTCTCCGCCACATGGAGATTGATGTCTTGGCGGTATAGCATGTAGCGGCTTTCGTGCAGAACCAAGACTATCTGCGGCTCCTATTCACTCAATCCGCAGCTCGGGGCTGGATCTGTACCGTTGAATGTAGGCTGGCGGGCACACGGGAGAAGAAAGAAAGAATCAAAAAGAAAAACAAGAAAAACCAACGGACCACTGGGGACGACTTAGGGCCTGTAACCGATCTTGTTGACCTTGTTTTAGTGTGTGAGGCGGGGTTGACGAGATGGTGGCGTCAGGATGGTGAACGGGATGCTTCCCAGCAGGTCAGCCTTTCCCAAGGGCCTCCCCCGCGGCTTGTGATAGGAACGCAGGTGGGGTCTAAGTTCCAACCCACGGGCTATGTTACTGGCTGGGTCATCAAAGGAAAAGTTTACGATAGGCATTAGCGTGCAGCAATTATTCGCACCGACTGTTCCAGCTCGTCGGACCAAATTAAAATCTGGAATAGAATGTGTCGGTTTTGTTCGCTTTTGTTCGCTTTTGTTCGCTTATCGGTGGGGGGTCACTCTCCAGATTGGATACTAGTTCGCAATGCTAGACTTGCCTCTATGGTAGGCCCGGTTTGTAAGTGGCAGCCTGGGGGGGAGAGTGGAGTGGCGCATATGCTGCCCTGCTCGTTTCTCTCCGCCACCGACACCTACAGCTACTCTAGATGGACAGTAAACATGATTATGGAAAGTAAAATAAAAATACAAAATGTCATACCGGTCGTAAATGTCATTGACTATATCAAGACATCAATGGAAACTATAAATATCAATATCAACTGGGTCCAGACCCCCTTCTAGGCAACACCTCGGCCCGCAGATGATCCGGCTGACCTAATCTGGCCAGAAGCGGGCGACGCAGCTTCCGCCGCCGAAAAGCACTCCAAGTACCTTCTCACGTACTAGCGGTGGCGGAGTACTTTCCTCGTTTACATCCCCCCCTCTATCTCTATTGCTCTTCCTCTTCTCTCCTCCTGCTAACCACAATATACTTCTCGGTGAGTTCGACTATATCTCCTTTGCTGTTAGGATTCTCGCGGCCTCAAAATACCTCAAGAGACAGCCCTGTCTTATCATGACGCATTCCTCTTCCCGCCCCGTCCACACCCCAAATCCACCATAACCAAACTTCCCAATTCCTCCCTTGCCTTGCCCACCTCCACATACCATTTGAACTTCGTGGAGTTCAGCCCTGTCGTCGCCCTTTCTTCCTGCCCTCGTGCTGTGTATGGGCAAGACTAATCCCGCGTGCAGAAGGAGCTTTTTTCCGTGCTGAAGCTTCAGCCCTCCCACCCCCTCCCCCGGCCCTCTCAGCTTTCTTCGCCAGCTCCTTTTTTTCGACCACCCCTTTCCCGCGTAGTCGCTTTCGTCAGCGCCCCATTTTCTCTCGCTTCCAGTCTGGCCCTCGTCAGTCCATACGTTGTCCGGCTGTCCTCCTGTCGTTCCCTTCGTTGCCCGACTCTACCTGAGAAATCGACGAAGATATCACTAGTTTGTCGAAACGGCTGCAAGGACCACTTTGGACTCTGTGCGCAGGGGTTCTGCAAGCCTAATATACTGTGCTTGGGTCGCAACCTCAGGAGTTAAGAGCCAAGACATTCCGACATCCAGGGGGCATTTTCTCGGCGTAGCGGTTTGAACGTCCGCTTCGTGCGCTTTCCCCCAGATCGAGCTTGGCAGATATCCCAGCCTTGCAGTGATGGGTCAGTCGCATTCCAAGGGAAACGCCGCGGGCGACCCGTTGCAGTCGTACCCGTCCTTTTCGAAATCCGACACGAAAGAATCAATCCGTTCCTTCCGTGGATCCATTCGCTCCAAAATCCGGAGCTCCGACAGCCCTCGGGGATCGACTACCGCCCTCTCTCAGACCGACAGCCAAGGTGACCGCTCCGATGCCGGTTCAATCAGGTCCGCTAAATCGTCCGGTAGTCGCCCCGGCTCCAACGCCGGCCTTTCCTCACCAGGCTCGGAAGGCCCTTCGCGAACAGGCTCTCCCGAACCCCCACCATCGCCATCGCTGTCAACCAGCCTGCAGCGTGGTCATAAAGATGTGAATGCAATGCAACAGAGTGGCGAGGTCGACCATGTTTCGGAAGGTCCTCCTCAGGGCGGTCCGCCCTCAGGCCCTGGAGGTGTGGCTGGCGAATCCATCTTGATTAAGAAGCCGAACCAGGTAAATCCGATATTGGATTTCATCCTCAATGCGCCACTTGAGACATCCGGATCCCCCGGCATGGGTATGGGCGCTCTGAAGTCCATTGATCTCGACGATATGATTTCGCGGCTCCTGGACGCAGGCTACTCCACCAAGGTCACAAAGACCGTTTGCTTGAAGAACGCTGAGATCACTGCTATCTGTTCGGCAGCCCGGGAGACTTTTCTATCTCAACCTGCGCTGTTGGAATTGGCTGCCCCTGTCAAGATCGTTGGTGATGTTCATGGTCAATATACCGATCTGATTCGTCTTTTCGAGATGTGTGGATTTCCACCTCAATCCAATTACCTCTTCTTGGGCGATTATGTCGACCGTGGAAAGCAGAGTCTTGAAACTATTCTGCTTTTGCTGTGCTATAAGCTGAAATACCCCGAGAATTTCTTTTTGCTTCGCGGCAACCATGAGTGTGCTAATGTTACCCGAGTTTATGGGTTCTATGATGAATGTAAGCGACGCTGCAATATCAAGGTTTGGAAGGGTTTCATTGATACATTCAACTGCCTTCCTATTGCATCCATCGTCGCAGGAAAGATTTTCTGTGTTCATGGCGGTCTTTCACCAAGTCTCTCGCACATGGATGATATTCGAGGAATCGCACGGCCCACCGATGTACCCGATTATGGGTTGCTAAACGATCTTCTTTGGAGTGATCCTGCAGATATGGAGGAGGACTGGGAGCCCAACGAGCGCGGTGTGAGCTATTGCTTTGGAAAGAAAGTCATTATGAACTTTTTGCAACGCCATGACTTTGATCTTGTGTGCCGTGCACACATGGTAGTAGAGGACGGGTATGAATTCTATCAGGACCGGGTCCTCGTGACTGTGTTCTCAGCACCCAATGTAAGTGTCCTACCTACCCCGCTTGGGCATCTGTTTGCTTTTTTGTGACGTGGGGGTGAATACTGACATGCTTTTCTCTCTCTTTAGTATTGCGGCGAGTTCGACAACTGGGGTGCAATTATGTCGGTCTCGGGTGAGCTCCTCTGTAGTTTCGAGCTATTGAAGCCCTTGGATTCGACCGCATTGAAGAATCACATCAAGAAGGGTCGCAACAAGCGAAACAGCTTGTTGAGCAGTCCGGTATGTCTTTTCACCCCCTTGCGTGTGTTCCTCTTACCTCGTGCCAAGCGATCGCCCCCAATCGCTGTGCGACGATGCCGAGACACCCCTCGCCATGCGATCTGTTCCTCAAGTACTAACCAGCGTTGCACAGCCTGCAATCCCATCCGCCCAAAGTTTCTAAGGTTACTTGCTACCTTTAGTTCGATTCGCCCTATTGCCATTACCTGCGAGACATTTCATCTTCCAGTACAATGACCACAGATACCAACAGAAACTTACCACAATTTGCCCTCTACCAGCCACGTGCAGGCCATTTCTCTCTTCATTAGAGCATGGTTGAAGGTTGAGCCATCTGTCAAGGCGCGTCTGTGTTGCCTCCACGGCCACGATTTATCTTCGAATACTTCATTGGAGCCAGTGGTACAGAAACTCCGTTCGATCCGTTCCGTGCTTGGGAGCCTTGGGTTTCTCATTTGCATGTGGATTCCATGCGAGCCAGAGAGACAGCGCAGGAAGCTGCCTAAATGGAATATCTAAAGGACCCGGTGTAGTTTCTGGTACCCGAAATCTACTCCTTCCGGGGTCCGTACGACATGTTCCTCCAGCCCCCGCTGGTTGGGCACGCCCTAGGCTGCGCCACTGGGCACTTTCTCCACTCTGGTTGATTATTTCTTCTGTATCCATGTATTTACTCTCTTCTCATTAGTCGGTGTTTGGAGCTCTCTTTTACCGAGTCCGTTACAACAGCCATGATTCTAATTTGCACTCTGTCTCCCTTCTTCTATCCCTGTGTCTTCCCTCTTAACGCTGCCCATTTTCAAATTACCTGTAGTCCTCATTGTGAATGCGTTCATATTTTGGAATATTCTATATACAATATAAACAGTAAAAAACCCTTCATCTCTGCCCAAGCATTCCATGATTCGCCTCCCAGAACAACCGACACCCCGTATGCCCCCAATGATCCGTCCACCACTCCCCAAAACTATCCTGCACATCCTCCTCATCAACCCTAAGAACTCTCTCATCCCTCTTAAGCGCACAAAGCGCACAAGCATGCGCAGCCTTCAACGCCCCCTGCCCCGACTTCGCAGTAATAACTTTTAAAGCCGCCGGCCCGGCCACAGTGGGAATGGGCCGAAGGCCAGCGCTCTGGACCACAGCGTTGAAGAGCGCCGCACGCTCACGCCAAAGAGCCAGGACATCAACGGCATCTTGCTCTTCCTTGACGTCTTCGTGTTTATTTACAGCATTTAGTTTCATGCCGCTTGATTTGCCGGCGCGGGCGGGTCCGATGCGCATGCTTTGGCTTAAGATTGTATCGCGTTTCCAGCGGAGGTGGCGGCCGGCTATGATGCGGGCTGCTGTTGAGGTTATTGTGTGAATTTTGGAAGCGCTGGTGCTTTGTGCGGTGGTAGGGGGTTGGCGGGCTGTTTTACTGCTGGTTGTTGCGACTTCTTTTTGGAGGTTGTTCATTAGTTCGACGAGGAGTTCTAGGAGGACGGATGGTGGGGGGGATGTTGGTTGGTCGGACGGTTGAAGATGGGGCGGTGTTTCCTGACGTGAAACTTGCTGGGGGTGGGCTTGTCGGTGTTGATTTTTGTCTTGTGGGTGCTGGTGCTGGTGCTGGCGCTGGGGTCGACAATGGCCCGTCATTGAAGTCACCCCAGTCATCAAAGGCCTTGTCGTCCCAACCTGGTTGTTGAGGCGCGGGCCTTGTTGTAGTTGCTTTCTTCTTCAAGGGGGATTTTGACTTCGGCTTTGCTTTTGGGACTGATTCAGGGGTCGCTTTAGAAGCTGGGGCTGGAGCACTTTGTTTCGTGGAAGGTGCATCCGTGAATTCCCCCCCAGTCCCCAAATGAGTCGTCTTCCCATGTTGGATTGGAGTCTGGCAAATGATTGACGGTTTCTATAGGCGGCTTGCTTTCAAAGCTTCTAGGAGACTTATTTGCAGATGAGGTCACGTCTTCGATTGACAGTGAGTCAAGCAAGTCAAACGTGTCTGTCACTTGCTGGACTTTTGGTGGTGGTTTGGAGACTTTGGTTTCTGGAGCGACGGGCGTTGAATACTGTGACTGATATGACCGCGCATTGCTGACATCTGGTCCCTCAAAATCACCCCAGTCGTCTTCCGTGTCACTTGCAGGGATTTCTTCTGTAGCATCAAACAATACATCGCTATTATTTTGCCGAGGCAGATTGAATGCTGGCAAGCTTGGCACTTGTTGTTGGACGGCTGGTGCCTGAGTGACGTATTGGCCAGAGGCTGAGCTTGAACTGAATTGTTGATTCACGCCCGACTGAGAATTCGTGGGTCCAGCGAAAAATAAATCATCAGATTGATCAAAATCGTCAATCAATGGGTTTGCTTGTGGCTGTGGTTGCTTGGTCGTCTGTGGTCTGCCTAAAGTGCTTTGAGTCGGGGCGGGACCCTGCCCAAACTCTGCAAATAAGTCTGCGGACATTATATCCGAGTGCTGCGTGACATTAAGGGATATGTGGAGATGTAGTATAGGACCGGGAGGCCGACCAGATACCAACTTGGAGTTTTGTCGGCTTCGGGGTTCAAGGTAGGGTTTGGAGTGGAAGTTGGAGGTGCGCACGATAAGAAGTGCGGATTACATTATCGCCCTTCCCCTCACCCGCATCTTCCCTCCGCCATTTCCCAGCCACAAAAACACATGAAATGAGAACCATTGAGGAGACCAGGTACTTACTCCAATATACAGGGACCACTTGCATGACTGACCCCCTGTAGAAAGAGATGGGCGATACTGTTCAATAGCGACGCTCCCTCCGATTTTCGAGCTGCGCTCCGAGCGGAGCAGGGAGGGAAGCTGTGCAACGATGGGCTGAGGTCGATCTGCTGGAAGGTCCGTGGCAAAAGAACGACTGCAGCTTTTATTTCAAGCACTCACTCCGCCTGCAGGTGTTTTTACTCCTAGAGGGTCTCGATCGCGAACAATGGTCCAAGAAATTAGACGAGTCGCGTGACGCATACAGCGCACTCCGCGCCCACTTTTTGAAATATATTGAACACCCAGACGATCTAGAGTCAAGTGCTGATCCGCTGGCGGACGATGAAGAGGTATGTTTGGCTCGGCCTGTGGTGAATGAAGAGGCCCTCCAACGCCACCCGAGTCATCCTTGATAACCAAGCTCTCTAACCATCGCGCATCTATAGTCTCCTTGGCAAACACTTCGCCAGGATGAGAAACTTCGAGTGGAGATTTTACAAGACGTTGACCGATGCTTGCAAGAAAATTACTTTTTTCAAGAGCCAGCAACCAAGTCAAAACTGACTGATGTTCTATTTATTTACTCGAAACTCAATCCTGATGTGGGCTACCGGCAAGGCATGCATGAGCTCCTAGCTCCGATTCTTTGGGTGATCGACCGAGATGCTATCACCCCGCCTTCAGAAAGTTCTGCAAGCACTGCTGGAGCTGACGATGACAGTTTAATGTTGGGCCTTCTTGATGAGCAGTTCATTGAGCATGACTCGTTCACGCTGTTTCTCTGTGTAATGCAGACGGCTCGTACATACTATGAGCATGGCGAGACCCGGTCTTCCGACGGTCAAGTGGATGTCATTCCAATTGTCAGCAGGTGTGATTATCTTCACAAAGAAGCTCTGGGAACTATAGACCATGAGTTAGCAGATCATCTACAAGCGATAGAAGTGCTACCTCAAATTTTCTTAACGTGAGTTAATGGTGTGATTGGCCTGAAAGAAGACTTAGCTGATTGAGGCTGAAGCCGTTGGATGCGTTTACTCTTTGGACGTGAATTCCCATTTGACGATGTGCTGATGATGTGGGATGTTTTGTTCGCCAATGGCCTAAGATCTGATCTTGTGGACTTTACCTGCATTGCAATGCTGCTTCGAATTCGCTGGGATCGTGAGTATCTGAAGGATAATTGTTTGATTACAATGGAATATTAATATCATGTAGTGCTCAACGCAGATTACACAGGTGCATTGTCATTGTTACTGCGCTACCCCTCTCCGGAACCACACGAACCTCGGACTTTCATTTATGATGCACTGTATCTTGAGCAGAATCCCACTGCGGAACGAGGCAGTTTCATTATTTCGAAATATTCAGGCAAAGAGCCAGAGTCGTCGAAGCGCCACAGTCAATCCCGTCTACGGCCTGCGCGACGAGCACATCTGTGGGATGATTTTACAACTAGAAGTGGTGGTAAATCTTCTACACAATCACCAACCAGAAACAGCCCAAAGAGCCTCGAGTCGCTGTTTCAAGACGTATCTCAGGGGATCCAACGACGCACTGAGTCTTGGGGTGTGGCCAAAGCTGTCCGAGGGGCTGTCACCGAAGCCAGAAAGAACATGCAGACAATGAACTATGAGCCGGGGCTGCGGGCACACAGCACAGACCGACAACCGACCGCTACGATGTCGCCGAGAATCCCTAAGATACCAACAGCCACTGAGCTAGGCCTGAAAGCACACATCGGCCGCCTGGAAGAGAGAAATCAAGAATTGGCGAATGCTTTGGGCGACGCATTAAAGGACCTTTATTTACAGCTAGCCACCGTCAAGGATCTTGATTCAAATGCACATGGTGCCCTGAAACAGACCTTGAACAGGGCAGTGTCGGTACAAAGCTGTCTTCAAGACCCTTCGCTCCCATTGCCAATCTTGACTCCAGATTTGACACCAGTCGAGGAAGCCGATGAGAAGAATGAAGCAGAACGATCACCTATTCCACCGCCCAAGGACCCCAAACCCACAGAGAGTGAAACAGATGCGACCGCTAGCGACCAGCAAAATACAGTTAACGACCATGTGGACAATCTCCAGTCTAACGCCAAGGACGATCCCCCAGAACCAGGGAACGGCGCAGGAGAAACGAATGCTGGCGGCCCGCCCGAAGCAAGGCGGGAGGCACAGCGGCTGAATCTGCGACCCTCCCTGTCCGATGCAGGGTTCTCGTGGATGCTAGAAGGCAGCCGAAACCTCTCCGGTTTCGTGAGCTCGGCATCGGTGCCCCCGGAACAGACTCGACATCAGGAGTCACCCCGAACGAAAGGCAGTCCCTTGTTCGGAAACAACGGGGAGGAGAAGCCAGGCTCCGATGCCGAACACGACGAATTGGCCTTGCGTAGTCTCCGAGGTCCGCTCTAAACGGCAGGGATAAGGGGGATGTATCCTGGTCGAAGTCGCATATGCGAGCAGAGCGGTATGAAGGACCCCATGGCTGTGATACGCCAGATAAGTTGAAAATCTGAGCTAGCCCTCGAACAGTCTTGCGGGTTTGCCGTCGGTGTATAGAGTCAGGTGTTGGTCGAGTGTTGGCTTTTTCAGTATCATAACTATTTTTGGATTTAATTGTCCAGTTGGCGCAAGTGGGGGTTTTCCATTTTAGCCATGCACAATATTACCTATACTGCTGAGATTTCTGATATTTACCAGCGATGGAGATGGTTGACTGTTCATCGTGATGGCCATGATTCCCGGAGTACTGTAACTATGCCTCCCGGTCATAGGACGGGCCAAGCTACCCCGGATTAATGATCTGATAACATGGCATGTTTCAACAAAGAACTAGACTGTCTTCGCCAAGGGTGTTGTGCATCAGGAACCGCCACCTCCGTTTCTCGCAGCACGGTCAAGTTCGTAAACTGGATTTCGCCGGGCTGTCATTGGGCCCTAGTGCGAGATAGCGGTGGGGCCTCGGATCTGTCGGGCAAGAAAAGAACCACTTTTGTAATTGGAACGGCAAAAAGAGGAAGCGGAAGTAATCTGTACAGAGTATGTTTACATGATGCAGAGTGGAGAAGGAAAGGGCTGTGCGTTGGGTGCTCATAGCGTTGTATACTCGTAGTGTGTACGAGGACAGGTTTGGATCATCCATACTTGGCAATACGAGTACGTGGTATCTTGGGGGCCATTCTTCTCGAGCTATTCAATATATGCCCAAGTGGAAAAAAAGGCTTCATAGTAAAGGTGACTGCCGTGTCGATCGGTAGATCTCTATGAGAGGTAAAATCCTGACCCTCTCTCTCTTTCTTCCCCTCCTCCCCTTTCAATCCTCTATATAATTTTTCCTTACACGGTGGAGAGGCCATCTCGCTCATTACATCACCCCCGCCCCTTTCCCTTTTTCTCTTTCTCCCCACCGAAGACCCCCCCCCCCCACCGCTGTATTCTTCGCATCCTTTCTTCTCTCTTCGTCTTCTTCTTCTCCTTCTCCCTTGAGAGAGAGAAAGAGAAAAGAAGAAAAGAGCCCCAGCTCATCGCGCTCTCCTCTCGTCTGCGACGCCACATATGCTGGGCGCGTTTCGAGGCAGCTGCCCTCTCATCGACCCGCCCCGCTGACTCGAGCGAATGACCGTTCCCTTCCCTTCCCTTCCCATGTCGCATTCGACTCGTCGCTCCTCTTGAGCCTCGTCTACCCTTGCCCCCCCTGGGTTGGGATCTTTCCGAGTCTAAGAGAATGGGGGCGGCATACAACCCCGATGGTAAGTCATGCGCTGCCTTTTTCTGGCGGTTTCACATGCCATCCGAAGGAGAGAGGGGGGAAGTCGAGTACGAGGTATCGTCGCGAGGAACAGTTGCCGTGTACCCCACAGGGAAGCAAACAAGCAACTCAAAAAGCTCGGAGGGAACAAGACACTTGGGTGGATGATTTCCTCACGGGTTTTCTGAACCGTCAAAAAAAAAGAATCAAATGTCAGAGAAGAGACCAATACAGAGTTTGCATGCTTCGGGACGCATCTGACCCGCGGAGATCGACCTTCCTCCCCCCTTCCCGCATCACTTGAGAACATCACATTTGCTGGAACTCTCTCGTGGCATGGAATTTGCGACCTGCATCGTGATGAAGTAATAGCCGGCGCAGCATGCTGATCTTCTTTATCTAGGCGAACCGAGTCCTCTGTCGTCGCCGTTGGGTCCGCTGTCCGAATCTCCCGAGTCGGAGTCGGAGTCGGGTATTCACAAACTTTCATTGTACACAGACCAACCGATGAGAAGCTCGGTGGATAGTCTCTCGTCGGGATATGACCCTCTTTCAAGGTTCGTTCTTGTTTCCCCCCTTCCTTCTACCCCTCCATGCGGGATGTTAAGAGACTGACGTATTCACCGCATCTTCAGTAGATCTCCGCTGTTCGAGAATGAGCATGGACTCGGCCCAACCGGTCTGGATCGTATACGGCACCAGCCTTCACGGGTACTGACGCTTCCAAACCTGTCAACTTCGTCGTTGGCTCCGATGACTACCTCGCGTACCTCCCCATCTCCCCGCTCGAGATCTTCATCCCGTGCGCATACTGGCCGTATGTCCATGAGCCAGGCCTTTGGAGATCTCGAAGATCTCCACCGATTCCCCTTGGAATCGTTACACTCTTTTTCCTTCGCACAACAATCAGAAGAGCTTCTCCACAGCAGACAAAACATTCTTAAGAGGTCGATTGATTTCATGCGCGACCGCATGGGATGGGCCGCCAACCACCCAGGACTCGCCAATGCCCAGGCAAACGCCAGCGGTGATTCGGACTTGCAGAGTATGATGGACCTTTTGACCCGGGCCAACGTTTTAGAGGAAGAGCGAGCCAATGCGCGAGCTCCCCTTACAGGCCCTGCGGATGTCAATGGTGACAACATTTTCGAGAAAGCCTTTTCAGACCATGGTTCTCCCCCAGCAACTAGAGATGCGTTCCAGGATATGCCACTTCCCCCTGGGTCACAGGCGACATCTAGCAATTCGCAAATTCTCAGCCCCATCCCAAGCGACCGCATCCCGCAATCCAGGAAGGACTTGATATCGGCTCCGACATCCCGGCGCGTAAGCTTAAAACGTACATACACGGATCTCAACTCTGCGTCGCTCAAAAGCAAGCTGATGGAAACTCTAGCGCAACCATATTCGTCCGTGGATCCCTTCGCTTCTCTTGGTTCATCATCCGCTGGATTGGGATTCCCCATGCCGGCCTTGCATACCCATAGCAGCAAATGGACTCCCGTTTCCCAGGCCGTTTTCCGGACTGAAGCCCAGGCGCCATGGACTATCATTGCAGCTAATGATCTCTCATGCCTTGTATTTGGAGTCACACAGTCCGAGGTCCGTCGACTGAGTATCCTAGAGGTTGTACAGACAGAGCACAGGCAGTGGCTCGAAGCCAAGCTTAAAGACCCTAGTACTGATGCTGCAGCCCGCACGCCACTCCAAGCGGAAAGGCCCAACATCCGAGCGGTCAATCCAAAGTATCGGGGTCTGGGGAACGGAGTGACGGCGCAATTACTTAGTAAACCCTCCTCACGCGAAAAATCTCGGAGAGCACAGACCGATGATGGATATGGTTCAAGCAAGAGGAACCCTCGCAATCCCAACCACCCAGCAAATAAATCGCGCGGCGTTTTGTTATGTGGCGACGTTGTTCCGATCCAGAAGCGCAACGGCACTAAAGGCTCCGCTAGTGTTTGGGTCATGGAGAAGCGGGGTGGCCTGATCTGGGTGCTTGAGGAGATTACAGAGAACATTGCGTCTGTCCGCTGTGATGAATCTTGGAATGTTGTTGACGCCAAAGGAGACGTTGACAAGATTTGGGGCTCGCATGTAGTCCGATCGGGTCAGTCGATAACTGAGCTTCTGCCTCGTCTGCCATCGGAGTCCCTCAATACCTCGCTCGAAAAGGGGCTTGCCAAAATCGCGGGGTTGAAGCACTTCGCTGCGCTTACATCGGCCGGCGTCTGCATTCCCGTGACAGTGGCCCGAGCAGAAGAGAACCGTATTTTGCAAGTATCGAGTTTCCCGCATGTCGCAGGAATGATGGTGCTATCTTCCTCCACATTGAATGTGATCAGCTCGAACTCGGTATTTTCATCGGCTCTTTTTGGCCAGGAACGCCCCGAAGGACACCATATCACAGAACTTGTGCCAGGATTTGACGAGTTTCTGGATGTTTTAACGGAAGAAGATAATGTGCCATTGGTCGACGGCATCGTGATTCCTGAACATAGCTTCCGTCGGGCACGAACCCTGTCCATTTTGCGCGACGGAAAGGCGAACGCCGCATCTGTCTTCACAGAGCCCAGTGGCTTGCTGGCAAAGCACCGGGACGGCTCCACGATTGTGGTTGACATACAATTGCGAGTGGTCAATAGCGGTACTTTCTTCTCCAAGGAACAAGTAGAGAGAATTGAAGAGCGCTCAAGCGACTCGGAGGACAGCGATGATACAGTGGCAGTCACCGAGCTGGTATATGCCCTGTGGATCACATACTCGCGACAACTACACGCCGCGGGCGCCGCAGCCAACCTCTCATCATCTTCGCTGCCGAGCTCAAAGCCAAGCTCCCCAACGACCAAACCTTCCACAGATGATTCGGCAACGACTTCCACCGAGAAGACAAACTCCGCCACTGTCAATACCGCGGTGGAAGTTCAGGCCCCGAGCTCAACTCTCAGTCAACAGCTCAGTGAAGCAGCATCACAGCCTCTCACGGACCGCCCAGTTCAACCTGTACCCGAAGTCAACTCCAATGCCAAGAAGGAAATTCCGCAGAAACGCACCATCGATGACTATGTTATCATCGAGGAAATGGGACAAGGTGCCTATGGACAGGTGAAATTAGCCCGTCTGAAGAAACAACCCAACAAGAAGATGGTGTTGAAATATGTCACGAAAAAGCGGATCTTGGTGGATACCTGGACAAGGGATCGCCGACTCGGAACCGTGCCCCTTGAGATCCACGTTCTGGACTTTCTTCGTCGGGATGGTTATAAGCATCCAAACATCGTGGAGATGGATGGCTTCTTTGAGGATGATGTCAACTATTACATTGAGATGGTCCCGCATGGGCTTCCGGGGATGGACCTTTTTGATTATATCGAACTCAAGGCCAACATGGACGAATCGGAATGTCGAAACATATTCAAGCAGGTGGTAGACGCTATCCACCATTTACATACCAAGGCATTGGTGGTCCATCGCGACATCAAGGATGAGAACGTGGTTCTTGATGGCGAGGGACGGATCAAATTGATCGACTTTGGCAGCGCAGCTTATATCAAGAACGGCCCCTTTGACGTCTTTGTGGGCACGATCGACTATGCCGCTCCGGAGGTGTTGCAGGGAAAGTCATACCGAGGCAAGGAACAAGACATATGGGCCCTGGGCATCCTGCTGTACACAATTGTGTATAAGGAAAACCCGTTCTATAATGTTGATGAAATTCTCGACCACCCACTTCGCATCCCTTTCCTCCCCTTTTCGGAAGAGTGTATCGATCTGATCCGCAAGATGCTCGACCGCGACGTCGACAACCGACTGACCATCACGGAAATTGTCGATCACCCTTGGATGACCGCGACTTGAAACCGAATCTTACTCTTGCTCTTGCTTTTGCTTGTGCTCCTGCATGCTCTCACGCCAATGTCATGACCAGCCAATAAATTTAAAAAACACACACGATACCCCACGACGTTTTGCTTGACCCATTGAATATCATGAATATCATGGACGAAGGAGAGAGGGGGAGGAGTGACTATTATCTCTTTTTTTTCCATTTTCTCTTTTTTTTTTTAGGGGGTGTTTATTTCTGTGTATCTCAGATGGGGTTGGAAATGGGGGCATTGCACAAAAAAAACTAACTGTCTCTAATGCATTTTGTCATGGCAGTGTGTGTTTGTGTCGCATTTTGCTTTTGGACAACACCCTACTCGCACAACACTACATTTTTATTTATACATTTTTTTTTGGCTTTCCCACAATCATGTCTGTACTTAGATCACACACATCAACAATCTAGATGCATTCTCACCATGTGGCAGTGGATTCAACAGATTTAGTCTAGGTATAGCGTGTGTGGGGGGAATAGGCGACAGGCTCCTTGGCAAAATCGGTCTAGTTTAATCTAAGAGTCTGGAGATAATCGGGAGTAGTTTAGCGCGGTCAACTGTAAGTCGATGGCTACCCTTGTCCTGTCGCTACGTCTCACTTCACTCTTTGGTTGTATCTGACGGTGGTAGCCGTCTACTCGTATGTCTCGGCTAGTTTGGGTCTCTTGGTTTTTGCACCAGAGACCATTCGAATTGACCTTTGGATTCGCCTTCGCCTTCGCCTCCACCTCCACCGAGATAAGTGGAATGATACTCTCTTGTCCCACGGATCGCGCCATGTCCCCCGCACCACAAGAAAACGCCCCTCTCCCTTCCCCCCCCCCCGCTTGGGCGATAGCGACGTGGGTGCCCTCAGGAACGGGAAACTGAATGTCCACTAGACTAAACTATGTCGTTGGAAAAGGTAAAAGGAGGAGGCTGACCCAGATTGAGGAGACCAGTCAAGGCGTCGTCAGCCGATGGGGTCGTGTGCCACCCTGTCACCCTGCCACCTAGTGCTGTGGTGCTGTGTGTGCTGGGTGTGCTGCAGGTAAGTGCGTTATTTTATTCTAGAATGGTGCCTCGAGGGTGGGTTGGTCTAGGCGGGGCAAAGGCGATAAGCCGAATGGTCCCATTTGGTCCCATTTGTTCTATCTGGTACATCCAATGTGCTGTATTGCTCTACCTTTTGAAAGGTACCTGACGTATCCCTATACCCCAATCAGAGTACAATTTGTACTCTCTGTAGTAATCGTAGTACCTGGGCAGAGGGTACGAGGATGCTCGGTGTGCCGACTGGAATGTCACGGGTACTTTTTCTCTCCCTCTCTCTTCCTCTCTCCTTCTCCTCTCACTTCTCTCTCTTCGTCCTCCTCCTCCTTCTTCTTCAATACTTCCAATAGTCCTCCCTCTTGGACACCCGGACGCCCTCGGCACCTTTCACTTCGAGCCGGTCCAAGTGCCGGTGGTCGAAGTCGGTGAGTGCCACGGTTGAAACGGCCGAGTGCCCCCGAGTTCCAGTCTGCTCCGCGTCCTCGACTTCTTTCAAGGCGTTCAAGTTCCTCCTTTGCTTTGCTTTCCATCTGAAGAGACTCCCCTCCCGCGACCGACTGGATGATCACGAACCGGCACCACTATGACCATCTAGCTACAAGTCAATTTCTTGGTGCTCCCTCAACTCCCCTTCCCGCAGTAGCGGCCTTCTTTATTCTCTCCCCGTGATTATCTACTTCCTCCTTTCCCGATTCTACCATGGCCACCCAAATGGCCGACGAGATCATGCCCTCTTCCGAAAACACACCAGGGTCTCCCACCTCCTCCACTGGTCAGATCCCCCTCGAACAACCACCGAAAGTAAAGGGTCGCAAGAAATTCTTGCAGAATCTCCAGCGCATGTCGTCTCAGTCCGACGTTGACCCGCCGCGGCCGATCTGCATCCACCGGTTATCGGCGGGACCACAAGGCCTCCTTATCGTGTGTCTCGTTATCATCCACTGCATACTCTCCATGTCTGGGCAATGAGAGCAGTTCGCAACTATATGGAGGTCTCAACCCCCGACCGGCGACCCCGGGCTACCCCGGGCCATCGGGTGACGCCCAAAGCATCAACAATCGAATCCGTTTGGTCGGCACAGACTCCCCCAACACCCCCCAACCACGCACGATTCCCTTGCCATTCGACGTACGACCTGCTTCGCGCGGTTCGCCTCGCAGTCTGACTCCTGATGGTGCAAAGGAAGAGACAGAGACAGAGACAGAGACAGAGACAGAAATAGCGCTGCCAGAGCCACGGTTGGTCAGAGAGCTGGACTTCTGGGGCGAACTACCCCAAGAGCTCAAGGTTGAGGTCTTTCGCTACCTCGACCCTCGCGAAATCGTCCGATGTTCTGCTGTATCGAAGTCATGGAATGCCATGTGTTTTGACGGGCAGCTGTGGTCAAAGGTTGACACAACCGAGTTTTACCAGCGAATCCCGGGCGATATTCTGGTAAAACTCATCACGTCGGGTGGTCCCTTCGTACGGGATCTCAACCTGAGAGGCTGCGCGCAGATGCAGGATAAGTGGTCTTCGGAGGGCGAGCGCATCTCCAACCTGTGCCGAAATGTGGTTAACTTTTCCCTCGAGGGTTGTCGCATTGATAGAATTTCGATGCATCATTTCCTGACTCGCAACCCGCGCCTGAGATACATCAACATTTCGGGGTTGAACAGCGTAACAAATTACGCAATGAAGGTCATCGCGCAATCCTGCCCAGAGCTCGAATCTTTCAACATCTCATTTTGCAAACACGTCAAGACCACGGCGCTTCTTCAAGTGGTCCAGGCCTGCCAACAGCTTAAGGATCTCCGTGCGAGCGAGATCCAAGGTTTTGATGATGAGGACTTCATGCTGGCGCTGTACGAACGAAATACATTGGATCGATTGGTCATGAGTCGCACAGATCTAAACGATGAGAGTTTGAAGGTCCTGATGCATGGTGTCAATCCAACAGTCGACCTTCTCACTGATCGACCGATTGTCCCTCCACGTCGTTTTCGCCATCTCGATGTTCACCACTGTCACGACTTGACTGATAGTGGACTTAAGAGTTTAGCACATAACGTACCTGACCTGGAGGGTTTGCAAGTTTCGCAGTGTCCGGAACTAACCGACGATTCAGTCATCGAGGTGATTCGCACAACGCCCAATCTCTCTCATCTGGAATTGGAGGACCTCGAAAATCTGACCAACTTGACCTTGACTGAGCTTGCCAAGTCAGCCCCCAAGCTCGAGCACTTGAACATCAGCTACTGCGAAAGCCTTGGCGACACTGGCATGTTGCAAGTCATGAAGAGCTGCCCCAAGCTTCGCTCCGTCGAGATGGATAATACGCGAGTGTCAGATTTAACCCTGATGGAAGCTAGTTACCGGGTCCGCAGGCGTGGCTACGGCGAAGAAGTTCCCAAGGTCGGATTACGCCTTGTTGTGTTCGACTGTGCCAACGTCACCTGGGCTGGCGTGAGAGAAATACTCTCCAGCAACGCCTACCTTCCCCGAGTTCGCAAACCAGTGACGGCAGTAGTTACAGTCACCCAAACTTCGGAAGATGATTCGTCCCCCACAACCACTGCCTTCGTTACTCCGAGCTCGACTCCGCCTCCGGTAGCCACCTACCCTAGCGAGATCATCCAACTCAAGTGCTTTTACGGTTGGCAGATGACAGTCGACGAGCACACAAAACGCGTCAAGCGTGGCGATCTTGCCGCGGCGAGTCGTTTGGACCGCAAATGGACCGATTATATGATGGCCACAGAAGAAGCTGGTGCGGCGGGTGCAGGTGCTCGACGGAGAAGACGCCGGGCCCGCGAAGCAGAGCGATTGTACAATGCCGATGATTCTGAGGAAGAGAGTTATGGCATTGGTTTGTCTGCTCTGGGTGGTACTCGTCGTCGCCGCGCCCAAAGCGGCAGTAGTTGCACAGTGATGTAGCACGATTCTTGACCATGGAACGACATGCAATGACTCCGGCCCTCGAGTCGCTCAACCTCCAGCCAATCTCCTTTTCTGCGAATAACGATGCCAGCGCTGGATCGCTGGCCACGACGACAGAACTCAAATATTACGAGACATGCATGAGACGATTTCACTTTCCCGATGGGTACCGTTTCTCGATGAAACACAACTACCATGCTCATCCATCTTTTATCCCCTCTGTGGAGCAGATTTCTTTTCTTTCTTTTCTTTTTTCTTCTCGGCCTTTTGCAATCATCTTGCTCATTGTTTTGATTCATTTTAGCATACTAGAATGGCGAGGACATCGGAGTTTTTCTATTATTTCTTTCCCCCGCTCTAGTCTGCGAGATATCTTTCAAATTGAATCCAAATTCAAACCCCATAGTCATCCTACATTTCTACCATCGTACTCTTTCGCTTGAAAATCCTTTTCATATTGGGCTGCGTTTCATGCAATGCTACATGGGATATCAGGTAGAAGATAAAAGAAACAAATGAAAATCGTACAAACGCATTACTCGAAGAAACCACCATCACTCTCGTTGCCATCAGCAGGCGCGGCGACATGCTGACCCTTGCCTTGTCCCCGCTGGTGTTCGCGTTGACCCAGCTGGTCACGCTTGTAGGCACGCCGTTCCCTCCTCGAAGCGAACTCAGGCTCGGGCTCTTCTTCCTTTGGCTCTTGCTTCGTTGTCTTCTTCGTCTTCTTGTTGTCTGTACCCGAAGTCGATTTCGATTTCTTGGCCGGAGCGGGGGCCGGTTTGGCGACGGGCTTAGTGACCGATTTGCCATCGGCTCCAATGTTCAGTTTGCCTTCACGGAGAGAGTCAAGAGTCTTCTCCTTCATGCATTTCTCAACAACGGACCAAAGAGCCGGCTTCTCTCCCTCCGGCAGATCCTTCTTGTTCTTGCTATCTGACTCGGACCCCGATTCGGCACCTGCATCGTCCGAGGTCTTGCCCTTCGACTTGGGGTAGAGCGAGATGTATTTTTCGGTGAGGGGGTAGTAGATGGTGTAGTTGAGGTTGACCTGGGCGGCATGGATCTTTCGCTCGAGAGATTTCTTCTTCTTCTTGGAATCGAGTTTGTCGTCCTTCTCGTGGCGGACGAGGCGGTTTAATTGTTTATTCGCGGTCTTGCGGTCTGTGTTTAGGTAAAATAAAAAGTGATTAGTTATGTATCCAAGATACAGACACACATGTCCCGCCCGGGGGCTTTTCATATAACATACCGAGGAATCGCACAAAATGGTATTTACTGATCATGGATGACCGTTCTCGCCGCGCCGTCTCCTCGGCAAGATCCTCTTCATAGCCCGCCAACGCACGCTCCTGCACAATGCGAGCATCGGCCGGCAGATTCTGCTTATTGAGAAGACGCTTCACGTCCCGGATACGCTTCTTCAAATCATTGATAGAAGGGAATTCCTTCTCCTCCCGCGGTGCTGCAGATTTACCCTTGGGCTTGTGGGTAGATTTGGACCGCTTCTCGTCACCACTGCCAGCATCCTCCATTTGAATGTCTTCGTCGTCGCTGTCTGCGGCCTTTCGGCTTTGCTTTTTCCGAGGCGCGGAAGATTCCTCCGGGCCGTCGCGGCCCTTGCGCTTTGAGGAGCTGCGTTCACGGCGAATATCTAGTGACATTGTGATGTGGTGTGGTGTGGTTGCTATGGATGGAGCAGATAATCACTCCAACTCCAGCTCGCAAAAAAAAAAAGTAGATAGGCGCGGAGGTCGGGCTGACCGCCTGATCTTCCGCTGTGGGGACCTCTTTTCCTGCTGACTCATCTGAATCGAGTTCAATGACATATAAATGCCTACTGGAGGCGCCCTGTGAAGTATGGTGTAGTGTAGAGACAAACTGAAAACTATGCGCTGAAATTACTTATTTACTATAGCGAAATTCGACAAATAATGTTAGTGTAAATCCTTCCTAAACGTAATACGATGGACAACGTAGATATACCTCGGTAGCGGATAATCTATTCACCTATTAACTGCCTGAATACCGGGGCGTCAATCTGAATCCCCCCCAGATTGGGCGGCCAATGAGCAGCAGGCCGGTTCGCATGACGATAACACCGCGTCCCCTCGTCCCCTCACGACAGCTACATTCCGCCCTGACAGCTTCTCCCATTGCGTTACAAGACACCAACTTGAGGCTACGGCCTCTCCAAAAGCTCGATCGCCCATTTCTGAGTGAGATTCTGGCACAATGGAGTCTGCAATTCGATGGTCCCCGAGCTCAACCGCAGCGGAGCAGCGGTTCCTCTCTGTCGATGTGACAGGCAAATCGTTTCGTCTCTGCAGAGTCACGGGGTTCGATAGCAAGAAAGTCCGTCATGAAGTCGTCTCGACCTTGACCAATACACCTTCTTTCCGCGCCTTCGATTGGTCCACCTCCAACGAGAACCTCATTGCCGTCGGCCAGTCGTCTGGCGAAGCTACGATCCTACGATTAGACGCCGACCCCAAAGAATCGCTATCATTTCCAGTTCGAAACCAGCGCTACTGTAATGCAGTCGCTTTCAGTACACATGGATTGGTGGCTTCTGGTCTTGATCGCGTGCGCAACGATTTCTGCTTGAACATCTGGGATGTGAATCAGCGGCTGGGTCCTTCGGGGGGCAGTAGAGGGTTTCCTGAACCGCTGAGAAAGCTGGCCAGCTCAGAGCCCATTACGAGTATCAAGTTCTTTCGAGATCAGCCGGATACATTGGTAACGGGAGTAAAAGGCCAATTCGTCCGGATCTATGATCTCAGAGGTTAGTATCACCTGTCCATAAAAGGATTCGGGCATTACAATGGATAGATGAACTAACTCGTTTATCTCAATTAGAGGGACCGGGCAATCCTTCTATACAGTTCCCAACCCGTTGTGTTCACAATTTGGCAATTGACTGGCTGGATGAGAATTATATCGCATCGTGCACAACTTCAAATGAAAGTACGATCAGCGTGTGGGACCGACGTGTAGGCACCAGGCTGGCTTCTCCAACAGTGGGATCATCGACGAGCAGCCCCGACTCGAATCAGACAGTAGCGTCGCTCCAGTTCAAGAGCGTGTTCAACCCCAAGGCATCCATTTGGAGCTTACGATTTTCCAAGACGAATCGCGGCTGTTTGGGCGCACTATCCAACACTGGGCACTTCAAAACCTTCGACATCGCAAAGGATCATTTGTCTGAGGAATTCCGTTCTTCAATTGACGAAACCCTAGGACAGGGCTCTTTTAAGAACTACCCCGAGCCAGTCTACACAAAACACGTGCGGGACGTCTGTATGCCGTTCGACCATCCGACTAGAGGCACAAAAGAGAAAGAACGAATGGTTTCATTTGATTTCTTGAATTTCAGATTCTCCTCACAGGCCAGTGCAATTGCATTGGACGGCAAAGGAAACCCCCAAATCGTCACCAGTCGGCCACCTTGCCCGCCAATTGCGGTATCCTCTCAGAGTGTCTTGGCTTGTGGTGCTCCGGCTGGCGATGGTGCGGATTTCCGAACTATCCATCCTCTTTCCGAACACATATCACCTGTATCTGAGCTTGTCAACAGCATTCGAGCTCGTGTTTTGTCCAGCTCGGGGGGGTTCCTCTGATCCCAGAGTTCTGGGCACCGAACCCGTCGCTAGCCGAGAAAATCGGGAGCGGGTATTGTCTCTCGGTACACAAGGCACTCTCCTCACTGCGAAGGAGGCTTTGACTTTGTCCTCACTCAACCAGTATCGTGCTAAAGAGGGCTACCTTTTTGACGAAGGGCGGAACCAGAATATTTGGGCAGATGACTCTGCTCTGCGAGACTTATGGGCCTGGGTGAAACGTAAGTGATATAGACGATTGTCTTTGTGAGAAGTTTCTAATACATTTGCAGGGGCTCGGGTCGATTCTTCAGGAACAGCAATGGTGATCGAAGGAGTCGACATGAATTATATAGGCGTCAGCAGTATCTGGGCCAATGAACTGGGTCGGTCTCCGCGCGCTTTCTGAAAAAACAGGAATTGCTGACAAAATGACAGGTGATGACTTTGAGCGCCGGCGAATTTCGGCCTCTAATGATCCAAAGGAGATTATCAAACAGCTAGTCGATCAACTCAATCTTCCAGAGATCAAGGGCTGTGAAACAGCATTCCCAGAGCACCGCCGTCTCTCACTCCGTCTCTGTGGAGCGGCGCAGTCATACAAAGAACTTGAGGAAACAGTCAAAACTCTCTCTGCGGAGAGTCAGCATACCAAAGCCGCCGCACTGGCTATTTTCCAGGATGAGCCCAAGCTGGCATATCTTGGGCTACGTAGCAATCAACCTACACAAGCTCATAAGCTATTAGCCATGGCTATCGCTGGTGCTGCCGGTGCGACAAAAGGTGACAGCAGCAGGGATTGGGAAGAGACATGCGCAGAGATTTCCACGGAGCTCACTGATCCATATTCACGCGCGATCCTCGCACTCGTGAGTAAGGGTGACTGGCACGCAGTAATTAAAGAGACAACGCTGCCCTTGAAGTATCGGATCGAAGTCGCACTTCGCTGGCTGCCCGATGATGAGTTGACTATCTATTTAAAAGATGCCACCGCAGAAGCCGTCAAAGAGGGCGATGTTGAAGGAATCGTGCTCACTGGGTTAGGCCATATGGCTATTGATTTGTTCCAATCATACATTGACAAGTTCAGCGATGTCCAAACACCAGTTCTAGCCATGAGCTATACCGTCCCCAGAATCATCAGCAACGAAACATACATTGCCAGATTCGAAGCCTGGCGCGAGACTTATCGGCGATCACTGAATTCCTGGAAACTCCAACTCGAACGTGCCCGCTTCGATGTGAACTCTCGTCGCTTCGCAGTAACCGTCGATGGACGCAAACTCGTTCCTCCACCGCCACAGCAGGTCAGCTTGACCTGTAATTATTGCACGCAACCGCTCACTCAAAACGACGCCTCATCCCAAATATCTCCATCAGCTACAGGGGAAACTGTGCATTCCACCATTGGCAACCCTCTTGGACCTAGCGCCCTGGCCGGAACAGTCTGTCCTCGTTGCGGTCGGCATATGCCTCGTTGCGGCGTTTGCAATCTCTGGCTGGGGTCACCAGATCCGATGTCCCGCTCTGGTATTGCCGCTGATGCCGAAACTGACGCTCGCAAACCCACCCAGGCCGATATAATGCGGCGGTTCGTTGTATTTTGCATCAATTGTAATCATGGATTTCACGCACACCACGCGCACGACTGGTTTGTGCGACATCGAGTATGCCCTGTTGCGGAGTGCAACTGCATTTGTGATCGTTGAGCCTTTCAGTTTTGGTCTTTTTTCCCCTCGCTTGCTTTGGCTGTTCGGTTGTGGTCGGCTCGACTGGTTGGAGTCTGTTTGCAGATTTATTCGAAGATGGGCCGAGGAGTTCAATGCTTGTCTTCGATACCCGATACCCATTTATTAGCATATTCAAGCAACATGGTTTGAGCATATCAAGTTCAAGTTGCGCATTTGAGATGACCCAAACTCTTAACATCCATACTTTTCGTAAGCTACGCATTCCACTACCCTAATGCGCCCTGTCATACCCGGGGCTGCCCCACCTTACTTATCGTTATCGTCACCAGCCAAAATTTACCCTTAAGATAGTGCTCGAATATTTTTGGATTACATGTAACAAGGGTAAATACAACTAGTAAAAATAGAGCTGAACGGTGAGACTGCTATTCTGATCCCTATTAGAGACCCCGACTCTGGCTCGGAATGAAATGTGGTGAATCATCTCGTGAGTCACTTTGGCTGGACGGGCTTTGTTCGGTCTGACGCCGCCGCACTGCTGCCCCGCCAAATTAATTTAAAGCTCCGCAAGGTTCTCCAACAGCTCCAATTTCGCATGCGCACCGCGTTCCAGACCACACGCTTGCAATTCAGCATTTTATGTGAAAATCTTACCATGCCTGATCAACCAAGAGACAAGGGCAAGCGAGGCCGCGGTGGCCCTGTGTCCCGCGATGTGCAGATTTCCAAGGCGATGAGCTTGCTCTTGCGACATGCTGCCGAGAAGGAGGGACTGAAGATGAATGACCAGGGATATGCAAATGTAGCAGATGTGGTATGTTGGTGCCTTTCCGAAGGCTATAACTCTTCACGTCGAGGCCCCCTGCTTACCTATTGCCTATCATATAGCTACAATGGAGAAAGCTCAAGTCCATCAAAGTCACCTTCGACGAGGTCCGGCACGCCGTGGGCTCTTCGGACAAGAAACGCTTTGCTCTCCTGCACATTCCCTCAGCCCAGCCAACCGAAACAACGACAGCGGCCACGACCGTCCCCACTACGAGGCCGGCATCAGAACACGAGGCCGCGCAGCCCGCGGCTGAGGATGATGGTCAGCCTTCTTCCCCTGCGATACTCCAGGCCCCCGTCTCAACCGAAGAGCAGCAAAATGCAACAGAGCAAGCTCTATCCGTCACAGACGCCGATCCCTCCAATTTCCTCATTCGCGCAACTCAAGGGCACAGTATCAAAAGTGTGGATGCGGCATCCTTCCTCGAGCCATTATCACTGGATGATGCATCCAAACTTCCAGAAACTGTCGTCCACGGCACATTCCATGGCGCATGGCCCGCTATTTTGCAGTCGGGCGGCCTTCAATGCATGGGTCGTAATCATGTTCACTTTGCAACGGGACCATCCTTGGAGTCTGTTCTCGGGACGCAGCCGGATGTAGCTGTACAAGGGAAAGGCGAAAAGAAGGTCATTTCGGGCATGCGATGGGACGCCCAGGTACTCATCTATATTGACCTTCGCAAGGCTCTCGCAGCTGGATGTCCTTTCTGGCGCAGTGAGAATAACGTCATTTTGAGTGAAGGTCTTCCCATCCGGGGTGACCGTGAGGGTCCTGATGGGCAACCGAAGAGGGTTGTGTCGGTCGACTTTTTTGAAGTGGTGGTTGAACGCAAGGCTGGACTTGGGAAGATCTGGGAGCGAGGAGAGACTCTACAGGAGTTACCAGCGCATCTCGCTAAAAAGGGAAACCCCAAGGGCAAGCGGTGATAGAATCACAACCTTGGATGACATTGCATTGAATGACATTACTACATGACTATGACCAATGAGAAAAAAGCAACATTGCTTCTTTTGTACAAAATCGCGCTACACTGCGCAAGCTGCGGTATTATTTCAGTCAGATAGTTTATTATGATTGGCCGAGTCGACTGCATCTAACTATAGATCTGAGCCCGGTACAGCCCGGCTATACTTTTAGAGCCAGCGCACCGGGTATGTCATCTCTGAGCCTCATGCGGGTGGTCAAGGTCGCCTGATATAGTCAACGATAGGTCGATCCTCCGTGTGGGGAAGAGGAGAGCGAATTGCGGGGAAGACGCAATGCACTGCACTGCCAGCAGTTGAACTCTTGGGCCAACTAGAATCGCCCGATGCCAAGAGTGGAGATGGCAAGTTCCGAGAAACTGTCGTAGAAGTCCCCAATTACCTCGTACTAGCGAGTAGTCGTAGCTGGCACGCCTGAGACAACTTGCCGGTACCATGGGAGTTGACCGCCTCGTCCCGAATTATGTACACGGTCTTCATTCTCTCGTGACTGAATGATTCTACGGTCGACTATTATTAGTGATCTTCAACTATGGAACAGCCCTTAGAATAGGCTAAGGAATAAGCTAAGGCCCGCCACCATCTCAGGCTAGTGCATCTATGTGTATTAGATTTCACTATACTTGCCCAAGACTCAGCCTCCCGAGTAGAGATCAGTCGTTGTTGTCATAGGCTGACAATTCTAAGACAGCCCCAGGATACTCTACATCTCAGCGTCATCATATTCGTATTCTGCGAGGCTGTCGTCTGTTACCAGGATTATCATGTAGGGCTGTTTACAGCTGCCCAGGTGCATCATGGACGATGTCGAGAGGTATATAAAGGTCTGTGGATTTCCAGAAAAGACATCATTCAAAATCACAAGAAACAACAAATCAGCAAACACTCCCAACAACATACTATCAGTCTTCTCAATAATCTCCTTGATTATCCATCTTTCAAAATGAAGTTCTCCGAGATCATCACCTTCTCCGCTGCCCTTGCTACCTCCGCCAGTGCCAGCCCCGCGAAGCGTTCGGCTCCCGATAACGTCGACATCACCTTCGTTGGTGCTGCCGATGCCTCATTTACTCAGTCCTTCCCTACCGATGGCTCCGATGTTACCATCGGTAAGCTATTCCTTACACATTTTGCTATGATATACCTATAACGAATACTAATCGATTTCCTTAGCCAACGTGCTGAGCATTTCGCACATCACCTCCAGCACCAACGGTGTCACTTGCACCTTCGAAGGCGTTGACAACAGTGTGACTTCGCTGAGTGGAGCTGGATCCGTTGATGTCGGCCCTCCTCAGACTCAGGTCTCTGGACACTGCAGCAAGCTGTGGCGCCGTAATGCCCAGCCCCAGCGCCGCAACACCGTCTTCGTCACATTCGAGGGTGCTGCTGATGCCGAATTTAGCCAGTACTTCCCTACTGACGGTACTCCCACCAAGATCTGTATGTCCATCCCATGATCTCAGAGATTACTTGCAGATGAGATCAGGACTAACTGCAATAGGGAACCCTCTGAGCATCTCTCACATCCAGATTAACCAGGCCGGTGTCTCTTGCACCTTCAATGGCATTGATGACTCCGTTACCTCTCTCACTGGACCCGCAACTGTTGATGTCGGCCCTCCTCAGACCCAGATTGAGGGTACCTGCCATGCTTAGATTCGCTCGCAAGGAAGGAAATCTTCATTCACGAAATTCGATCCTTTTGACAGCTACTTTTGCATTTTTGGGGGATGCTTATAAATTAAGAAATAGGTCTGAACGATCGGAAACAACAAAGGCAAGATGAGACAGAGCCTTACTCAGTGGTGGACATGAGTTTCTGTATTAGTTCTTAAATTAATTCAGATAGCTAGAAGTCCTAGAATCTCTAATAGGATAAAATATAGGAATTACTAGTATTATTCTGTTGGTTAAGTACTATCATAAACAGATAAATAGGTATAAAAGAAGATTTGGTCCTGACTAGTATTTGATTACTAGTAAATATATTTTTCAAAACATTACGCTGTTGGTGGTAACCCTACTCAGGGTTGCCCCCCTTATGATGGGATCTGGTCACCTGAGGCGGCGGACCTCGAGTGCCTACCCTAAGGTTTCGTTCCCAGAGGTGTTGTCAACCGGCTATCAACGGAGTTCGCTCGTCAACGATGTTTTTTTTACTATTTTAACAACCACCTCCACCACAACCATCTCTAAGCCCTGTTCAGACGTCGAACGACGTATTGTAGCCGCTTACGCAGTCGCTAGAAACACCAAAAAAGACCAATTTCACAGTTTTAGCACGCGAATATGACGTTCCTGTCGGACGGTTGCGGCGCGTTTTGCTAGCCGCAAGTCTCGTCGCACTCGCCAAATGGCCTACACTCGTCTAAATGAGGCCCAAATAGGCTCATTAGTTCGCTGGATTGACCGTCTTGGTGCCCTACATGTGCCACCTACAGCCAGAATGGTGGTTGCGAGTGCAAATGCGTTGTTACGTACTCCGTAGAGAGGACCCCTTTCATGCCGACCGAGGCAGTGTTCATCCGCCAGGTCACATCAAAGTTTTCTGCGTTGGTATCTCCCATCATCTGCGACCCGTGCGATCGTCGTGATTGGCTTTAGAACTACTGGTACTGCCCCTATTAGAATGGGGGCCCACAGAAGCAAATACGAGGCAGTCAACTTACTGAACTCACCGACCAACATCGTGTGGGCCATTCAAATAATGATTACGGAGTAGTGGGTGGGGATTTGACGGAACTTGCAGAATAATCCCCACCCATGCGTGGATCTTCGTCTTCTGTCGGGGGGGAAAAGGGGGAGAGGCGAAGAGCTACTTGCTTGGTCAAACCTTTCGCTAATCCTTATCAGAAGGCATATTTCCACCGTAGCGCCACCCTCAAATCAGACAAGATCGCTCATATTTCCGCAACATTTGCATTCATCAAATCGCGAATCATGGGGGCCTTAGGGTATCTCTTTCTCGGACTTACTGCAGTCTACTTCAGGCGAGAATATCCTATCTGGGAAACGAAAATCTGGACCAGTGTTGTCTTCTGCGGGGTTCTGGCCTTCTGTACGATGGTTTATCGGCTGTTCCTATATCCTGAATTTTTCTCGCCTCTGAAACATATAAAGACACTACCTGTAAGTGATTTTGATATATGCCCAAAGTGCCTAGTGTTTAGCCTGGATATAGTCTAAGAAATCTTAGTCACGAAATTGGCTCACCGGGAACTCGAATTCGTTCCTGGTAGAGACGCCTTATGCATTAATCAAGACCTGGCTCAAAGAATTTCCAACTGAAGGTCTTCTACGCTATTATATTGTCGGAAATCTTGAATGGGTCATGCCGACAAGTTCTGAGGCTTTGAAGGAGATACTGGTTACGAAGGCTTACGAGTTCGAAAAGCCAGAGATCATGAAATATCCCCTACAGAAGTCCCTCGGTCGTGGTATACTTCTTGTCGAAGGCGACGAGCATAGGGTACGTAAATTTGGTGGGAGTTTTCTTATTCATCCTAACACCTCTACTTCAGATGCACCGCAAGAACCTATTGCCAGCTTTTTCTTACCGTCACATCAAGAATCTTTACCCTTTATTTTGGGCTAAAAGTGTTGACATGGTCAGACTCATTGAGAAAGAATTGAATTCAGGCAGCGTTGAACACAATACCATTCGGATTGGGGATTGGGCAAGACGTGCAACGCTCGACATTATTGGCCTCGCAGGTATGGGCTGTGACTTCGAGGCTTTGACAAGACCGGGTAACATTTTACATCAGTCTTATAAGACATTGATCTCGCAACCCCTTAGCGAGAAGCTTCTATTTCTGATGGGAGTTCTTACCCACCCAAGATACACAATGAATCTTCCGACAGCAAGAAACAGAGAAATCAGGGAGTGTAATGCCCGTATTCGTGGAGCGGCACGGGCAGTAATCCGTCAGAGAATAGCCAAAAAGCAAGATACCGGGAGAGATATTGACATAATATCAGTCGCTCTACAAAGCGGCATGTTTGACGAAGAGAATCTGATCGACCAAGCAATGACCTTCCTGGGGGCTGGTCATGATACAACAGCAGCTGCATTGCAATGGGCAATTTACGCATTATGCAAGCATCCGGGTATTCAAAAGAGGCTACGTGATGAAGTACGCACACATCTCCCGGGTATCTCATTTACAGGAGAGAAGCAAGCGAGCGTTTCCGCATTAGAAAATCTCCGGTATTTGAGCGCTTTCTGCAACGAGGTTCTTCGTTTCTATCCCGCCATTCCCAAAACTGTTCGCGAAGCCGTGGTGGATACTACTTTAGTAGGTAAATTTATCCCAAAGGGTACGCTGATTGTCCTGTCGCCGGAGATCACCAACCATCTGACCGAGTTGTGGGGCCCTGATGCGGATAAGTTTGATCCAGAACGCTTCCTCAAGCCTGGTAAGGCTCATACTGGAGGTGCGGCGAACAATTTTGCCAACTTATCTTTCCTACATGGCCCCCCCTAGCTGCATTGCTCAAGGCTTTGCTAAAGCGGAGCTGGCCTGCTTGGTAGCTGCCATGGTTGGTCGCTTCCAGATGGTGCTGAGGTACCCAGATGATAAGTTGCAGACTCATGAGACCTTAACCCTTGTGCCGGCTGACGGGGTCTTGGCCACTTTGACTCCATTGGATGGATGGTGAAGATCTAGAGCTTACTCGCATAAATTACCTTCTGTAGACTTTTTAAAGCCTCCACACGGAAAAGGAAATAGAATCAACAAGCTCCTAATTTGGAGGTGCCTGCAAACATTGAAACAACTTCATGACATTTTCTACAATGGTCCGGCGGCTTGCTGCGCAACCAGGTTCATAAGAATACAGTCATTCCGGTTACCTAGACGTCCACGTCTCACGATGTATGAATTTCGAGCTCTGCGTTCTGCCACTCCATCTTCAAGACATTTTCAATGGCTTGACTACGCGGGATAAATTGCGCTAAGAATGGCTTTGGAATGGTCATCGAGCCAGCCTCATACGCATCGTCCGACATGTCCACCTTATCAGGTGCCATCACTTGAAATGCCCATAATATCTTGGCAATCGTGATGAAAAGACTATTTTCAGCAAGATACATACCGGGACAAATACGTCGGCCGGCCCCAAAGTTCCAGTGGTCACGCTCACGTGGGTTTGCTGAGGCTGCATAAACACCAGATCTGTAAGGATGGCCAAGGTATCGCTCCGGCATGAAAATATCTGGGTCTGGAAACATGCTTGGATCGCGATGAACAGCATATTGTTGTATGGCAATAACGCTTCCCTTGGGAATCGTAAACCCCTTATAAGTGACATCGGCGGTGGCATAATGCGGTATACCCATGCTGGCGAGTGGGCGGATACGGAGAATCTCCTTGACGATAGCTCGGATGTAGGGGAGCCGTTCCATGTCACTGAAAGTAGGAGAGTGGGCGGAGCCTACCACTGAATCAAGTTCTTCGTGCGCACGTTGCTGAACCTCAGGGTGCCCTGAGAGATAGAGCATGCAACTATTCATTGCTGCCGAAGTGGATTCCGCGCCGGCTTCTATAAGCGCTGATTATGCCGTGTTAGCTCTTTAATAGTATCGTTAGATATACAGGGAAACTTACACCCTGCCAGAAATGCAGCCTGGACTTCTGTAAACCCAAAGTTATGATATTGTGACTGGATGAATTGCTTGACAAAACACTGGGGCGCGTCTCCCGTGTCCATCTGTCTTTGTAGACGAGACCAAAAACCCATCCAAATGGTCTTTTGCCGAGCAAACATCGGCCGAAGAGATCGACGCCACCATTTCAATTGGTCTGGAAGGAGATTGGCCAGGTTTGGTGCGCCGTCGGCAATATAACGTCCCGGGGTAGAAACGTATGAAAAGTCCTTGAGAATCTGATAAATTCCCTTTACGTCATCGCAATCCTACCGTATTACTTAGCCCTATTTTGTTATTGAGAGAATTTCGACGTACCCATTGCGGTATTCTCTTTCCGTAGGTCGATGTCATAAGCACAGATACAGTGTATCTACGTATATGCATATAAAATTCGGTCATGCTGGCATTATCTGTCAGTAGATCATGCAGCAATTGCTTCGCTTCAAATTCTTGTGAGGGCTGAATTGACTCCGCCATTCGCGGTGTCAGCAATTTGTGGCTAATTGTTCTTGAACGTCGCCATTCTATGCCATATGGCATAAAGAGAAACCGCATTCCTCCCGATAAAGCATCGGATACAACAGGCATTGGGGGTCGCGACGAGGTCAGGGCGGACTGCTTATCAAGTATTTCCTTTACTGCTTCAGGAGAGTTGAGCATGAACCAGTTCATCAGCCCCAGGCGGACGCGATATATCTCGCCGTATTGCCGGGCCCATTTCTGGAATTGACGGTGTGGTTGAGAGGAGAGTTGTAAAGTGTTCCCGATCAGAGGCAAGCCAGGAGGGGATGGTACTCTAGGTGCTTTGTCTGCAGGCCGTACTTTGGTGAAGACATAGTAAATGAAAAGAAAAATGATCGTGTATATGGATAGTGCCATAGCAAGAGAGACTCGTGAATCGTGCATGGCAGATAATAGCACAGGGAACTGTAATATTGATTAGGCCTTGGTCGCAGGGAACATGCCAATTCAAACTACTGCTTTGCAGAAACAACGCTACACGTTTTGACGAGGTATCAAATATTGTTTGCGCTTGAAATTGGTTTTAATTACCACATAATGAAGATCGCTAAACTAATGGAGGTAATCACGCATGGGCATTTGAGATCATCTACGCGGTGGGTCGAGAATAAGGTTTATTGGGCCGTAGCGTCAAAGTTCAGCTCACCGAATGCCCAATCAAATTTGTCACAAGTTGATCGCTGGGTAGGATCTACAAACCCATCTAATTATTTCAGCTCTCATACTTTGTCCTTCGCATGCAGGTGGCATCGGAGTTCTGAAATCTACCCTTATCTACCCCTATCCTATAGGAAAGAAAAGATACCAGAAGGATCTACGTACAGGTGGAGATTTTTTACAGAAGCAGTTACCGTATTAGCCGGACGCATCTCCATGAGCCATCAAGAGGATTCTCGGATAGCAACATTCAATCCACAGTTCATTTCCTCCGTACGATCTAGTAATTACAAAAAACAGCTCTTGAGTATGATCAACGAAATAACCAACGAGGTAAGACAATGTGCACATCGGCCTTACTAATCACAATCGATCGCCAGTGGAGATCATCGATATCGGAATGGGAACTCAATCGAAGCCAGCGGAAGAACGTTTCCACATAGCATTCCTAGCGTCTGAAAGCCGAGCTGCGGGAAATCGAGATCGACATTCAGGAAAGAGCTCACGCAAGCGACATGGAGACTTAGGGACCGGATTTTTCTTTTAATCATTTTGGATTCCTTAATTAGTATTTACTTCTTTCCATAGGCCAGATGCACACTTCACCCTGACCCAATCATACACGCCATGTCATTTTTTTTTCCTATTCTCAGTTTTGAACACAATCCTTTTATTGACACAAGTGACGGCTACACCTGCGGCACCCGTACTGACCCGACACGAGACGGACGCCATTATCAGAAAGTGTCATCTACCTAGTTCAGGGGGGGAATTTTGAAACAGCGGCAGCTGCAGATGTGAACCTGGATCCAAATGCTGTTAGAGAGGCGATTGAGTACGCCACAGCAGCAGGGCGCCTTTCAGTTCAGTTTTTCGCCATAATTGTCGAGTCGCTGACGGCCCATTCGATTCATTGACAGATGGGGTTCCGAGCAATGTTTTCAGCGTCACCAAATCTATCATTGCTATAATTGCTGGGCTAGCATATGATCGGAAACTGCTTGCTCTCGACGATTCGATTGATAAATTTCTTCCAACAGGACCGGGATGGGGCGATCAAGCTCACCGCGCAATTACTATCGAACAACTTCTTACCCAGGCTTCTGGATTTGATGAAGCAGCTTTCTCTGAGAAATACTACAAACGGACTTAATGCTAGTGCTCCACGTAAGGCTCTAGCTCAGCCCCTAAAATACCCACCAGGGTCCAGATTTGAGTACAGCGAAAGGGCATCCGATCTGTTAAGCTTCATCATACAGCGAGCTGTTGGGGAGGATCTTCAGATGTTTACTCAAAAAAATCTTTTTGGTCCAATTCGTATTGTCAATAACGCATTTTTCTGGCTCCGAGATCGGTCTGGAAATACTTACGGAGTTTCTGGCCTTTATATCCAACCTAAAGATCTCGCGAAACTTGGTCTGGTTTTGCAGAACTTTGGTTCTTAGAATGGCCAGCAAGTTCTCTTTTCGGATTAGGTCTCTGTGGTATCGAAATCGAGCCACAAAAATCCTTGCTAGGGTTACTCCTTCTGGACCAACGAAGCGAAACCATGTACAGGCGCGAATCTTCCATTGGCACAGACTTACGATCGTCATTTCATTCGTACCGCTCCCAATGATCTTTATGCAATGGCTGGTGCGGTGCTGCAAAATAACTTCATGATCCCCAGTCTCCGGATGACCATCACTTGGACCGGTATCATGGGCGACTCAGAGCCGAACCTTGCTGCTCTTCTCGACGCCGCCGGAGGCGCAGATCGATTTTATAATTTTTACCGCATCTTGATGCGGGGGTTAGAGATGTGGGGATTGCGGACCCCGGGGCATTCAAAACTGATCCGTTGGATCTAGACATTAACCCAAACAACTATCTTAGTCCCAGTGTCCTTCTGAAAGATATTTCTTCCAGCCGAAAATGCAATGGCACTATGGAAAATCTTCGGGGAGTATTCAACTTGCTAAGAGGTTTGATGGATTAAAGTTTGTCGTTTTGGCTAGAATCTGTGATGGTTTTTGATTGTTGCGGTGAATAGAACGCATCTTGGTAAAGAAAGAAGCAGTACGGCCGTACGAGCCCACTGTAAACAATTCTGTGAAAGGACTGTAATCACTCTTCTCATTTAACAAACTTCATCTAGATATGTGATGGACAATGCGATCACCCACCACGATCAAGCATATGTAATTCCTTTGATGGCGAAGTTCCTTAACAGAAGTTATCGCTAGTCTCACATCTTATGTACATTGTGTTTCTTGGAGACAAATCTTAGGATGATCGCATAGGGAGGTTCTCTATTCACTGCCTTAATTGCCAGTCAGACAGCCGGCCCGGGATGATCACCCAGAGCTAACGTGGAGAAAGCAATTAATGGAAAAGATCAATATGTATGAGTGCTTGCTTACTGTAACACACTGTAACTATTGGTTGTTTATCCATATTTACCTACACACACAATTAACTTTCGTAATGTAATTCCATCAGCCCCTTGATCCAACAGCCCCCAAAATTCTTTGTATCTGCTTCCTTGCTCTTGCAGTTGACGCAAATATGCTATTGTCCAGAATCGCCGAAAGCTCTGCCAACTCCTTCCACCGACCTCCAGCGATTTTCTCAATGCTCTGTGAAATCTGCTTTGCCCGTCCAAGGCGATCAGCTGTTCTCTGTATCTACACATGATTCGTTGCCTATGTTTGCGTGGTGCCGTTCTTGATCCCAAGTACCTGCATATTTATTATGTTAAACCATAATAGTCGTATTCCTCGAGATCTAATCACGGCTTCTTATGGGTAGTCGTCGAATCAGCCTCCAAGATCGGGTTAGTTCCATCGGCTTCAACGACAGGCCGCGAGGCATCGGCCTCTGGGAGAACCTTGCGGGAATCTGCCTCAACTGGACCCAAAAGCCTCGTGGGATTGATCGCGGGGTCGTCTTCCTGATCAATGGCTACCTGCAATGGAAACCTCCAGAAACACAAGCCAAGTCCAAGGTAAGTGCCAGTCGTGAAGAAAAATTGGATAATCTCACGGACAGCGATAGCTATCGTAGATAGTGGAAGGACACTTGCAAGATATGAGTTGATACTCCAAACTGCCCAAAGGCCATTCAGGCTGAGGAAAAGGGATCCCGAAATCACTGCGAAATATTTGAATAGGTCAGAACTTGAAGAGACATAGCTGGAAGCATTATAGAGCTTCGACCACTCCTTAATACTGTTGATATGAATTGAATGCAATTGTTAATATACTAAATTCTGTTCTTTAAGCATCAAGAACTGCCGGTCTATGAATTGAATCCCCAGCTGGGCTCTGTACTAGATCTTTTCGGAAGCAGATAACTATTATAATGGGGAGAGCTACTCAACAGTATTCCAAAGGACACTCTCAAGGGACTTGATTTTCGGGAAATCGGTGGCAAGGCAAAGTTAATAGGAAGATCTCATTCATATCAATTACCCATGGTAGTAGGTACGAGTTGATATCACGGAAGAAGATCCGTCGCCCGGATTTACCTACTGCAGGGGACATCCGACTGCGGGGGATCGGAAGCGTACTTCAGCCCATCCGATGGCCTTTCCCCGGGACCCGACATCAAGCAGCATCCGACGCCTCTCGCCCCAACCCAATCATGCCACCGCGCCATGGCTATGCGGGGTCGCCCTCGAATAAGCATCGATTCGTTGGTCAACGGGCCTGGGGCATTACGGAAACATCTGCTGTCGATCCGTTGATTGCCGCTCAAGCAGCAAAAAATAATCCCGTCGGATCAGGTGCGCGCAATAAGGCGATCCATATATAATCGTTCGTTAGGGACATTCCTCTCGTCGCGAATCTTACACAGCTTATTTTCTAATCTCAAATTCAACACCCCCCATAACTATACTCAACATGGCGACACACCGGTTTGACCCCAACTTCACCGACAATGTCATCGGTGCAATGGGTCCTAAGACTTCACCGCGTCTACGCCAGCTCATGACCGGCCTTATTCAGCATGTTCATGACTTTGCGCGCGAGAACGAGCTTACCGTGGATGAGTGGATGGCTGGTGTGAAGATGCTGAACTGGGCTGGCCAGATGAGTGACGATAAGCGCAATGAGGGGCAACTCGTTTGCGACGTGATCGGACTGGAGTCGTAAGCTATTTCCAGCTTAATATACAACCTGAACAAGTTAAAAAAATGAGTTCCCTGACTGACTTTATTTGCAGTCTCGTTGATGAAATTACATTCAAGCTTGCCGATGAAGCCCCAGATGCGCCCACCGCAACCGCTATTCTGGGCCCGTTCTTCCGCGCCGATACCCCATACCGTGAAAATGGCAGCGACATTGTGGTCACCAAGCCCAAGGACGCCGAGATGACTTTCATGCAAGGCCGTGTTATGGACTTTGAGACTAAGAAGCCCCTCGTCGATGCGACGGTCGAGGTGTGGCAAGCTTCCACAAATGGACTCTACGAGCAACAAGACGACAACCAGGTCGAGTTTAATCTGCGTGGCAAGTTTAAGACCGATGCCGATGGCCGTTATTACTTCTACTGCTTGCGACCGACACCTTATCCTGTCCCCGACGATGGTGAGAATACCCCGAAGGTGCGAGGTTTATCGCATGGAACATGGACTAATTAGTTTTACAGGACCTGCTGGCAAGATGCTCCAGCTGATGGACCGCCACCCCTTCCGCCCTGCTCACATCCACATTCTTGTAAGTTTCTTCTTTAACTCGCTGCCAGCGTCGCGATTTACAGAACTAATTATTGAATAGGCCACCCGCGACGGATACCGCCCTCTAACAACTCAGATCTTCGACCGCAAGGACAAATATCTAGACAATGATTCTGTATTCGCCGTCAAAGACTCCCTGATTGTGGACTTTATCGAGCGCAAGGATGATCCTCAAGCTGGTCTTGAGCTCAACTACGATGTCAAGCTCGTAAAAGACGCATGAACATAGCGCGCATTGCGTTTATTGTGGACTTTTGTAATGTCTATATGAAAGCGTTCTCCATACCTGTTTGGATTAAGATTCTTGAAAATATTATGCCTTTAGCTTCAATTTCGATCCTTTCTCATTTACGTGCATCAAAGCTTGTCTATCGCACAAATCGTAAGATTTCTACTTATTATACTGAGACACCATGCGCAAACTTTGCGATCAATCCGCCGACCTCATCACCAGCCTCAATACAATGCCAATGACCGACTCCCTTCAGTACCTCAAGAGACTTGCTCTGGCTCGAGACATGGTCAAAGATGTGCTGGCATCCCTCCATTGAAGCCGATTTGTCTTCTTCACCTGCAATAAGTAGGAAAGGCGATTGAATAGCGGCATAATCCGATGCCTTCGCAGAGGCAATAGCTCGGCAGAGCGCGGCATATCCCTTAGGGTCCTGACCTGACAGCAACTCCCGAATAAACGCCTTTTGCAGCGCGGTACTGCGAGAGCCAACCGCGGCGAAAGGAATGGTATTAGCCATTGGTTCCATGCCGGCTGTGACGAGTGAGAAAGTTAGTGCCGTCCGCAAGATGTAAGACTATCATAAGATGGGATAATCGGCCTACCTTCCAAGACCGTCTCGGACCTCTTGTTCATCACCTTGACGAGAAGCTCTGATGGGTGTGTCGGTCCAATGGCAACGACACCTTGCACACGATCTGTGTGACGCGACCCAAGTTCTGTCACGACTAATCCGCCCATTGAATGACCGACGACGATCGCTTTTGGGACCCGAAGCGCGTCAAGCACGCCGATGACCTCGTCTGCGATCCCCGGAATCGAAACCGAGTCATTGGTGTAAGGTGACCGGGCGGCGCCATAAGTGTCAACGGTGATGCAGCGGTGCTTCTCTGTAAGGTGAGGGATGACGGGATAATAGTAATTCTGCGAGGATCCCAGACCATGAATGAAGATTATGGTGTGGCCGTTTGCTGGGGCGCCGTCCGGGTGGGAATCGGCATAGTTGAGACGGTGGCTGTTGGCTTGTACGAAAGGCATTTTCGTCTATCTGTCAAGAAAGGCCAGGAACTTGAAGAGCGCTCAAGATGTTCCAAGGTTGATTTGGGTAGAAGGTCAGATCTCCGCGAGAAGGCTGGAGGAAGAGTAAAGTGCCCGGGCGTTGAGTTCGGAAGCTGATCTATAAATTCAAGGGGAGTGTCGTCATTACCGATAAGGCAGACACCGGTTTTCTCTTCGACTTCTTAGCGGCTTCTATTTTCTGTCTGCCCCTTATTTTGCCAAAGAGCATTTTTATCCGTCGGAATTGACTAGTTCTGATAAGCTACAGCTACCCCAAACCCGTCCAGGCGTGAACCCGAATGAGGGGCATTGCATTGCGGCATCCGAGGGCGGGTCCGCCTCTCCCGACCGTCGGCTGGCGCCCGATCTCCAATGCGCTGGGGGGTTCGGGAACCGTTTTGCGCAATGATTTAGAAGACCTGACTATTTCGGATCTCTGGAGAATGAGCATTTTATTAAAATTTACATGGTTTCGGCTTTACGGGTATACATGTTCCTGAAAAGAGAGAGAAAAGGGCATATCAATTTCATGTTTAGCACTGCCCAGAACCCTAAATGCAGTCAAAAAAAGTATAGACAACTGAGGAATAACCAGGCGCATATGATGAGTCTTGGAAATGAGAACCGGCAGGCAACTCTGTAGCCGGGAAGAGAGGCATGTAAAAGAACCAACTCTAGCATTCTTCTATCCGGGCAAATGGCGCAATGGAATGATAATTGTGCTTTCGAAACCAACTACTCATAGATCTCGCAAAATGAATCGCCAGTACCTCGCTCAAAGACTTCTTCCATATAGTCTGCCGTGTCATCCCGAAATGAATCATTAGCCGTAGGAATGGTGTTAATGACTGGTTTGGGACGGTCATTTGAAGGAGGGTGCACGATGATGGCAGGTTTGGATGGCGGATGGTCTCTCGGGCCGAGTTGGATGGAGGGCGGCTCTATCACAGCTTCGGCTGCTTTAAGAATGTCTTCATCATTAAATGCAGAGCAGTCTGAGAATTCATCATCGTCTCGGTCATCATAACATAATGCCAGTGTCTCATTGCTTGTGTCGTTTGTAATAATATCGAGTTTATTCTTCTCTGGAATGCCTGCATCCTGGAGACAATAAAGCTCTCGCTCCAATTCTTCATCCAAGTCGTCAAAAGGGTCCGTATCTCCGTCAGCTTGGTCTCTTCCAAGGTTTGCACCAAGCCCATTAACTTCATCGGGGACCACTGCCATTTCTAGACAGAGTACATCGTTCCCTGACCTTTCGTCTCTTGCACCATGTCCATCGACTTCTTTCGAGGCCGCCGCCTCTGGGGGACGGGGCGGATCATTCTCTGATTCTGCGCCAGGCTCGTCATTTTTAATGACTGCAGCATGATCATCGAAGTTCTCAGGGACGAGTGCCTCTTGTAGACAGGATAATTCATTTTCCAACTCCTCGTCCAAGTCGTCCGGTCCATCTGAGTCTTCCTCCGTATCTCCCGCCACACTATCGATACCGGAACCGGTTGTATCCTGCGCTGGCCGTGCTTCCGGAATGGGCTGGGGTTGTCGAGCAAGGCCTAGGAAGTTCGAAAGCAGCGGTTGACTCGAAGAAACCTTGCGGGCATTGGGATCGGGCAGGCCAAGTCGCTTCCTTTCCCGCTCCTGCTCGTCCTTCTTTTTCTTGTTGGCAACGCGTTTCTTTTCCTTCTCTCGTATACTTTTGGCACGGCGGTCGAGTTCCTCTTCGCGTTCGATCCGTTTGAGTTCGGCGGCCGTGAACCGGAATTGCTTGTTGCTGCGTTGATACCGGCGACGCACGGTGCTGGATTTCTCAATAACGATACGCCGCGGCTCGTCCGGCATGTTGGAGGCAACCGTTCCGGCGACTGCCTACCGATATCCAAGTCATGAGGGACGGGCGTGGGTTCATTGAAGATTGTTGGGTTGGGTGTTGGCTGGCGGGTTTCCGTTTGTTGCTCGCGGGGATACGTTGTGCCGAGATCAACAGACTGCCCGTTTGGGCTGCACTTGCTTTGCTCTACTTTTTGTCCTGCCTCCACACTCGACCTCGCATCTTGAAAACAATTTCTTTCTTTTAAATTAAAGGAAGAAAAGATCTATTGAATATCTTGTGCTAATATTCATCCTTCGAGGCTAATCTAGATCTTGCAGTCGCGAACCGGGTCCCAGCACACAGGCGCATACTCATCCAGCTTCAGACTCGCCATGTCCTCCTCCGACAAGGTGAAATCGAAGACTTGCGAGTTCTCAGCAATACGCGAGTCAGTGACGGACTTGGGCAGGGGAACATATCCCTATTAAAAAGGCATTAGTACCCTACCATTGACACGATGAAATAGCAACACATACCTTCTGCAAGCTCCAGCGAATCAAAATCTGGGCGGGGCTCTTTCCGTGCTTCTTGGACAGCTTCTGGAGAACCGGCTCCTTCATACGAGTACCCTGAACAAGGGGCGAGTACGCCTCGACGATAACATTACGCTTCTGCAGCCACTCGGCGACATCATCACGCGGGCACCAAGGGTGAATCTCATACTGGCCGACGGAAATTTCACCACCACCACCGCCCTTGATATACTCCTCCAATTCTTCCAGCTGCTTGATGCCAAAATTGGAGACACCAATGGAACGGATATGGCCTGCCTTTTGGGCCTCAACCAGGGCGCGCCATGTACCAAGGCGTGCCTCCTTGCCGCCATAGGGCGCGTGAATCAAGACTCTAAGAGAAATGTTAGCATATACGAGGATCGAAAATAAGATGCAAGGCAGAATCTGGCGCACAGGTCGATATAGCCAAGGTTGGCGGCAGCAATGCTCTCTGTGATAGCTTGCTTCGCATTGTCGTAACCCATCATAGTGGTGGGGACCTTGGTCGTGTAGAAAATCTGCGACCGATCAAGTCCGGACTTGCGGATAGCGGCGGCACTTTCGACTTCATTCCGGTAGACCTTGGCGCTGTCGACCTAGCGATGTGGTCAGTTTAGAATTATCCTTGACAATTTTGGGCTGTGCATGTCCACCTACATGATGGTATCCCAGCTCCAGAGCCTTGAGGGTCACTCGCTCAGTAACATCGGGAGGCCTAATCGCATGAGTGTCAGTTGACGTTGAGGGTGAGCCCAAATGGAATATTAGAGACATACGTCTGGTAGACCTAAAGGAGCAAAGCTTGTCAGAATTGAAGCAGGGATATGGAGCTCTGATGTCAAATGTGGGGGTAGTAGCTTACACCGAAACCGACGACGGGGATCTTGTAGCCCGAGACAAGCTTGTAAGTAGACTTGAGAGAGAGGCCGGCCATTCTGAAGCAGATAATGTGCAAGGGAGTACTATTGAACAGAGAGGGGAGAATGAAGAAGCAGAACTTGGAAAGCGTAAAGTGCCACTTTTGACAGCCACGGACCGCGTTGATTGATAATGATACCTAAACCGTCCACTTCACGGACCATTGCGTAATTCCCGCCGGGTCTCGCCTCCATCTGGACCGATCACTGGCTGGTCCATGCCGATGTGGGTTCTTCAGGTGTGCTGGAACCCCATTACTATAGGAATGAATCATGGACTACTCGTAGTTATGTATAGGTATATGTTATGATATTAATATCTCCAGTGCTGGCCCAAGGCTATTAGTAATTTATAGATGGGCTTGCAGCTGCCACAGTTCGTTCTCTCTCAATTGTCATACAACCATTGAATCCAATTTGGGAAAGTGGCACGCGATAGGACCGTCATGGAGGGCAAGGTAAGGTAGGATCGAGACTTTGTTATCGATAAGCCGCGGGGCATTCCATCCCAGGGCATCGGAACTCAACTGGAATGGGTTAGGGTTTAAATTGGAGCAAGTGCACGCATTTTCCCAAAAGAGTTCCCGATGCAAATTTGGTATCCATCAATTGAGCAAAGTGGGAAGTAGATACGACGAGTACGTACATCAAATTTTATATTGAGATTGTCAGTCGTCAGTATGGGTCATCTAGTCAATACTTTAAGTGTGCGTCATCCTACAGTATTCCGTGGTATGTCCACACTAAGTGTATATGGTATATGCTAAAGTTCTAGGTCTGTCGAGCGATTCTTTCACTTAAATGCCTTGAAACTTCTAGTTCTTAGTCGTCTGTGCCACTTGCCATTTACTCAATTGCACATTTAGATATTCAGATATGAACTAATTAGAAAAGACTTGGAACTTGAACTTGAATATATCTGCCAAACGGCCGAGTAGGCGGTCCCGAGTGGCAGTATCAGGCGCGGGGCAGGGACGCGGTCATCAGGGCAGCGCCAGGTATTTATCGAGTTTCATTCATACCTGTCCTCAGCAGGTTACCGCGAACAATTGGTTGAGATCAACTCACTACGACTAGATTGACTGGCTGTTGAGGATCATTACCTCGTTCTTTCTGAGGATCAATCACAAATTCCGCATAGCTCGATCCGCCCGCTACCTTGCATATCTTTCAACACAAGTGGGATCCGCAAAGCCACTTCTCCAATGCGTCTCATCAAGAATAAGATCGAGCATAATGGCTCAGGCACAGTTACCCTGTGCCCCGATGAGCCCGAAGATATGGTATTTCCGACCAATCCTCTACCAGCTACTCCGCCGACAATGTCTAATCAGATTTGATTATAATAGTGGCACGCCTACAACTTGATCCGGCCAAGTGACGTCCTCCGTGCCAGCGCAATTCGCCGCATCACATCAACCCAAGAAACCGGCTCGACTTCCTCCGCACGCGTGCACCTTAGCCTCGAGATTCGCGTCAAAAACTTGGATTTCGACCCAAAAAGCTCGCAGCTCCATGTATCTGGACAAATCATGAACGAAACCGCTCACACTAAGATTGGACAATTCCATACCCTCGACCTGGAGCTGAACCGTAACTTCACACTCGAAAAAGAGGTCGGCGCAAATGGCGAGGGTGTCGGTTGGGATAGTATCGCTGTGGAGATGCTGAAGGATGCCGTGGACGAAGGCGGCAAGCGACGCGCCGAGGCTATTGCTGTCGTTATGCAGGAAGGACTGGCGCACATCTGCTTTATTGGACAATTCCAGACAATAATGAAGCAGAAAGTAGAGATGTCCGTGCCGCGAAAACGGCAGGGCGGCAGTGATCATGATAAGGTGAGTACTGTTGTTGCAATAAAATCATCCCCACAGGAGCCATGGCTAATTTTATGGGCAGGGGATGAACAAGTTCTATCGCGTGACACTAGAAACTCTCCTTCGGCAGATGGACTTTAATACCAGCATAACGTCCGCTTCTAACAACGAATCTGTACGACCAGTCTTACTCGCTTCACCTGGGTTTGTCGCTGCCGGTTTCCAGAAATACATTCAATCTGAGGCTTCTACCACAATGCCTGGTCTCAAGCGATTACTCCCCAGCGTCGTGGTCGTTCACTCCGCCTCTGGCTACTTGAACTCCTTATCAGAGGTTCTGCAATCTCCCGCGGTCAAGAATATGTTATCAGACACTAAGTATGCGCGTGAGACAAGATTGATGGATGATTTTCTGGACCAGCTCCGGAAAGAGACCAACAAAGCGACCTATGGCCCGCGTGAGGTAGAGTCTGCTGTGGACCAAGGCGCTGTCGGGCGCGGTGGCGGTATTCTCATTATGTCCAATCGCTTATTCCGATCCCAAGATGTTGCTGAGCGGAAGCGATGGGTGTCTCTCGTGGATCGAGTACGAGATGTCGAGGGCGGAGAAGTACGAATTCTCAGTTCGGATCATGAGAGTGGGCGACGTCTCGATGGACTTGGCGGCATAGCAGCACTCTTGACATTCCCTATCATCGAAGATGACTTGGATTCCGAGGAAGAAACTTGATATTTAGAGTCAGAATAACGAAATATGAATCATGAATAGAGCTGCCCCTTCGCCAAAAATTACAATCCGAACGGTTATTTTTCATGTCAGTAATAGAACCGGTATTGATCTACTACCATGGGATCCCATAGAACAGACCTTGATGATCCACAATCAATCCTTTGACCGTGGGGTTTCTAGTGCTATTTGCTGTGGATCAGCATGTGCCTGTGGAAATGGTCCAATGTTTTTTTTAGGCACACAGACTATCATGGCCTGATGACCCGATCTTTAGCCCGGGCAGGCCTGGGCAGTTTGACCCGAAGTCATCTACACAGCTGCATTATAAGGATTTGAGGAGGTGGCTGTTTGATGGGGCCAAAACATTCCCCAAGAACCGGAATGTCGGTGCTTGCGAGGGCCGTTAGAACTATTTATAAAGAAGATTGTTGGGTGGGGGAATTCCGAACCTTGAATATCAGCAGGGGCAAATGTGGAGTGAAGAGCACTAGCAAATTAGCGTCGCCTCACTTCTTTTTAGTGGTTACTCGTTCAACTTGACTGCAAAAGGAATAAATATGCTGCGCGCTGTGGTCGGCTCCGGGCGCAACATCGTTGGGGCCAAATGGTAGAATTGGGAAATTGTTCACAACTTGAACCCCAAGGGCTATTGTTCGGATTTAGTGCTTACTACTAGTATGGCCGAGGAATAGTTAGAAATTGCTCGGTATACTTGGCGAATCATTTGTCGCGGCCCGTACGGTGTATCTAAATAACCGATATTGTGTGGCTTCTCTCCGAATTGGTTGATCTTGGGCCGCCCATAGGCGGCCGCCGTACTACCTTAACACTGCGTAAGCACTTAATCAGGGTAAGCGTTACACTATGTACTTGCAGGTGGGGGCCCAACTAGTTACTAAGGGGTTCAAAAGTTTCAAGTTCTAAGTATATCTTCAGCTGAGTCGCAAGTGTTCGCTTCTATGGCTCTGATTTGATTGGAATTGCGCTATTTTCGAAATACAGGTTTTGAGAAAGTGTGTATGTAATATGCAAAAGAATAATAGTAGAGAAATCCACAGGATGCCGAGGCTGCTCATGTGCTCGTGAGATGGGGAATATAGCTGTGATGATGCGAAAATGCTGCCAATGATAACGATGATATAGGGTGTTGATTACTTCGGTGAATTGCGCCGACGTTTTCGAGAAGTAGACGCCGCGGGGGGGTGAACTTGGGGGTTCAGATGTCGTGGAAGGTGACCCTTGCTCCTCTGCTAGATCTTGTTTCGTATTTAAAAGGAATAGTTGTAATTTACATTCCTCGGGTGTATAGCCCTTCGTAGAGCCCAGTTCTTTCATCTAGAGAGCTATGAGACTCAGAAAACCAAATCGATGCAGAAGCTGTAATGCTCACCTTATTTGCAATAAATCTATACTTCTCCTGTTCCCATGATTCATGAGCGCTGGTCAGAAGTTGTATCTAAACAGCAATCAATAGTTAGCACACATTCTTGAATATCTAAATCTACCTATGTCCTCGGAAATGGACTCGTGTAGTATGAGGCTCACGTACTCACTTCGGCATCTTCCCAGCGCGATGTCCGTTCCTTTTTCCGACGTCCGAGTCGCATCTGAAGTCGGGCCTCGGTGGCATCTTTTTCGAAGTGCTCACAAAACATGTCACGAATGACTTTCCACGCATAGCCCTGCTCGCGCAAGCTTTCCACAAAAAGATCTTCTGCCTCTGCTTGCGGGTCACGACGACCGCGACCTGGTGCACGAGGTTTGGGTGGCATGATCGGCGGAGACGGCCGATTGCTCCTACGCTCGCGATCACGCTCCATGCGCTCCATACCCTCTGGGTCTGGGAGAATATTGATTGGGGTATCTCTTGATGGCGTTTTGGAGGGTGTTCGTTTCATACGTTTTGGAGGTGGAGCTCGCGGTGACGCGGCTGGAGTTTGGCCCAGGCCATAGTGCAGGTGGTCAGGAGCATATGCATAGTTGGCGGAGCTTGGCGCAGTTGTTCGAGGATATTCACTTGGAAAGGGTGCGCAAATTCCAAGGCCTTGCGGTTGAACAATTGGGTCGTTGACGTAGCGGTATTCCTGAGGGTGATACTCTTGCGCTCGGTGGCTGGCTATCGGACTTGGGTGGAATGAACTGTCTGGAAGGCTAATTGGCGTGAGGATATTCGGATGTACTATAGGCTCGGAACAATATGGTTGATTTACATCCATAAAGGGTGTTTGAAACGAAGGCTAAAAATATCTTTGATCAGCGAGTCGTTTCAGTGTGGGCAACTATGGCCCCAACCTGGGGTTGGGGCCGGGACCGGTCTCGGTCTCGGTTGACATACTGTATCAACTCCAGTCCATTCAGGACCAAGAGTCTGATAGTACCCCTGCATCTCTTCCCCAGAGCTGGAGATCCCATGGCCTTGACGTAGGGACATGATATTAGGCGTGCAGAAAGTAACTACCATGTATGTAGTAGTAGGTTTATGATTCTGCGGCCCAGGACGCAGTTGATTGGAACAAAATGTTCAGGTGGCAGAAGATGAAACACGAAACAACTCCGTGCAGGAGTAGGCGTACGAAGGCGGCGGTTGGAAGTGTATAGTGGGTGGTGGGTTGCGGAGATGGCGTGTATACAAACACAGGCGTTTAAAAGCGATCAAAATATGGCTATCGTCCACCACAATCCGTTTAGCAACTTGTAACTTTGATCCAAGGTACCATAAGATGAGAATCCTGAAGAGAAACAGAGGGGCAGAAACGAACAAAGATATAGAGTCAATTCCCCTCTTCTCTAGACGCAATATCGAGATATCACAGCCCACGCCGGAATGCCTCGCGAGGCAGGATGAACAAGCAGTTTGGCTTGAAAAACCATAGGCTCAGAACGCACCAGAAGCTGGAATCAGTAACGCTGGCGGACGTGCTGCATCGAAGCGCTCGGGGGGAGGGAAAGTGTAGGCTCGTCGGTAGCCTATATTTAAGCGCCTTCGAAACCAATAGTGCCAGCAGCTCCATATCGATTCCGGCCCCCAAGCTCCATCCAAGCCCCCAAAGAAGGGGTGGGCACAGACTCTGAGTCTGCAGCTTGGAATGATGAATGATCCCAGGCCCACACCGTCCTTGTTCAGCAGTGTCCGAAATCATCATGACAGCCTGACGAGAAGTAGGGGCCGACGACCAAGAAGGGTGGAGCAAGCAGGCCAACAGATCCACATTGCCGGGCCCCAGAAGGAAGCACCCGGGAGAGTGGAGTGGGATCTTTAGGGCCAAATTGACAGCTTCTGATTAGCGCTGCTAGAGCCCCTCCGAGGGATTAATAATGATAATAATCGATTCTGGGTTGGCGATGCACAGGTATGCGGTTCGAGAGATTCCGGATCTTCGCTGGGGCAGCAGAACAGGATCATCAAACCCATTGGCCCCCTCGTTTATCTTCGATTTTCTGGTTTCTTTCTTCTTTCTCCGATACATACTTATCCTTCTCCGCTTTTAATTTCTGGTTTCCCATTCGTGCTCGCTTGATTCACCGCCGCTTCTGCACAATCCCAGTCCAAACCGATGCAGCCTTGCGATAAAGTTGTTTCAAAGAGATTCACTCTCCCCATTAACATGTCATTTTTAGTAGAGGATCACACAGCCACGGTATGTATATTTTAAATTTCAAGGCCTACCGAGGAGACTCTAGAAGATTTGTCATATACGAGAGTCAATGGCTGAGAGCGGCTAGAGTGGTCAAAGTCAAAAGACCATGGGAAATCCCCCCCCCCCCCCCGGCCCGGAGTGCTTGGAGTGATCCATGCATCCATCCATCCTCATTTTCCAGCCCAGACTTCCTCAGCGGCTCTTGACTGGTTCGGAAACACATCCTGGTCTGGTGAGGCTGAAAGCAACAACTGCTGTACCCGCGCGCAGTGCCTTGGTGGCTTGTATCGGGGGATTCAGGACCGCTGGTTAAGCGCTGGCAGGGATTCTCCCCCACCACATCTTTCACCATGCATTCTCCCTGCGACAAGAAATCTTCTTCTGGTGTCTCGCCAATCAACATGGAGAACACAGCCATTTTCAATCACAAGGCGAAATCCGATTTCCAGTTTAGTGACGGGCTACCACCTTAAAATGTACGAGTAGCCTGTAGAATAGGCCCGTCACTTCATCGGCCTTTGTGTCCCCACATCGCGTCGATGAACGGACCATGCTTTGTCCTACGTGGACATGTCAATTTCCATAATCTAAGCGCCCCCGAAGTCTCTTGGTCTGGGGATGTCTAGTAGTATGTGCTCATCACGTCGCCCCTGGACTAGATCGATCAAAGAATGATAGAACAAAAAGAACTTCAAGGGTGATGGGAAGCGAACTCCCACGCTCCCTGGACGATCTCGGTATATCTCCGGAGATTTCGAAAACTGCCTCGCCTGTGAAACAGAATGGGCGTCATAACGCGGGGGCGAACCCATTAGTTGGCACCGAATATGAGGGAAAAGATGCGGGCTGGGGTCCGATAATATGAATGGAATGACCGATGCACAGTCAAGTTTCCCCGTAAATCACCTAGCTTGGCTGAGCAATTGGGGCCAAAAGAAATCATACGAGCTAATCAATACCATCATCCCGAGTCCAACGGCGCAGTCCAACAGTGGAGATCTTGAATATTCAGAGTGATATTGGGGCCATAGAAAAAGAAACACCGAAATACTGGCTAATATGACATACTCAACGCGTTCCAAGGTTCAGGGTGGGTCGCGGCCCCTTCCGTACTAGATACGATCGCTCCAGAAATGAATACGGAAGCCAGATAGTGGAAAATAGAAACATTGCACATGAACAAAGATGCGTCGATCTCATTTTCTAGGCAGTTCCGTGTCAGAAGGCTGCAAATCATGAGCATGAACGATCAACGACCTTGGCGAGCATCTGGAACGAGGTCATCTTCATCCGAGAATCCTTCTAGACCATCGTCATGATCGTGCCCGTGATTTTCCAAGGTGTCATCGGCCGCCACAGAGATACCGCGCGCGCCCCATCTGTTGGTGTTGGGCTGACCGTCTCCTTCCGTCTCCTCTTCCCGGAGATATTGCTCCTCATCGGTCGACGTGCGCCGAGCACGGAAATTGACCACACGGTTGACTATCCAGCTCTTGTTATAGTCATCCGAGTCCACCACACCACCATTGCGGAGTTTCACGCGCTGGCGTGAATAATACACCCAGGCGAAGTCGACATAGAAAGCGGTTTGAATGATACCAAAGGTCAATGCAATGGGATCCCAGTGCTTCTCGGAGCCGAATCCACGCACCATCCAGTTGAGAATATAGAGTGCTCGATAAGATCCCAGGCACGCAAGATAGTAGGAGTCGATCACGGTGGGAACCGTAGTTTGGCGCAGAAGAAGGAGCTGCGGCAGAACACATACCGATTCAAGAACAATCGAGAATGCCCAGAATAACTATCAATCGGTCAATAATGTGCTCGACACGGTACATTTAAGCTCGCGGGGACGTCTCCACTTACCTCGCTCAGCCAGAAAGAAGGAAATCCCCGGTACGTAATGGCGATAGCAATTGGAGCAATGACCACCGAGCCAATTACCGACCATATACCGAGCTTCCAAGCACGTTCTCTCTCTCTTGTCCGTGGATAGACCCGCATCATCAGGAAAATGAGATAGGAAGAGGAGGCAAGGAACACAAGCTTGAAAGGGGTGTTCCAAAGTACCCCGGCTCCATAGTAGCTGAACGACCATGAGTAGCTCGAAAACAAGTCCAAATAGCGTGTGAAAAAGACGAGGGCATAAAGCAACTGCGTGAGGAGCGAAACGCCTAGAGAGAACAAGGTCTTGAGTCAGCGGATCATGTTATCGGACGGAATCATGAAAGGGCCATATCCCCTACCCTCAGCACTCTTATTCCTATGAATTGCCCATACCAGTACACAGACAGATGCAAGATGCGAGATGTCGGCGATGACACGGAATACGTTGAATACTGCCATGGCGCGGAAGGGATGGCTGGGTGCGGGGAGAGAGGTGTTCGAGTTCGATCAAAGGAGATCACTTCTGGAAGAAGCCCGGATTGACTCTGTTCCGGGTATTCAGCGGTAGCTGTTAGGTCGAGGTCACAGTCCTGCTGGTCCCGATCCTTCCAGGTTTGCAAACCACAGCAGTTGACGTGGAGGAAGCTCCCAGTCATCACGGGAGCTTCACGCTATCGGCGCCGTAGAGCTCGGGCCGCGTGTCCTCACGTGAGACTTGACGTCAGCGTCGACACCCGACACCTCAGGTGTTTAATATCTTGCAGATGCAGAAACGTACAAGCGAGTGTCATGTTCTACATAAAGCTTTCTACATTAAAATAATATTCGAATGAGGGTACTAAAAATAAGGCCAGGCTAAGCAATGTGGCACGATACTCTTCGTGGTGAGAACTCATCTAGTTGGAACTAGTTTGTTTTGGGAAGAACGCGACATAAACAGAGCCGCCCTTTTTGACGGCGGCTGGAAAATATACTTATCATCATGTCGTTCAAATTTCCAAGAATATATAAACAAATTTTCTTCTCACTCTTCTGATTACTTTTATATCTCCCATCCAATTTACAATATCATGCCACTCGAGAATATACCCATGTCGACCCCAAACAAGATGGACATTCGCAAAATGGGCCTACCGCAGAGCGCCGGCTTTATTAAGAGTGTCTACTACGAACTCGAAAATGGAACCTTCTCTGAGTGCTTTGACTATGACCATGGTGGAAAGGAATACCAATGCCCGTCAAGTATAATCAGTGATCTTTTATTCGCCGAGTACGAATTTCGGGCGATTACTCAACTCAAAGAGGGCTACATGGAATTAAAGTCAACCAAAAACATGGAGCTCCCCAGCTTGGAAAACATTGACGTTGAGGATGTTTTACGCGAAGCAAATCTCTCTGTGAAAGTACTTGCCCTACCTTCGACTCCGAGACAGATCTACATGACTATCCGAAAGGATAAAAAGTGGTATCTCCGGACCACACTTAAGAGCCAATGTGCCGAGACTGGTGGCTGCTGTGGTCAGGAATGCAACTACTGTGAAAAGCGACTAAATACGTTGCTACACTCGGATATGAACGGACATTGCTTGCGGGCCTGTCCTTGCTGTATGAAAGGAAAGAGGTTCTATCCGAAAGCCAACGAGGAGGCCATTATTGGAAAACAGTATAAGGATGCCCTGGAGAGTGACCATCCGGCCTTTCTCATGTATATGGCGGATGCCTACTTTTCAAAGCTACATGAAAGGCTAACACCAAATGACGAACCTCCTACCTCCAATCCCCCACCATACTCGGCAACACGTTCTCAAAGACCCAAATGGTCCTCTACTAGTAGCCTTCAAAGGCATAAGTCAAACAAATAACTTGTGGCCTGAGCCTCAGCCCACCCGGGATCATTTACCGTATTTACGCGATACCTCTACATACCAAAAGTCAAGGTCCCCGGGGACTCTCAGTGACGATGCTATCAGGATATCGGTCCGACTAATATGTGGGGTGGCATTAGCTAATAGACAGTATATGCCGACACGTTCCACAGCAGGGTTGGTTATTTCTATGCTCGGATAATTATTTTACGGCATAAGTGAAACTGAAGTACTCTTGGAGCTGCGTACCTACGCAGTCCCATCTTGGGTGGCCATGCTCAAAGTTGAAGGATGAACTACAACCGCTATGGAGACTGCCTGGTTCTTGATCGCTTATTTGTGGCTGGCATCTGTAAATTATCTCATAATAAGCAATCTTGTTTAATATAAAAATACCATGGGAAATATCTATTATCTTGCTACTTATTTATCTATCTCCCTCCGCTTATCATCAACTTCTAGCACAATAAGGACGGCTGTGGTATTTTTGTTCCTCTGTCAGCTTTGGAACTAGTACTACCAATCAAAGCCGAGGTCTAAACCAAGCATGGACCGGACAGTAGCTCCGGCCATTTAGAGCTAGCTAGCTATGTCCTATTTTCCTCAATGAGCAGCAAGTGGCGATAATTAAGTAGTGTTACCAACGTGGTAAAAGAAAGCTAGTGAAATGCAAAGGTAGATATATGGAAGTAGATGCCAGTATTCTTTACCAAGGCGATAAACCGAACCTAGTATATCTACAATAGAGATTCATAGGCCAATATCTCGATCAATATCTAAGCTATAGGTAAATGATACAGTCCATCGATATTTGCATAGAGACAACACGGATCTAGGCGTAGCAAATATTTTGTGCTAGTATACACGTCAACTTTCTGCAAGGTGATGAAACCCAGTGGAGGGCTTGGTAACCACGCGAGGCATCTCCAGGATGACGCAGTCAGAATCAAATTATGATATAACGGCCGGCCGAGGTTCTACCCTGGTTAACGAGCACATGATCCGACGGTATCTGAATTGATTGATAAGATGACCTCTGATTCGGTCGTGGCATCAACAACGACAAGAGGAGTTGAAATCACTTCGTGATCTCCTCCAAAGGGTTTTATAATAAACGGGCCCCATCAATCCTCATCATGATGTAAAAGAAAGCCACCTAATGTTGAGAAAACGCACGATCCCGGGTCGGCAATACATGACTGCAGTGCGGCGCCTCCGACCCAGACCGTTCATTGGTACAATCATCGAAGAATATTGCTTTGACAGGCCCGCATTGCTCCTTCTTTCGCTCACGCTGGTCTCCTTGAGCACCACGTATGCTGCCATTTTTGGCTATCTACAATTGACGGGGGATCTCCGTTTAAGCATCCATGTTTCAAGCTGCTACCCATTACCATGGAACCCCGTTCTCCCCGGGGAAGAGGGGCCGCCTGAAACACGGGAGAGGGTCAGCACCTCCCCAAACAAGCGATCGCGTCCAGCAGCGAGCAGCAGGATAGAGGGGAAATGGAGAGGGGAGCAGAGAGTGGCTGCACACGAAACCGACCTGTGGCTTGAACTAGCCCGCCAAGACTCGGGTTGGACGGGGACAGACTTCAAGAGGTCGAAATCCGGAGCAGACATGCTTGCGGCTCGCGCTTCCAGATCATTGGATGCCTTTGCAATAGAACGCCCGGGGCGTTGCTGGATCTTTGTTACCATCCTGGTACGGATTGTGAGAGTTCGCCGGGTCACCGGATTCTGGAACAGGCCACTCGCGTGTGTCTTCGGCCCAAATGTCTCATGGAAGCTGCCGGACGTGGGCCATCATGCTTCTGCAGAGTGCTCATCGGCCGAATTAGAGGGCAGCACAAGCACATCAGTGGGAAGGCCCCTGCCCGGGACATCTGTTCCTAGGCCAAGTGACGAACGGTGGGTGGAATGCACCGGAGGTCTAGCAGGCAAGCAGCAGATTTGCAGGTCCTTTTTTTAGGGGAGAGAGGGAGGACAATAGGTTCCTCAAGAGATTGAAGTTGGCCCATTTCCCGATTGGGTCGGTGGATGAAGGGGAATCATGTATACTAGGAGCAGCATCGAGGGGGCAAGTCTAGAAGAGGAGTTACAGGGTCTAGACCCAAGGCCTTCTTCTTTTCTAGCCCCCCTCCACTTTTTGACCCATTTCTTGAGTCCCCATAACAAAATCCCAATTACCTAGGTAACCTAGAAGAATATACTAAATACTTAAACAGAATGTCATGTTTCCTCGGGGAGAGAGGGGGGGTAACCTATAAACTGTAGTAAAACATAATGCTAAAGGTAATGCTAAAGGTAATACTAAAGACCAAAGTAAGATAGAAATAAGCTATCATATTTGATATAAAATAAAAAATGAAAAATGAAAACAACCCAAACCAAATCAAACCAAATTAACATCATAATACTAGAGAGAGAGAGAAAGGGAGGGAGGGAGAGGGGAGGGGGGGCGCTAGTCAACACATTAGGAAGGTTGGACTTTTGGGCTTGTTGTGATATGAGGTGACTCCATCCCCGCTCACCTTCCTCTCTTCCTTCTCCTCCTTCGCTTCTCTCTCTTCTCTCTTCCTGTGATCTCCTTTCCCTTCACTTCCACCTTTCTCTCCCCCCCCCCCCTTCCCCTCTCCCTTTCCCCTCACGCCACATCCACTTGTTCCCTTTGTTCTCCCTCCTCTCCAGCCTCATGTTCTCCCCGTACACGGAGGAATTCGAGGTTCCCGATTCGACGCTTCGACCATGCGATTTTGATCTGTGAGCTCCCCCCCCCTCCCCCCTACCACCCAGCCCGGTCCAACCCCATCACACCTATACAATAAATCCCACCCAAAAGAATAAAACACAACCCCCCCCCATTTGTCTTCTTTCACCTCCCCTGGATACAGAGCTAAACGCTCCGGTCGGCGCTACCGAAACTCTTTGTTCTCTGTTTCCCTTGTCCGATCCGGTTCTGCCTGGGATGCGCCTGTGTCATTTTTAGTGTAACGAGGCCTGTCTTCCCAGAAGTCAACCCCCTCCAAGGCGCGCCTATAGCAGACCTGCTAATCCCCGACGCGGCCTTTGTGTTTGAACAGATGAATCGACACCGCATGATTGAGAACTGCGTGTGTCTTTCACCATGTCGTAAGTCCCTCGTCTCTGTGATCTCTGCTCCGCAGGAGAGAGACCTGGGCTGGACTGCCACTGGGTCGCGTTCTGCGTTTCCTTCTTATATTCTTTCTTGTTCTTGCTCGTCGTCTCTGGCTTGCTGCTCGGCTCGTTGCTGATAACTGATCGCGTCGATCGGAATAGCTCCCCTCCGACTTCCAAGCGGATTAAGACCTCGGCTACAACCAGCGCGCCGCCACATCTCCTCGCCCAACAACAACTTCACCCCTTCCACCACCGCGTACAGGGATTTGAAGGCATCCCAATCCCTACCGCTCCGATTCCCCAACAACAGCAGCAACCGCAACCGCAGCAACAACAATCAACATCGCGCAAACGTCCCCCCTCCCCCATTCCCGGTTCATCCACCATGATGGCCGCGTCAATGAACCCGGCGGGGGGCACGATGGAGGGTGATCCTGGCGCTATGCCTCCTCCAGTGGAATCAACACCTAAGAAGAAAGGCCGCACGAATACCCCATGGACCGCAGAGGAGGAGCAACGATTGAAAACGATGCGCGACGCGGGTCGCAGTTGGAGCGAGATCGCCAAGGTGCGCGCATTTCGTCCGAACGCTATATTGCGCGAATTTCCTGGCTAACTTGCGTCGGATGACGCGTCACAGACTTTCCCTACGCGAACTGAGGGCAGTGTAAAGAAGCACTGGTATAAGGTGTGTACTGATAGTCCTTGGCTGTTGATTTGACATTTACTAACGCCACGTGCCACAGGATATGCATTACGCCGAATTCGCTGAGGATGAGGTATCATTTTCTCCCTCCCCACCTTTAGGCTATATATACCTTTTTTTGCTGTTTCGCGAATAGCTAACTAAATTACCACAGTCTATAAAACTTCGCGAAGCAATCAAGGATTACGAAGCGAACAAATGGAAGGTCATCGGGCAGAAAGTTGGCAAGCCGGCCAAGGTGCGTTACAATCTGAAAAAAAAAATGAAAAAATCCCATACTCGCTCTGATCAAGACTGACTCTTTTTGGCTATTAGGCTTGTGAACAATATGCCAAGGAGCACTTCAAGAACCTCTAATATTAGAGGGTCCGATGACCATTGATGAAGTGATGATTTGTTTCTAAGCATCTTTTACGAATTTGGCATTCTCCCGGATTCTGCAATTCCACAGCGATGCAAGGTTCATCAATGGCCACTGGAAGCCATTGATTTTACAAGGCAGATGGAGTTGGTGATCTGGTCTCTTTTTGGTGATTTTACTTATTCTTCTGATTGGGTTTTTTTGTTGTGGTGAGCGTCTGATACGCGTATTTTTATATTCAATTTTGTGGACTTTTTTTGGCGTTGTTTTCTACGTTGGGTGCCAGTGACGCGGTTTATTTTTTGATGTCTCCCTTCTCCATCTTCATTTCCTTGATCAATACTATATGATTTTCCAGTCCCAAGTAGCTCATGACAAGCAAGACTTGAAATCGATTGAGATGCCGATCCTTGCAGATCCTGAGCTACGTCGAACGAGAGACACCAACGGGTTCATGTCTTCAAGTTGTTTGAGTACTTTGAGTATTATGCTGACAATGTTTTAAGGCGATTACCATGTATTTCCACCAAACAAATGGATTACAATACAAACTTGGAATACTAGTAGCAAGATTCTGTTTATACTACTAGCAGTAAGCAGCCAGTTGCCTAACAATTTGCCTAGTACTAGTTACAACCCTCTCCTTCCAAGGTTATGCATACCCTACATATACGTTCCCTCAGCTCACTGTTATAGTAGGAATAAGTAAAGATTTGTGTCCAAACTTTTATACGAAATACTAGTGATCTACGAGATGCCTATTACCACCGCTCGGCACTTAAAAATAAGGCATCCTCGTTCGCTGGACCCGAGCGGAGACGGAAAACCGGCCGCGATCGCGGCCGATCTTTTTTTTCCCCGCGGCGATTTCTTTCCCACCTCCGCACACACTTTTTCCACTTTGCAATCCCCCACATTTGCAGTTCTCTGCCTAGTCCGCGCAAGGTTGCACCCGTGTTTCGCCTCATTAGTCCATTTCCAGGTGAACCTTTTGCCTATCTCGCTTCCCTATGCGCCTTGCCCTTCGCGCCACTCTGCTAACATCGACTCTTTGCTTCATAGTGACTCATCTGGAAGGTGACATAGACCTCTTGTGAATGTTCGAGTACAGAACCCACCTCACCTCCTAGGGACGGCTATCATGAAGACGAGTAGCCAGGTTTTATTCAGTGATCAAGGTACATCCAGTGGTAAACCGCCTGCATGGAGAACCGGTGTTCGGCCGTGCAACACTCGCTCCGGGTGTTTTGCGCCGTCGTTCTGAGATTATACGGTCGAACTTGATCTGGATAATTCCAGCGAAAGAAACTCATGCACGCTTCTGATTACCTGCTTTTCCCTTCCTGGGATTGTCCATACAAATACTGACAATTGGCAGCATGGCCTCGGAAAATGAAATCGCCACCGTAGCGGCGCGGAACGAGAAAGCAGACTCGATTAAACAGACCGAAGAGCCTGTTTCGTATGAACAGGATAGCAAAAATAACAGCACATATCCTCCTGAACAAACCTCTCGCAACAACCCCGTCGGCACACGCCTGGGCTCGTTGATTCGCATGTTTGAGCAGCAGCTCGTCGAATATAATTTTGAGGCGCGAGGCATTGAGCGTGTTGCGCCAGATGAGCGCATGAAGAAGCTTTCATGGGTGTCATACGCCCAGGCACTCTTGCTCTGGGTATCCATCAACCTTGCTGCCAACAATGTGACTCTGGGCATGTTAGGGCCTGCCGTATATGGGCTTAGCTTCAAGGACTCTGCACTATGTGCTTTTTTTGGGTGCCTTGTTGGTGCTCTAGTTGCCTCTTGGATGGCCACATGGGGCCCAATTTCTGGTATTCGTACCATGGTATGTCAAGTCGTTTCATCCATAGTGGCCAGTTAACTTATAAATGCGCAGGCATTTGGTAGATACTCGATGGGTTGGTGGCCCAGCAAGATTATCGTCTTGCTGAACCTTATCCAAATGATCGGATACTGTCTGATCGACTGTGTCGTTGGCGGCCAGATCCTTTCGGCGGTTTCGCCAGGTGGCATGTCCGTTGCTGTCGGTATGTAGAAAGTGAGAAGGAGATGCCCGTGTGACCCACTGTCCTAACATTGCTGCAATAGGGATTGTCATCATTGCTATTATCAGCTGGGTTGTGGCTACATTTGGTATCCAAGTGTTCCACTACTATGAACGATTTGCATTCTTGCCTCAGTTAATCGTCATTTGCATTCTATTTGGTGTTTCATCCAGCAAATTCGACTTGTCTACTACCTCCGCTGGCGACGCACGCACAGTAGCCGGGAACAGGTAAAACTCCACGATTCCCCCAATTTATGAAAAGTACAACTGGCTTACCATCTACCAAGGCTATCCTTCTTTTCCATATGTGTTAGTGCAGCAATCACCTACGCCCCCCCTAGCAGCAGACTTCTTTGTATATTACCCGGAACATACCTCCCGCACCTCAATCTTCTCCCTTACCCTCATTGGCCTGATATGTTCCTTCACCATGGCAATCATCTGCGGTATTGGTCTCGCCTCCGGCATCAATGCTTACCCCGAGTACGCAACCGCCTACAACAAGGGCCAAGGCGCCCTCATCGTCGAGGGGTTTGGTCCTCTCCATGGCTTCGGAAAGTTCTGTTCTGTCGTCATCGCCCTCGGCCTTATCGCCAATACTGTCGCGCCAACATACTCCGCCGGCGTTGATTTCCAAATTCTCGGCCGCTACGCTGAGAAGATCCCCCGCGTGATCTGGAATACCGTCGGTGTAATTATCTATACCGTGTGTGCGCTCGTCGGCCGCAGCTATCTCTCGGAGATCTTTACAAACTTCTTGGCCTTGATGGGCTACTGGGTTGCGATCTGGACCGCTATCATCCTTGAAGAGTTCCTGATCTTCCGGTTCCGAACGGGCTATAATTGGGCCGCCTGGCGAGACCCGTCCAAGCTCCCTATCGGAATCGCGAGCTTTATCGCATTCGTCGTTGGATGGGTCGGTGCTATCCTGTGTATGGCTCAGGTGTGGTATATTGGCCCTATTGCGAAGCTAGTGGGAGACTATGGTGCTGATGTAAGCTTTCAACCTGGCCTTATATCTCCCCCACCCCCCCTTCAAAATGTGATACTAATCTGGCTGATTCCATAGATGGGCAACTATATTGGTTTCTCTTGGGCTGCGCTTGTTTACCCGCCTCTGAGGTACTTGGAGCTGCATTTTGTGGGCCGGTAGAGAAATGGACCACCTCTCGCTGTGGTCGGACCCACTGTTCCAACCGTTTCGGGCTTATTTTCAACATGCCCATCTTCTTTTTTACTACGGAGTACATTCTGTATATTAATATACCGACTCTCACACGTTTGCATTTTGAGGTCACATCCTCGGTGCACATGACGAGGATACGCTTCAAGTTCTGTCATGTTCCCAAAAGTTATCAGTGTGCATTGCATTGCATTGCATAGTATGATTGCATCAATACCTATAGTTTGTTTTATCCATACATAGTAAAGTACATATTTCCAATAATCCTCTCCAGATTTAAACTCCAAGGTTTCCATTGTATGCTGCAGCACGAGGTAACCTATTAACCTATCTTGTCAACCAGCCATAAAGTAAATAATTGTGAAAATCAAGCATAAACGTAACCTCTGTGTCGTAAATGTTCGACCAATGACTCGAATTAGAGTGAGAAGCGGACCGCATGCCCTGACAGAATTAAAATGATGGAGACTACCTACGACCTTGGGAACAACATCACCCAAGTTCCAATCAGCCAAGAAATAATGAGAAAATATTGACTCAAAAATACACCCCAATAAGCACTCTCATTTTCATCCACTTGAGAACTATTCTACAAAAAAGACGGGAAACAGGCCAAGTATAGATCTGATACAGGGACAGACAGACAGACAGACAGACAACTTCGCACGATTACTCTATATCAAGAGGTTTTGCGCGACGCGGATTTACCGGTACCAGTACTCGGGCTTGACGTAGTCGGCGAAGGTCTTGGGCTCCTCGTGGGGAGGGTGGTGGTGACCGTGGTCGTGCTCGTCTATGAGGGGTCAGTATTCTGTGCTCACGGTATCGGGAGGAAATAAGAGGGGTGGGGTTGGGGGTGGATTCAAAAGAGACATACGAGCGTGGGGGTCCTCCTCAGGGCCAATGTAGTTCAGCTTAACGACGTTGCCGCACTCGAGGCAACGCTCAATGGGGCGCTCACGGGAGACCTAGAAGCAGGCAGGGTTAGTGTTGCTGTGGATGGCTTGTAGATTCTCGAGTTCGTCATACGGTCAGCCAGTTAACCTGGTGGGAGTCGACGGGGTAGCCAGTGCAACCGGCGTATTGCTCATCACCGGCACCGTTGACCATGATGGGGTTGTCGATCGTTCCTGTGGTCGAGAAAAGTTCATCGATCAGCCGTTGACTCACGCCAAAATGAGAAAGATATCATGGAGCGATTTGTAGTCTATCTGGTACGACAATCGCGTATTAAAGCTCAACATACCCTTGCGGGAGGCGTCCAGGGGACGCATGTCGAAGATATCGATGCCCTGCATCTTTCCGATGAGCTCCAGACGCTCGAGACCGGTGGCCTGGCTGAAGTCGGTAGGGATGGTACCGGGCTTGGCACCGGGGGGGAATCAGGTCATCCTCAGACTTGATCTCTGTAGGGAGAATGGAGATACGTTAGCTGCTTTGGACTACTTTGTGATAACTACCGCGGGCAACTTGTGTCTCATTTTGTGAAGGTGAAGTGCACAATCAACGGTCCCGACATTTAACGCCACTTATTGGCATCGAACAAGGGACAACGAGACGTTGCAGTGTTCCATCTCCAAAATATTGAGCACAGTCGAGCAATTGACCGCGGTAGGGCGAGAAGGGTACTGACCATCGAATTGGCGGATCGGGGTCTCTTCCTTGGGGGTCCACTTGTTCGCGTTGCCTGTTCAAACAACATTCGCGTTAGCTGGCGATAATACATATGGAGCCTAAGCGGCCTCCAAAAAACAGTATACTTGGAGTCAATTGAGCTCTGGGGGAGGGTGTGCAGGGCCGAGGTCGGGGGGATGTCGGATCATGCCACCTGGGGGGGGAGTCACGTACTGCGCACGACGGACGAGGAGAATGGGCGAGCGACAGCAAAGGCGCGAGCGGGAGTGCGCCGCGCGAGGGCGGAGGCAGTGCGTTGAAGGAACATTGCTCCGGGGAGAATGGTTGAATGGGGGGGGAGTAGAGAGGAGGTTGGGTAGAGTCTGGTTCGAGGATTGAAGTTGGAAGATGCCGCTTCCGCCCGAGTGCCTTATGATTGGTTGAAGCTACTACCAATAAAGGACGCGGATTTCGGATGACTCAGCGATGATTGGCCGTCACGGGAAGTTCCAGATTAGGGAATTAGGGCTAGGGCCGGTAGAAAAACAATGGTGTACTATAACTGTGTACTATGGTTCGAACATACTTGATGAACTACCAACATGAAGAACCATCACAGTTACGACCAAAGATCCTGATCCTGCTCCGATGAAACCTAAGAAATCCGAATACTCCGATGTCCCACAGTCATACATTATTTACAATCCACGAGAAGGGCTTCGTACTAACATGGCGGCCCGTTCCCGACACGCCTCAGGACCGAATCCCTTGCCAACTTTGCCGGAGATAATTCTCCATCGGTCCTGTTCGTACTGGGATATTGCACGCTGGAGGCGTTGTACCTGGACGCTGCTCAGTACATCTTGTTCGATGGATTGGAAAGGGTTGCGGTCGTTGGGTGGAGTAAAACACTGACCTTCTCATCCGTCCAGCTTACATCCTTCGTTTTTAATCTTTGGCAGTAGCGGACCTGCAAAGTATTGTGCGTTCGACCCGGAAAGAAGTCTTGGATTTGTAGCCAGGTCAATTTCTTGTCCTCCTTGAGATGCACGAGTAACGCATCCTCTGCTGCGGTAAATCTTGTCTTGGGAGCTTTGGGGCGAGGAGCAGGTGCGGGCATTCCCATATATCCCACTACATTCGGTGGCCTTGTTTGTCTAGCAATATCATCATCCATATTGTCAGAATCCATTGACTGTGGGAGCGTGTGATGATGCTTCTCTGGTAGAGAAATTTTCAAGAGGGTGTTATGGGACATCGCTGGGTCATATATCGAGCTAGGAGGCTGGTGCAACGAAGGATCAAGTAGAATGCCAGGTTCTGTAACCGAAGAGTTAGTATTTATAAGGAGAGATGCCAAAGCCGGAAACTGCGGTGGGATGTGACCATCGTTTCGAGTGCTTCTTGATCGAAATTGGCCTCTGGGGCTGTTAAGTGGACCTGATAAATCGTAGCCGTACGTCGGGAGTTGAGGCAGCTGTTGCGACGATGAAGGCGAATATGTTGAATGGGGTAAAGGGTCATCTCTAGTTTGAGGTATGGGATGAGGGAGTATCGAATCTGTCGTAGGCGGTTGTCCATTAAACAGAGAGGGGATATTGTCGGTTCCATACACAGCTCCGCTCAGCTTGTCACGCAGCTCCGACTCGGATGAATCATATGCAATCAAGCCATGGTCATCATGCTTAGCCGGTGAGGGAAAGTTGATGGCATGGCTGCGGTAAGTGTCCGCCAGTGTCACGGACATGCATCAAAACCGCCAGGAAATTCCGGCCGATGAATAAGCTTGTCAAGAAGGGGACTATCCGAACCCAAGACTTTTCCTCTGCAGAGGAACAGGGGGACTCCTTAAGGCCCGTTATGTGTCACATAAAGAAGCACGATTCAGAAAGATCCTTGCGATGGCAAAAACAAACGGTGCCAATGGCTGCAACCTGTCTCGAAATGCTTCACGTGCCGAGTGACGAGGGCAAACTGGAAGGCCTTCCAATATCAGAGAGGAGCAAGCAGTCGGAGCCCAATAAGTATCACTCGCATATTGTGTGATATAGGGGGCGGTTTGAGTGTCATACGGGAAAAGAAAAACATAAATGCGACGGCGGACATGGCTGCCTCTATAAGTCTCTCGCCGGATACGCATATAGGCCCAGTTGGGTTGCAGGCCGCCCGGGCAAGGAACCTATGCCGAACCTCCTCATCAGCTGAATCATGCATCTTTCAGGGATTGGCTTCTCTGGCTTTATTGGGGAGAAAATTGAAAGAATTGTCCCCGGCGCGCAGCCCCCTCAGGGGGTATTGACCCAAAGCGCGCAGTTTTCGTTTTGTTTCGTGTCTTCTACCAATGGCTTTTATATTTCTTTTAACCAAGCTTTCAAAGTCCTTAAAGCTATTATGCTATATGACAGGATTAATTATACAACATATATTATTGTCTCTCACTAAAACGGCGAGGCAGATCATGGTCGAGAAGCTTTCCAGGATCAGGACGAGGGGCCCATCAGAAGCGAGAAAGCGAGAATCGGGATAACGCGCCCAACAAGAGCCCCTCAACGCCCGTAAGATTTGGCATCTAGGACGAGTGGAATGTCACCGACAGGGATGTTATTCGCTGGGTGCAGACTCCTGCAAGCTGTCAATACTGGAGAGGAGATGAAACTCCTGTTAGGCCAATCAACCCCCGTCATGGTAAGCCAAAGAGGCAACTAAACCAGCGATTCGTCGAGGAGCTGAGGGGTGATTTAGGCACTTTCGGTGCCAAGGCTATGCAAATGGTCAATCACAGAGATCCCAGATGTCCCGAGAGTGACCAAGAGAGTTATTAAAACCAATGGTCCTTATACGGTTTAGATTGTCACATACATACTGTACATACGCTTGACCGGCTTTGCGGCCAAAGTGGCTAAGGAGGCAAACTTGAACTATACCAATGAGTTTCTGTATTGCATAATTTTGGATTGTCAATGTCTGTGTGTTATTTGGGTCTCTTTTTCTCTCTTCTTCATCTTGATCGATATTGCATTCTGGAAACCTGGGTGTCATTCACGTCGGATACAGGAAGCCCCTACTTCGTACATGCCATGCCATCCTACTGTTATTCCGAGACCGGACAGATGGGGAAAAGGACAGGAGGATCACTGCAAGTGCCGTAAAGCATTAGCTGCAGAAGGGGCTGTTTTCTGGCACACCGGGGGGGCCCATTGCAACCCCACCCGAACAAACAAGTCCTCGAGATTTGCCATAGTCGCTTGGAAACAAGTGGCAAGGACACTGTTGTCATTTTTCTTTGCACTTTACCCCCTGGTATGCGGGATGTCGCCTTCTTTCCTCGTCGAGCAGTACTGGCCCTCGGAGAAACATGTCTTTCCCAGAGAGGTATAAGATGTCGGGTTCGGGCCTCTGGCCGAAATGGTGGCGCAAGGCCGGTGACCTCCACCCGTCCCCTGAAGCAACACCACACAATCACCGTCATGCGATCCTTGGAGGCGATGGAACCTTCTTTCTTTGTCACTTTCGAAGCGATGGAAATGGCAAGAGCCGCGTGGCTTCGTGGCTGGGGGTCGATCTGTGCATTACAAAGCTGACTGCATGCTCGTATAAAGCGGTCAATCAGGCGACAACAGGGCGTAGAAAAAATCATTTCACAACAACTTGGTAGGTGACTCTTGCTTTATAATTTTATGATAATGTGACTCGAAGTGTTCAAGGACCACTGAAGCATGAGCTAACATGGGAGACCAGTACTAATACTATGGTTAAGTATACGTAATTAGTAGTAGTGAGCATCAGATGTTCCAATCGGTGACGACCACATTCTACAAAAGAAATTACTGAACGGAACGTTGAGATAGCTAGATCCATAATGACTGCGTATTGCTTTTTTTCGCTTCAATAAATGAGATTATGATTGTCATGATACACGAACACAAAAAAAATAAAGAGAAGAAAAGGTACATGATAAGAATACATTCGCCCAAATAAATCAACCAAGTGGATGTAAAAACGCCCATCAAATATAACTCTACTCAAAGTTATCCGAGCGATCGACCCAGATGTCTTCCAGTTCGGCGAAGTTCTGGAAGTGCAGAGGACGATGCTGGTCATCGTAGAAACGAAGGGGGGTATCGATCTTCACGTAGATGGGTCTCTTCTCAACACTGCCGAAGGAGCTACCCATGAAACTATAGTTCCAGAGGTTATCCTCGGGAACAAGGAAATAACCGCGAACGCGATCACTGAGAAGCAGCTGACACTTTTGACCCATGCTAGTGGAGAAGCCCTGAGGCTGATCTGAGCTCATATCCTTGTTCTCAGCACCCCACTTGTACCCGTTGGGGGTCAGGCTCCAGGCAGAAAGTGACACGGAACCAGGGGTAAAGGAGACGGTCATAGTAACCGTCTTCTTGTCCCACGAGGAATGCGAGTTCATTAGGCGGGCGTGTTGTGTGACATCCGCCGCAGACATGTAGGGTGGCTCGTTGCCTGAAACGGTGTGGATGACGCCCAGCGGCTCAAGGCCGTTGAGGTAGTCATGCTGAGGGAGTTGGTGGGGGAGCTGGACATCCCGAGTGTTTCCAACTTGAGGGACCATGACAATTGTGCGGACCTCTTTAACTTGATCGTTATCGGGGGGCGAGCTACCGTAAATGAAACCAGTAACTTGGACGCGAAGATCAGCGATCGTGATGAACCGCTTGAGGATGTTCTTTGGCATAATGTAAGTGAATCCAGCATCGCGGATGTCGTCAGACGACACGTAAATGTTGTTCGATCTGGTCCGCAGGTTGGAGGTCGCGATAGCGCGAGTGCGCCACTCGGTCTTCGACGCGAATGACTGTTGCTCGTACTGCGAAGTCGTCGTGACAATCATGTCCTCTCCCCGCACATTTTGAGTCTTGGTAGTAACAGCAGTAAGTTGCTTCGCTTCCTCCTGCTGCTTTTCAATCTCGGCAGCCTGCTGTCGTTGCAGCGAGGGCGCGCTGATTTCCATACCTAGGATGATATCTCGAACTTCACTGCCGGTCAAACTTTGCACGTTGACATTGTTCTTCTTGCCGTAGTCGTTCAGGATCAAATCACGTAGTTGCACTTCGACCTTGATCCAATCCTCGTCAGACAACGAAGGCCAGATGTGATGCTCCTGGGTGATCACGCTCTTGTCGGGGCGAAGAATGATCTTAGCCTTGTCGATATTTACATGCAGGGCACGGAGAATGAGAATCAGACGGGAGAAGGCGGTGTATGGCGAAATGGACTTCAACCACTCATCATACAGGTTGAAGAGAACCATTTGAGGCTCGGTGGCACGGAGGATCATATCCGCCAGCTTCTCAACCTTCATGGCAGCCTGGAATGGCAGTTGAAGCTCAGAGGCGCGGATGGAGATATTGGGGAAGTCGAGCAAATGGACTTCAAGAGGATCCAAAAGACCCTTTCGAGTAACAATCAGCTGCTTCGGCTGTTCTTCAACAGGTAGAGACCGAATGAGGGCAGCGACTTCTTCAGCCGTCTTCCACTTGGCCAATTGACCCAGACGCTTCTGTCCCGCCCAGACACTGGTGTGGATGATCTTCAAGAACAGCTGGCCGGTTCGAGGATTGAAGATGAAAATGGCACCGTTGATGGGCTTTGTGGTCAAGTTACCCTCGAAGGTTTTGTGAATTGTCACACGGTAAACGTTGGTGTCATCAATGAACAGTTGAATCTGAGGGCTGAAAAGCTCGGAGTAATTCTGAGAGTTCAAAAACTCCTGGTTGCTCTCCGAGGCGTACAGCTGCAGACCCTTGCGAATACGTTCACGTAGAACGTACAAGGCAGGGTTGGCCTTCATGATCTTAGCCATGGCCTGTTGGGCAAGAGTCTTCAGGCCGGGGAAGTACTGGCCATAAGCCGAGTACAAGTTGTAGGAAAGATCGATGCCGATCATCAATCCGGTGGCCGAGGGATAGATACTCATACTGTCGGTGGTGTAGTCAAGATACTTGGCACGAACATATCGCTCAATGTCATGAGAGTCGTAGTCACCATATCTCAGCTGCACATCAATCCAGAACTTGTTAGTGGTCGTGGGCTCGTATACATCCTTGGTATCGAACAGCAAGGAAGGTCGGGTGACATTCCACTTGTTGGTGGCAAAAAGAAGGATATCCGCACAAGAACTGTTCATCTTGTACGATTTACGTGGGTGAATCGTTTCCTTCTGAACAGCCTCGATGCCAAGTTGCTCGAGTTCTTGGTCAAACACCTGGCACAAGTCCATAACCACAGATTCGTGGATCTTCTGCCACAAATGAGCACGGAAGATCTGAATAAGGGAAATTTTCAGAGTAGGAATCTTGCCGTGCAAGAAAATACCAGTCAAATCCAGTTGCACTTGGAAACCAACATAGACATTGGCTCGGTTAATGGTTGGTGACCACCAGAGGGTGAACCGACGGTTGGGAATTTGGTTAAGACCGGAACGCTGAGCGTTCGTGAGCTTCTTAAATTTCATGCTTTCCTATAATTGTTTTGAGTCAGTTATCGTTTGCGAGGGTAAGGGCCAAAGGGGGATGATAACGAACCTCGAAACCACTAGCTTTCTCCCAGAACAGACCCTCCCAAGAGGGGAAGGCAGTGGCCTTGAACAAGGTGTGCTCCAGGATGGTTTCCACACCACCCAATGCTTGGATAACATCCGTTCGGTAAGCATTTAGATTCCACAATTTACCATCATGGCGCTGGCTGGTCCACCAGAACGGATTGCTCTTC